AAGCACCTCACCTATCCTTTTAGCTATACGATCATCTACCCCCTGCATGGCTGTTTTGAGCTCTCGTTTGACCTGCCTAAAGGCATGAATAGATATACTGGATAAGCCTGAACTAGCAGTGTTTAGCCTAGAAGGTGCTGGATTGATGGTACGGATAATCTTCGAGGCATCCTGAGGCCATAGGCCGGATTTCAGCCAGGCACTTAGGATATTGGCCTCAGTGAATGATTGCAGATAGGCCGGCCAGAAAACCTCATAGAATTCACGTTTTGTGTACCTGCATAGGCCCATCCTATCTGTGATCCATTTATCGAGGGTTCGGCTATAGGCCATTGCAAACGGCCTGAACATCCCAATATCCAGTGGCTGCAGCCTATGCGTTGCATGAGGCGGAAACACTGCCAAAATGATCCTATTGTTGAAGCATAGGTCGAAAAACTTGGTAGTTAAGTGTGATCCATGGCCATCTAGGATGAGCAATCGATAATCTTCCGGATTATCTAGTTTGGCACGTGATATGGTTTCGAAATAGGTCAACCACTGGAGACCTAGTTGATCATTGGTCCATCCTGACTCTAATGCAGTAAATGCGATATCATCTGTCTCCCAATTTACTGCATGAATCCAAGAATCGTGTACATCTTTAGAGTTGGCTGGATAGATGAGCAAAGGCCTCACCCAACTGCCATCTGCGCAGATGGTGGCTACCATCATAATCCAGTCTCGATTGCCATCCTCAGCCACCCCAAGGATTTTTCCACTTTTGATCGATGCAGAAGTAAAGATACGCTTATGAGCCTTTAGCTTGCCAATCATTATGCCTTTTTCATCCATATTGTAGATGTTTTTCGGTAGCACGTGATATTGATCAACTTTAGCAAAAACCTATATTATATTATTAGGATCACACCACATCGATAAATTAGGTAATAATACTTGGTCAAACCAATTTCCATAATTTTTCACTGAATCAGCCTTCGTTCGGCTAATTTCTATGGCTGCAAGATAGTCGGATGATAGCCGATCGGAATGCCGATGGACAAATTTTTTCGGCCAGTTTCTGCCTACCGGTTTTTTGGCTATTTCATAGGCCAATGTTCGTACAATTGGATAGGTAGGTGCAAATCCTCGATCGGTGAGCTTATTTATATAGGTTATAAGCTTCTTTTCTTGTGCTTTGGTGAGGTTCTTGTTGATCTGATCATTATACTGCTGTCGAGAAACGGTCACCCCTCTGAACCTTCTGCTTAAAGTAGAACGATTTACATTAAACAACGTTGCTGCAGCCTGAATCTGCGTACCTGGATTAGCCTTTAGATAGGCTATTGCATCATCCATAGTGGTGGTTGGATAGATATCTATAATTTGGGTGAGAAATGCACTTCAGAACTTTGCCCGTGCACACCTAGGCCCGTGCACACGAGGGTCCTGACTTCTAAGCAGTGGTCCGCATTTCGTCCGGCTTGCAGCTCTTTTTGTTCTTGAGACCTTGATGGACGGATGGTTCATCCTCCTGTGCGCCAATCCAAATATTTTCTTACACGTTGTAACAAGAAGAATGGTTTGTATATTGCCTAGTCTATGTGCTGGCCACGGACGAAAAGAAAACATAGCTTTCCTTGAACTTCGTAGGGCATGCTGCATGTAAAAGCGTACCCCGGTTTTGTCATCAACCCAGCTGAAAAATGTTGCCGTGTTGGAGAAAGTGTTTTGACAAGAGACAGGAACAAACTACTTGGCCAGAGCGAAAAATCAAACGTCAACCCCCGTTCTGCATCAACGATCGAGCAACATTTTGGAGAGCCGTGCAGGTTTCACGCGGCGTACTTTTCCAAGAACTTCAACATCAGCTCAGAGATCTCGTCAAGATTCGTCTCCAAAGCAAAGTGTCCGGCGTCGACAAGATGCACTTCAGCATTTGGTAAATCCTTCTTGAACGCCTCCGCCCCAGCTGCTATGAACAGCACGTCTTTCTCGCCCCACACGGCTAGCAGCGGCACCTGGCTCGTGCGAAAGTAGTCCTGGAACCTTGGATACAGCTCGACATTCTTCCGGTAGTCGTAGAATATGTCGAGCTGGATGTCTACGTTACCCGGTCGGTCCAGCAGGGCTTGGTCCAGGGTGTACGCCTCCGGCTGCACCACGGACGGGTCGCTGAGGCCCATGCTGTACTGGAATCTGGTGAAGTCGGCCGAGGTCAGCATGCGAATCGCCTCGCGGTCTTCCTTGCTGCCGGTCGCCCAGTACTGCTTGATGGGCGCCCAAGCATCTCCAAGGCCCTCGACGTACGCATTTCCGTTCTGAGTGATGACGGCCGTGACGGCCGACGGGTTCTCCAACGCGAGTCGCAGTCCGGTCGGAGCGCCGTAGTCAAAGATGTAGATGGCGTACTTGGACGGCGCGTCGGGCACCTCCTTGAGCCATCTTCCGATCGTCTTCGCAAAGTTGTCGAAGCTGTACACGTAGTCGGAGCTCACTTCCGTGAAGCCAAAGCCCGGCAGGTCGGGTGCGAGCACGCGGTACTTCCGTGCGAGGATGGGGATCAGATTGCGGTACTGATGCGACGAACTGGGGAAGCCGTGTAGGAGAAGGACCGCGGGAGCTGAGGTTGGGCCGGCTTCGCGATAGAAGATTTTCTCGCCTGTCGAGAGGGTCAGGTAGCGCACAGAATGAACCATTGCGTCTGCTACGGGACAATGTCGGGTGCGAAATATCCTGCTGCTTTGCTCTTTGTTCGGCTTCAGTTCAGCCGTGATCTCTCCTTCGTTCTCTCTTGTCGTTCCATTCCTGAAGCGCATTCACCGCATTCTTATATATCCCACGACGACGTGCTCATCTTCTAGACTGCTCCGTTCACACATCAGTCTAAGATTAGGAATCCTGTCGCTCGTGTAGGAATACATGCTCAACAACGCTTGGTGTCTTCTCTGCCAACCACCATCTGGCCCCGCGCCCTTATTCACCATCGATGACTAAACCGTCGGGGTTAGCTCGTCCTCGCTTCAGAACGCCCATGGTACAGAACGTAAGTTAATTCACGTTTGTGATCGTTCGATTAGTAAACGAGGCCACGAATCTCCTTTTATTTCAAAGCTAGGCTAGTGCGGGTTCGTTCTAAAGCACTTTGAGTTACGTCGCTGGCTGTGTACAAACGGCACGGCAGATTTGGATGATCCTGGGGAAACGCCCTGCATCTCGCTCACCTACGTCATAATTCTAATCATTTTTTCGGTCGCGCTTTCGTCAGCTTCTCAGCTCGGGGTTGTACGAGGACAGGTGTTTCCTCAAAACATTCTATTGGAAGTGCTGCATCCATGTGAACAAAGTACTCGCTGTCTTTCATGGCGTGGCATCTATCGGCGTCACGGTCTTTGAGCGCCATCGAAAGGCAAGGATCGAAGTGCCAACATCACACACTACAATCAGACTAAGTCAGGGGGCTTTTAGAACCTCGTCCCATATTATTCAAAGGCCGGTGACGGCGCCCGCAATCCCAAATCCAGTTCACGTTCTAGTCTCTTTCGTCACAAGTCGCCTCCGCGGCTCCATTCGATCATCAGACTATGCTACCTAATTTCCTTCTGCTGATGCTCATGCCCGCTTTCCACGCGGGGAAGTGCTCGGAGTTCGGGTCGGATTTTCACAGTTTCGTCGCCCATGTACGAGACCCGACTTCTGTCAGCTGTCTCATTCGCCAATGAAGGTTTCTGATCCTCGTGGGAAGCTTGCTCCTCACGTCGTCGATGGTTGCCCGGAGCTCGGCCCGCAGCGCGTTCAGCTCGCTCTGCGCCTGCGAATATGCGGGTTCATCCTTCGTCCGGGAGCGCCAGACTTGATCGCATGCTTCGTACAAATCCAGTAAGGACTTTACGACTGATTCGAACGCTTTGGCATGTTCGAAGTTGGAGGTAACCTTGTCGTACAATGACTTTGAATCTGACATTCTTCTGGTAGAGGATCACTATTTGGAGAAGATGCTAGACTAATGGGGAGTCTATTTTTGATATTCTGCGGTTCAATTGTCTCGATACATATTACGAGCAGAGGTTTCCATCCTTGTAAGCTTCTTTGTCCTACTGGTCAGTTGTTGACCCATCACACACGTTTAGGAGAGGACATGCCAACATACCCTTGACAAAGGGCCCTTCTGCAAACTCCGCGTTTGCCTATGTAGGACGCCCTGGGTTTGTGCCGCCAAGTTTGCTTCTTGATGCAAGATCATATCCGTCGAACTACCACTTTGAGGCCAACAATGGTCGGGTGCGCACAGCGGTCGTTCGATGTCACCAACATACCCGTCGAATAATGCCACTCCAGGCATGACATTGTATGAAAAGGCGTCTTCTGGCACATCCCATCTCTTTTGGCCACGTTTCCAGACCGTCCCTCTAAGAGCAAAGTTATCCGCGTCGACTCTGACCATTTGTCTTATCTTCGAGCATGCACTTGTCAGAACACCGGCCTGGACATGGTTCCAGAAGTCGTTCCGGCCCATGCCAAATCTTTTTAGGGGCTGAACAACATCTGCTCGACTGTCAAGCACGACGTAGACAGTGCCCTTGGCGACCGCTGCGAACATGAAGGTGGCTAGTCTTGACATGGGACAGCCGTCCTCCTCCAAACACTTCGACATGCACGTGTCTCGGATGACCTCTGGAGTGAATATGTCGTAGAAGAATAGGGCATTGGGAATCTTGTCGCGCAGCTGGCCTGCTCGCGCTGCGTGCTTCACGTCCGCGAAGAAGACGAATGCCTCGGCAGAGTGATATCGCGAGTGATAGAGAGTCTTACGCGTTCTGACCGCCCTGTCGATCTGCATGACCCTTTCTCGCTCGGTGATCGGAAGCCATATTCTGTTGCCGGTAGCCATTGTGGCTGGGCCAGTCGTACTTTGAACGGCCCGCTTGATGTCTGGAATTTAGAAATGCCCTAAAACATGGAGGGGATAATTTTCGGTGCAGGCCGTGGCAGAACGTTGGTGCAATTGTGAATGTAACAGAGCAGTGAAAGGTTTTGAGTCGTCACGTTGACATGTTTCTGCCCTTTGACGAGCTCACAGTCGATTAGTAACTGGAAATGAGCTCTGATCCAGACAGGTTCTTTGAGTTAGGAGGATTTGCTATTGAATGAGTAAACATGCGAAAGCTTACCTGCGGAGAAAGATCCTAACGTGGGTTATTCTTTAATTGAACATACAGGCTTCACGGCCATTATCTTCGCGTTTCCTTGTTCGTCATAACCTTTGACCCCATCTGCTACGCACAAAGAACTATCTGTCCAAGACGCATTCCGCAACCGCTCACACCAACCTTGTCTGACTTATCATGGCACAATCAGTCCCCTTTCTTGAACTGCCTAGAGAGATCCGGGCCAAGATATACGGCCATTTCTTTGATTTTGTTGGCCCAGTCAGCTCGATCACCGGGCTCGTAGATCTCAAACCGATAGCACCGCTATGCAAGACACACTCGCAGATACGACACGAGGTGCTCAAGCAGGCCGCGGTAAGATGGCCGGTCACTCTCCTCGATTCCTCAAGCAGGCGCAGATTTCTCAATGGCCACATAGCGGCTGCTGAACCGGGCGCTCTTGGCTTCAAATGCACTTACTGATACAGACAAGACGCTGCCAACGCTTTCGACACACGGCGTCTTGTTGAACTGATCGATGCGCTCTCTCCGGTCGAGTACGGCAACGACGAAGCGAAAAGGGCCGTAAGTCTGCTCAGCGTCGACAGAGGTGCCCACCCGGTTTACCTCACCAAGATGTGCAGCTACCTTTTCGAATTGAGGGCTCACGAATGGGACGTCGAAATCTTCCTTGAACCGGCGCCCATCTCGCATGTTCGTGCGAGACTGACAAACTTCAAAGGAGACTTGGGCAGGCTTGGGATCCTTCGATAAGGAAAAAAGGACTTGAATACAACCCGGTACCCAAGGACAAGAATGGATTCGATCTTGAGCCCTTAGGAGGAACACTGCTATCGGCGGGTAACGACTGTAGAGACCGTTTAGCGGAAGTATTCAGGTCAGCGGAAACCAGGAAGATTCAAGGAGTTTAAAAAAAGGCCACCGGCCAAACATCACGAAAAGAGAATTAAATAAATAATCTCGATCAAACCGGAACGACTTAGAGTAGGATGGTGGAAAGAACCCATCGCCGCCTAGGCGTGTAGAACTGATGTGATTTTCACGCCCGTTAACGTATTCAAATCAAATTCGAAAACAGCTCCCGCATTCAAGACGCCTTTGCTTCATCCTTGTGTCGGCGACAGATTATGGCAGGGCAAGCACAGGTTCTCAAGCATGCCATATCTCCTCGCTGCAAGCTGCAGACATGGATGCTAGTGGAGCTTGTCCATGGGATCGGCAGTTCAGTAAAATGGGCCAGAAGAGCGAGCTGCTAGGTAGAGAAACTGAACTTAGCAGATGCGTGTGACGAGCGTTTGACTTTCCAAGCTCCTTATCCCGGACCTGCGGTTGTTAAGGTACATCAATTGGCGGGGTCAGAGAAGGACTTTTGAAAATACAGTATAAATTCACCGATGATTAGCACTGATGTTCTTTTATCATCATCATTATGATCCTTGGATATGGACCTATAAAGAGACCATGCCCTACGCTTTCTTGGCTAAAAGTATGATGCTCGTGCCAGGGGCGTGAGCGTAAAGAAGTGCCTGATGGGTTTCGAGATTCTTGGACTAGTCAAACTCCCTGAAAGATCAGAGATATAAGTATGCATTTTCTGCTATGTGAGTGTGGGGGTATCGTAGTCTGTACGTCGTCCTCCGTGTAACCCAGAAAAAGCTCTCAAACGAGATCATGCAATTTTCCATTTCAAAAACGAACAAAGGAAACAACGCTGTGTCCGCGTGTGTATGCACTTGAAGGACGTCGTTAACGGATAGATCTCTGGAGCGTTGTAGAACTTTGTCACATGACCATGTCCTCATCCAATCCATTAAGGCTTGCCATGCCGCTCTGCTCTCTAGCAGCAGCATAAGCACCGTAACTGTTCTCCATGTCCTGCATGTTCTTGTTCCAGTTACCACCGCCTCGGTAAGCCGGATCGGTAGCTTGCCTGTAGGTCGCCGATTCGGAGTAGAGCCCCTCGCTCCGATCATACTCTCGCTGTGCGAGCATCTCATACCCAGTTGTCATGTACGGCTCGGCAGTAGACGCACCGAAACCCGATGTGGCCGGTGGTGAACGTGCTTCAGGAGCCGATGCGGGCCTGCTAATCTGGTCAACAGCAGCAATGGCATCATGAGGCGAACCTATGCCCTGCGCCTCTATGACCGCTCTTTCGTATTTCAGCCGTGCCACCTCCTCTTCCCTTTGCAGGGTCGTTTCCAACCAAGTGGCCTGCTCCTTCGCTATGTCGTAGGCACCCAAATTTGGCGGTGAAATCCGCCAAAGCTCCATCAATCTGTTTCGCTGATCTGCTTCTGCGTTGCGGAATAATGATACCTGTGATGGGAAAAGTGAATGGGGGTCTATGCCGTTCTGCACTAGCATTTCTGCGATCTCGTTGTCTGACAGCGGTCTTGTCTCTGGCTCGGGGGATGACTGGGGTGTCTGGAGAGAGAAGGAGGTAGGCGGAACATAGTGCATGCTGGCATATATCTTTCTTGGCTCTTCACTCGGGGGCTTTGGTTGTTGCTTCTCCTCCGGCGGCGGAGTCGGGTTCGAAAAGGTCATCGTGCGAGCAAAGAGGCCCGCCAACTCGTCTTGCTGCCGCATGTCTGCTGCTTGCATCTTCACAAGCTCGCTTTCAGCACGGATCGATACCCCGATGGACGCGGAGTCGCACTGCACGAAGTGAATAGTCAGCCAGTGTAGCGGAAAAGGGAAAGATGTCTGTATATGTACGTGGTTGCAATACTGAGGCTCTGAGAAGACGGAAGCTGTATAGGCAACAGGCGTTTCATAGCCGCAGCTTTTGCAGTGGTGCATCACCAGCGGCCACATGGAGATATTCTTGAAATGAGCAGGAATCATGTGGAAAATGGGGCAGTGGCTGCGGTTAGTATGGCAATGTACGGAGTACAGATGAGCAAAATGAAATGTCAAGCAAAGAACAGGCAGCGTCAGACCGGCAGCGTTTCACTGGCCAAATGATGGGAATAGTCGACGATTGTCCTTGAGAATCCGAGACTGGGTTTCCTGGGTCCTCGCAAGGTCCGTAAGGTGATTATTCGGAGCACGCCCTTATAACGTACGTTGAACCTCAGAGAATCGTTCAGCACGATTGAGCAACAATTCGACCGCGCTACAGTTGACGGCCCAGCAAGCGAGGTGGATATTTGAACATTTGCTTGCCCAAAAAAATGGAGCCTAGAAGAGAGTCGGTGTATGTGGGTTGCGTTGAGACGGAGAGCTCGAGGGTGAGCCCGTCCATCGACCAGGGCACCACGCTTATTTAGAATCAACGTCATGCGGATGCCCCAAGCCTGAAACATACAAAGAGTGCGCGCTAGCATCCTGTGTGGACCAATGAATCTGACTTTGCTGGCGACCTGATGACTTGTACAGTGACAAGAGCCATTTTCGAGCAATCAGAGCGCGCTTCCTGCGGTGAATTTTGTGCTGGCGAGCTTAGATACGTCGCATGACTGCAGCCTGCGCATGAACCGCGAGGTACGAGGCTCCTTTGGGCTCACTTTGGCTCAAGCTGCTAGTCTGGTTCGTAAAAGATTTTAAACGATCTCTGCTGCGTCTTCAAAAAAGACGACAGCGGCACGGGCTGCATGAACTCCTAGTTGATGCCCAGCTTGGTCAGGGCTCGCGTGCTGTGCGCCAGCTCACGTCGTTCAACTTTGGATTACGAAGTAGGCATATCCCTTCTCAGGGAACAGAGCTGTATCGTCGAGATGGAATGCTTCGTTGGGTCCGGAGCAGAAGTTCGCGCTCATATACCCCAACAGACATACAGCGTCCATTCTGCTCTTCCAATCGAATTTGGCTTGTTGTTCTGAGGCACAAGATCTAATAGAATTCGGCTCTCTCTCCCTTTCTTCCTCCCTCCCTCCTTCTCCCCCCTTCTTCTCTCTCTTTATATACATACACATTTATATGTATATGTATGTATGTGTGGTATAACACGCCTCATGAAGCAGCCATGTGGCAATAAACAGCAAATGCACTCCTGCAAGCCATTCGTGAAGCTGAATAGGCTGCACTGAGTGTGGAATTGTGTGCTCCATTTCCACATGGCGCGCGTGAATTGAAAAGCAGTCTGCTTTCCGGATATGGCTCTATGAACGTCCAACTGCTATAAAAAGGGAACGGCGGCATACGTCTACACTAGGAATCCTCCCCGTGAGATTGATGCAGAGCGCTTGAATATTGCCTCTTATTGAAGCCTCAGACGACAAATCGGGCAAAAGGAAATGCTTCCGCGCCATCTAATGAAGACGTCCTGAGATTTAGAAACTGAGAAGCACAATCTGCGCAAGAACACTGGCCTGGAAACGACTTTGGACGTTGAAGCGAGGTGTGTATAACAAAAAGTTCAAAGAAAAGTCACGCAGCACGAAGTTTGAGACGACATTTTGGGCTTCCAAATTTCTACGTCGCAAATCTTGCTACATCAATTGCTTGCTTGGATGTATGCATCATGCTCGAGATTTTTAGCAAGCTCCGTTATCGAGCAGTGATCTTCCTTCTCGTTCGCCATTCGCCGTTGCCATGCGTGCCATTGTTGTACATCCACCCTCTTCCGGAATGCGTATAAGCCGATGTGACACATTCAATCCTGTCGCCCCTTCAATAGCCTCTTGGTCACCTTGTCCTTCTCGATGATGTACACGTGCGCACCCCAGCCTGACAGCGCATCTCTGTCTACAGCGCTGAGCAACGCCTGCGAGACGGTCTCGAAGAGCTCCTCCGGGCCCAGGCCCGGTTCCCAAAGGCCTTCGCACATGCCATACAGCTGGTCAGAAGCGGTTCCGCTCACGATGAAGTCCTTGGCGAAGTCAATGCAGCCTATGCTGTCGAATCCGCATATGAATGGTTTGCCTGATCCATGGCGATCAGCGTTTGGTTGCTCCCCACTGCGAGATCAAAGAAGGCAAACATACCAGTCTTCCCGTTAATACCTGCTACGACCGGGCTTACAAACCATGGTCCGAATCTCCTTTCGTAAAGCGATGTGCTCACTAGGTTCGCAAACGTCTCGGGACTGATGTTCCGCTCCTCTCGCAGACGGTACATGTTAACTTTGTACCGCATAAGCTCGGAGACTGTGATTTGGTCGGTGGCAAGGCCCGTGAGACCTAGGTACACGCTGCCGGGGGAGATGGTGTAGATCTTGGGATGATTGTTCGATACCGTCAGCGCTTGCATGCCGAGACGGAGATCGCAGGCTATGGCGACGCAGTCTTTGCCGACCATGGCGACGCAGGCGCCGCCGTTCAGGCTGAAGGGAGAGGACTGGGACATGATGTGTCAGTTCGTAATTGCGACGCAGATTGGGGGAATGCGAAGTGATTGATGAGGCTGTAGGGCGACGACGGCAAGATGGTAGCGAGGTGAAGCGCAATCAGGTTGACTACTGGTAAAAGTAGGGAAGGTATCATTGTATAGAGAGCGCAGGAGACGTACCATGTCGTGAAATGGGCGAGGTTTTGTGGTATAAGTGTTTGTTGCGTGTTGCAGCTAGGCAACGTGAGTTACGTCTGTGTTCGGCTGCGGACTTGTGAAGCTTGGGCCATGCAAGTCTTCTCTAGGAAATCAGTTCTATATCATCCTCCAGAGCGGGATCACGAGACGAGACAGTTCAGCAATATACGAAACTCGGTATCTCATAGGGTTAGAGAGTGCCCCAAGTAGACAGCGCGGTTCGTGGTGCATAGACCTAAAAGAGCGAGAAAGCCCGTCGCGCGGAGGAATCACATAGTTACGCACGCGTTAGGGAACTCTCAGCATCCTTAATGGGTGGAGCCATTGATAATATACATATCTACACGTACACAATTTCTTGCTTTCTTCAAAGGGTTAATAGATGTGCCTTTTCCATACCGGATGCGCAATGCGGCTTTCGATCCCTTGATCGGTGTGAGGCTTTAGCCATGCCTTACGAAAAAATAGCAGCGATGTAAGTAGTCGAGCATCAACGGAGTCACTTTGCCTTCCCACTCGGCCAGTTCTTCCATCCTCTGCCATGTCCTTTCTGCACAGAAAGGTCAGTATTTGCTTCAAAAGTTGTAGCATCACATGCACACGTACCTGCTTCCATTCCCTCACCAATTCATCCATTTTAAGCATGGCTTCCTTTCGTTCCCTGAGCTTGCCTTTCATTTCTCTCTCCCACTTGTGGCCCTTGACCTTCTGCTCCTCTCCCGTGCCCTTCACCCTCAATCCTCTCTCTTCCCTCCTCCGTAGCTTCTCCGCCGGAGACTTTATACTGAACGGTAGCAGTTCGGCAACACCATGGCGCTCAGCGGCTTTGCACAGCATAGCTTGTCTGCGCAGTCCATAGTACGGTCCCCGCCACCGAAGCGTGATGGGGTTCCGCCAGGGAAGGAAAGGGTTGTACGTCGGGTCTGTGAATGGTGTTGAAGCGCGTAGCAAGTCTTGCGGCGATGGCTGCGATATGACCTCCTCCGTTCCATCTTCGGCTTTTCGTATTACAGGCTCAGGCCTAGGGGGTCTCTGCGGCTCGGTGGCGTACGGTCGTCCTGGGGGGAACTTCTGGAAAAAACGAATAAGGATCTTTGGGAGGGTTTTGGCGAGTGCAGCGTACGCCTGCGGATTCGACACCGTCTGCGTCACTGCTTCCACGGCCATTGCGGCAACTGTGAAGAACAGGAAAGCAAACAAAGGAATGAGAGAGGTGAGTGACAATTGGTGATGCCGCGGGTGTGGTTGCGGAGTTTGATACAGAGAAAGTTTCCCGTTTTGGAGTCCGAACCTGGAATTCCGCTCTAAGCCTGTGCTGATTTGCCAAGACGAGCAGACACATGAACCAAGTTGATCCTTGACATTGTCGCGACTGCACATCTCACGAAGAGCTTTGCAAACATGAACGGCTACAGTAATGGCGTACCACCTCCACCTCCTTCAGATCCTATCCCCCCGCCGCCCCCCTCGGATCCAATACCGCCTCCTCCGGATCCAATACCACCGCCTCCTCCCGTAGACGATATCCCTCCGCCGCCACCTCCACCGCCAGCACGCGCACCGAAAGACGACGATGAGGATAGCCTTGCACCGAACTTAGCGGCGCCGAAGAACAAAGTCGTTAAAAATGCGGTACCTAAGAAGACCCCACTTAGTATCGAGGATATCTTGCGCAAGAAGCGCGAAGCAGATGAGGCTGCTTCTAAGGTAAGTTTTTCTGGCGTATCTGTTTCCTTCCAGAAGCAAGCATTCTCATGCGCATGTTCTAGAGCCTGTGCAGAATCGCTAACGTGTAGAATTGTGCAGCCCAAGTTTTTGTCGAAGAAGGAGCGTGAACGGATCGCGTTGGAGAAGCGGGAGAAGGAAGTCGAGGCGTTGAGGAAGGCAAAAGAAGCTGCATCGATGAATGTCGCGAAGAATGGCTCCGTGAATGGCAATGATTCTTCCCTCTCAGCATCCTCCGTGCCAACCGGTCCGAAGTCTATGAGCGCATCCACGTTCTTGCGCCCTCGTGGTGTGCTGAAAGACTCCGAAGAGGAGCCTTCACGACACTCTAGAGATTCCAGCGCGCGAAAACCTGGCGGATCAGAAAAAACTGCAGATAAACGCAAGAATCCTGAGGATATTGAAGCAACACTGATGAGGGAACGGTACATGGGCGCAGATAACTCTCAATCCACATTTAGCGCCAAGAAGAAGCGGAAGCGAACGACAGAGAAGAAGTTCAACTTTGAGTGGAATGCCGAGGAAGATACGAGCATAGATTACAATCCAATCTACAGCGAACGCGTGGAAGCCGGCTTCTTTGGCCGCGGCCATCTCGGTGGTATGGATGCGGAAGAAAAAGCTCGAGAGTATGCCCGCATACTGAGAGAACATGATGGCAGCGGTGGCGAGAGAGCAAGGCAATACTTAGAGTTGGAGAGGCAGAGAAGAGAGAACAACAGACGAGCGGGCCTGGACCGCCACTGGTCGGAGAAGAGGCTTGAAGAAATGCGGGAGAGAGATTGGCGCATTTTCAAGGAGGACTTCAGCATCAGCACCAAAGGCGGTTCGATACCAAACCCAATGCGAAGCTGGAGCGAATCTGGCTTGCCACCCCGACTACTTCAACTCGTCGAGCAAGTCGGCTACCACGAGCCCACACCTGTTCAACGAGCCTGTATACCCATTGCACTGCAAAACCGCGACCTCATCGGCATTGCTGTGACGGGTTCGGGTAAAACTGCCAGCTTTCTGCTGCCGTTGCTAGTATACATCGAGCGTATGGAACCCCTGGGTGAGCATAACCGCCAAGACGGGCCGTATGCTATCATTTTGGCACCGACGCGTGAGTTAGCACAGCAAATCGAGATTGAAGCGAAGAAGTTTGCAACGCCACTAGGTTTCAAGTGTGTGTCCATCGTCGGTGGACATAGCATTGAAGAGCAGGCGTACCAGCTACGCGATGGAGCAGAGATCATTATTGCGACACCAGGAAGATTGGTGGATTGCATTGAACGAAGAGTTTTGGTGCTCGTACAGTGCTGCTACGTCATTATGGACGAAGCGGATCGCATGATCGACTTAGGTTTCGAAGAGCCCGTTAATAAGATCCTGGAAGCATTACCGGTTACGAACCAGAAACCAGATGATGAGATGGCAGAAGATAACAGAGCCATGTCTATGAGCGTTGGCGGTCGACTGAGGTACAGACAGACGATGATGTACACAGCAACGATGCCATCAGCCGTCGAAAGGATTGCCCGCAAGTATTTGGCCCGACCAGCGATCGTTACCATTGGCAATGTGGGCGAGGCTGTAGACACAGTCGAACAGCGCGTCGAGTTTGTGGCCGGAGAAGACAAACGTAAGGCTCGCCTCCGTGAGATCCTTACGAGTGGTGAGTTCCAGGCTCCGATCATCGTATTTGTCAACATCAAACGCAACTGCGACGCCATCGCACGCGAGATCACGAAAATGGGTTTCACTGCTGTCACGTTGCACGGTTCGAAAACCCAGGAGCAACGTGAGGCTGCTCTCGCCTCCCTCCGCAATGGCCAGACGGAAGTTCTTGTCGCAACGGACCTGGCAGGTCGTGGTATCGATGTGCCAGACGTGTCACTAGTTGTCAACTTCAACATGGCGACTACCATTGAGCAGTACACTCATCGCATTGGTCGTACGGGTCGTGCTGGGAAGAGCGGTGTTGCCATCACGTTTTTGGGCAACGAAGATGCAGATACAATGTTTGACCTCAAGCAAATGCTACAAAAGAGTAGCTTGAGTAAAGTTCCCGATGAGTTACGACGGCACGAGGCGGCACAAAGCAAGAGGATCAAAGGTAACAAAGGAGGTGCTAACATCGAATAGCCGTTAGCGAAGGGAGAGGTCAGTGCTCACAAACCATGACGAGACTTCGTAGAATTTGGAGTCAGTGTCTTAAAGGCTTAGAATACATATTAATTTCACAGCCATGAAGCCAATTTTCTTGCCTTTGTGTACATCATCGAGCAACACTTTTTCTGCGATGAGTTGCAAGTCTCGCTGATGGATGTACGCAATGATGGAAGCGGAAGTACGCTATGGGGTCTCATTCTATGACAAAGGAGGCGGCCAACCCAATCCTAATATGTACAAATGAAACTTGAAGCTAAATTATAGGTCTGCTAAACAGTGTCGCGTACTAGACGTTTTCTCAAGAAACGCAAACTTGCAATTCAGAAATGTTGCTCTGCTTTGTTTGCGCACGGAAATGGTGAATTGTTGCAGAACTTCAGGAAGCCTTTTCCCTAGCGGATTCAGCAATACCCTGGCCTTCGGAACTAATCTCACTCCTCGGCGTACTCTTGATGCCGGGGGTGACAACTCCATAAGTCGCAATATCCAGGCCAGAATCTTCTGCATCTACATCGGCTAGATATTTAAAGTCCAGGCCTCTGAGCTCATCCTCTTCTGTGCATCGCAAATGCAGACCAGGAATCTTGTTGATAATGAACAGCAAAATGCAGGACACAAAAAAAGACCATGCAGCACAGGTTGTTGCAGCAGCCAGCTGATATCCAAGCTGAACCCAGTGATGTTCCCACCATCCGCCCTCGTAAGTGTTGTTGACGCCATCCATGGCTGGCACGTATGATGCTGCGAAGAAACCGGTAAGGATGTCGCCGACATATCCACCAACACCGTGAATGGCAAAGATATCAAGTCCTTCATCGATACCAATGAGATGTTTGTATTCTATGTCGAGTCAATACGTCACCTCAGCGAGGAGATCTTGAAGACTTACTCATAGTAAAGTAGGAACAAATGCTGGTGAGGACCCCGACGAGAGCCGCTGTGTAGACAGGTACAAAACCTGCCGCAGGGGTGATTCCCACCAAGCCAGAAATGATACCGGAGCAAAATCCTATGATGGAGAATTTTCGATTTTGCACGTATTCAATCATCACCCAAGCAATGCCACCACCACAAGCTGCCAAGTTGGTGTTAACCACGACGTAAATGCTTCGCAAGCTCAGATTGGCGGTACTGCCGCCATTGAAAGCAAACCAACCAAACCAAATCAAGATGGTACCGAGCCCGACGAGGAAGGGGTTGTGACCGCGGAAGTGTCGAACCTTGGGATGCTTTGATTCACCACGGGGATCAAGGCGAGGTCCAAGCATCATGCTCCAAGCAAGAGCCGAAAACCCGGTGGCAATGTGCACGGGACCCGAACCAGCAAAATCGTAGACGCCAAGGTTATAGAGCCAACCGCTAGGATTCCATTCCCAATAAGCAAGGATGTAGTAAACGAACGTTGTCCAGCAAAGCAAGAAAACCATCGACGGGAGGAGTCTGCCGCGCTCAAGCATGGCACCTGCCAAGATCATGGCTGTCGCGGTGACAAATGTGAATCCAAAGGCCGCGTACAAAATGTCTGGGACATCGCTGTTCGCCAGCGACGGATAAGCGAGCACGTTGTGCAGGCCGCCGAGCGAAAGGTCCCCAAGGATCGGGTTCGTCGTGTGCGATTGGTACAAGGAGTACCCATAGATCCAAAACTGGATGCCACACGCGCAGGCGCAGAAAAGCGACTGAAATATCATGGTCAGGGCGTGCTTGCGCCTATGCATTCCAGCATAGAGAAACCCGATCGCAGGCGTTATCTGCCAGCAAAGGACAGTGCAGACGAGAAGCCAGCACAAATCACCCTACACGCTGTTAGCTCAGAGTCCAAGGCCATGATGTGAAAGTGACGTTTACCTTGTTGTAGGGAGCGTTAAGATCTTGTGTCATTACATCGCCACCTGTGGGAGTTGTGCCATAGTCTGGCCATTCTGTGATGGGCGAGATCTCCGACATCTTCGTCACACTCCAGATGTACACAGAGGCCAATAAAGCGTAAGATGTGCGGTAGGTATACAATCAAATTCCAAGGTTATCTACTACCTTTGAACTACGACTGCAAGCCCGTGCGCTGGAGATCAGCCCATGTTTAAATCTACACAAGATACGGATGCCATGTGTTTGACTTGATGTTATTCGCATACGGTTGGCTCTCTGCTTTACCCTATCTCTTGGAAATAGCACAATTACAGACACCATTGGTCGATGTTGTCTCGTATCTCACGTCCATTGTGGTCCAAGATGAACCAAGACTTCTGGCCTACAATTAATTCAGCTGTCTCAGCCTGGTGTGTGCCTGTCAATGTCAATGGAGTGCTGATAAAGGGACTTCTTCATCATTTACGGGCAAGATTCCGAAGAGCCGAGAATATAAGAGGCTTGTTTGTTCTCGGCGGATCGATGCGGAGTGAGGACTTAAATCGAGCCAAGCACGTGGTTCCGCTCCAAGCCTAGGCATACTCCACCCTTATCGCGTTGGTCAACCCGCGCTTTTATGTACTCGGATCATGTATCCAAATTCATGCTTTTTATATACAGTGGTGGCTATTTTTTTCGATCGCGTTATTCTTCTTCAATTCTTCCGGGGAATCAAGATGACATGTGAAGGTCGGGTAACACCCCTTGAGTCCCGCATCCTCCTGCGTACAATAGATTTGTACTGATTACGATCATCCTATATAAGCCGAGGTAAAAATAAATACTGAAAGGTACACCGTATGAGCTTCTTTCAAGTGGGCTTAACTTTGAGACTCGTATCCTTCATGACGACGGCGTTTAATTTTTCTCAGGGTTTGGAATTTCTTCTGTACTTTCATAGATGCACGGGCTGTGATTGAGCCAAGCCTACGTCAAGGCTTTAGCATGTCGTTATATAATATCCAACATACAAATACTTTCGCTATATGAAATCAAATATCGTCACCGAGATAGGTTGACATTTAACACCAATGGGAGTAGCTTGCATCAAGTCTTCGTATTAACCACTTTTTATTTTGTCTGGCCGGGCCCTCACTTAAGCAGAGAGCAATGAGGACAAATTCAATGATAAATGAGAAAAAGAAGGCAAAAAAGTTAAAAAAAAAAGGAGCGAAAGAATAGGATGTCCATTCTAGCTGTTGACTTGTTTCTTTTTATTCGTCACACGAAGATATGATCTTGGAGAAACTGCGAAGGGAGAATTCTTGAAGAGTAAATAGAACATTTTCCATACCTATGTTTTTGCACCATATGCGTCAATAGAATGTATAGTACTGTACAGGTAACATTTCTATTTTCCCCTTTTATGCGAAGAACGAAGATCAATGGACCCTGATCTTTTTCCCTCCTGTCTCTCCCTCCAGCACCATCGGTTCCCTCTGTAAATACCTTACGACTTTCTTCTCTAGCTCTCCAACTATCGCGCCTCCACTCAACGCTCTCGCCTCGTCCACGTTCCAAGGAAGGACAGAGCCTCTATACATACCACTCTTGGCCCAATACTTCATCAATGTTGTTGAATCTGCGTGGTTTAATCCTGCGAGCCGAATAACGTCGGCTTTATCCAAGGTATAGAGAACACGTTCGTCGATGGGGACGAACGGAGAGTGGAAATTAGAGAGTGCGAGAGGATCGGGATTTTTGTCCGGGGAAAGGGATTGCAGCTTTGAGTAGTTTGATATGGCTTCTGGAGGAATTGGAGTTCCTGAAGTAAGTGCCTGCCGTGTTTCGGCTATGGAGATACCAACACACATGGCATCAGCTTTTGCGCCATCTGATGCTGAAGTTGCTGCTAGGACCATACCGCCGTTTGGAAATTGGGCTGCGCCGGATAAATGTTGAGCGAAATGATTGACAAGGGCAAGATCGTGCGCATGCACAGAAGTCAATTTGCCAGCGTCGTTCAAGACTTTGTATTGGGATTCAGTCATCACGTGCGACATGTTATCCAAGCACAGGAGCACGGGTGGGCGTTCACCAGCCGCAGCATTGATGGATGAGTTCGTCTTTGTAAGCTCACGCCAGAACACTTGGAAGACAGCCCAAGCACGATCCTGGTCGTTCATGCCGAGTTCTAGGAGACCAGCAAGAGACATACCCTCCTTTATAGGGAGGTGAAATTTAGGTTTTTCGCTGATGAAAAGCTTCTGGAGAACTTTTTCATTAGCATCCAGAATTTGCTTGAGTAGTTTTGAGGTGTAGGCTGGCTGAGCGTATTGAACTGGGGAGGTGCCATGAATTGGACTAAAGGCCGTATGACTACTCGCAAGTTCGCGGCCTAAAACGTTGTTATTTTCTTCCTCGTCGAACATGGAATCAAAGCTTACCATCTGGAAGATTGATAACAACCCATCCACGAAGGAAGGCCATCGACATCGCCTGCAGAAGCAGGACCGATTTTCCTGATCCCTTCTCTCCCACAATGACTTTCCTACTCGATTTCTTGATTGCTATCTTCCTGGAAGCATTCTCCGCATCTTGGTCATTCAGATGTTCCCCACTGATCCCGTCCATCTCCTTTCCTAATGCCCTGCTTTCTTTGGTCATCAGGACTGCGGGAGTGTGAAAAAAAGACCATCCCTGCTTTGTCTTGAATGCCTCTACTGCGCGCAATCGATCTATGATGTCTGGAGACAGTGTATATACCTCTGATTTGTCAACGCTCACTGCGTCTGCGCTCAGAGGCGCGATGGCTTTTACGGGCAAGGCATTGGTGTTGCTGAGCACGATACGTTTACGGAATGCTTTCCTTTCACCCGGTTCTGGCGGTCTAGCTGCCTTCTGTGGCGGGCCTTTCTTTTTCAGTCGCAAAGTTCTCACGCCTTTAGCGGGTCCCGGCGATGGGTAACTGTTGGTTGATGAGGTCGAGAAATAGTGTGCGGAACCGAGGGAAGATTGACATCGCGGACCCCTCGAGCATAACGCGCTGTCAATGGCACCACGCAAGGGCGTTAAATGCAGACATCGCGATGGAGGCATTTTCGCCTCTCTTAATCGCGATGACGGGATAAATGCGATTGAATGAGCGTAGATGAAAGAAGATGTTTGTGTGTAGGGTGGTTGCGAAGCTCAATTGAGACGAACCCAATATCGGAGCTTTCCACCGCCGATATTTTTTTCCCAATCTGGAATTTCTCCGCAAAAAAAGTTCAAATCCATGTGCACCGTCGCATGGTGAAAATCCAGTCAACATTCACCAAAGAACAAACATGGTAGACGCCGAAATGGCCGACCTTTCCCTCGAATCGCCCACGGGCCAGATTCAGTCCGAGCTTGCCATGACCATCGCCGACGAGACGCATTCTCGACCTTCAGTGTCGGTCTCCAAGCCCATACCTTTCACTTTTGACCTGGGAAATCTTCTCTGCAACGATGCAAATCCCTTGCCCGCGAATCACACAAATTCCGATATTGACGCTGCTGCGCGGGATTGCGCCCAAGGTCTCATAAATCAGCTCCTCACCACTTGTCCCATCAAATCGACGCAAGAGGGTGTGCTGATAACTCTGCCGACACCGACAACACCGCTGCCCAGAGAGAAACCAATCCCTCAGCCAAAAGAACCCACGAAATGGGAAAGATTCGCCGCAAAGAAGGGTATTGCTGCAAAGCGAAAGGAAGGAAACAAGGTGTACGACGAAGAGAGCGGCGAATGGGTTCCAAGGTGGGGTTATAAAGGCGCGAACAAAAAGGGCGAAGAAGACTGGCTAGTCGAAGTTGATGACAAGAAAGAGAGCATGACTGGAGAGGCAGGAGATGTTCGAAGGGAAAGGAGAGCGGAGAGAAAGGAAAGAATCAAACGACAAGAACGAAGGGAAAGGGCAAACGAAAGAAAGGCAGCGCGAAACAAGTCATGAGGCAGTTCGGCCTCTAGTGCAAATTCATTGAGACCACGAACAGGCCTTGCTTTGATTGCTTTGATCGGAGAAGGACACATCCAACGTCCTGGAATGAACATCTTGCAGATCAAGATTCCAGCCCATGCGCTGCAATTTACGTGATGAATGAAACTTCTGGTTTGAATTGGGCTCTTAAATTTCTAGTATTCCTTTATGGCAGAGGATTTTGAGTTGGTCTTTTCATATTGAGTACGATGACTTCATAGATCAGTCGGCCAAACCGAAGGCAACGGACAATCCAAGCATTCCAAGTCGTCTTCTTCCAAGAGGAATTTCCTACCATTGCAATAGCTACTAGTGCTACAGCATTATGAACACGCAGCAGCAGCAAGTCAATCGTAAAAATGACGAAGCAGGTGTCTGAACAGAGTGTAATAGCGAATGTTGTTGATCCTGCGCATTTCAACCAACTTTAGCTGAATCTCAATTAATATTTGGGCAACAGATCTCTGCCTGTATGTCCTATCTGACGACCCTGACCCCGCACACAATGACAACCAATCGACATGTCAGTCCGCAAGCATCAAATCAATCTAATGCAAGAGTCACGTCGGCCATCTTCAGACTGGAAGCGGCTGGAATAAACCGCTTAAAAACACGCCACTTGAGCAAACTATTCTCGTTAGGCTTTGTGCGTTCCGCTTGGGGCGAAGCATCAACGCTAGCCTGATCGTGTGCCTAGTTTTAGTCTACGGTGCTACCACCGTGCAGTCCAGCGAATAGCTATCTAACCTTCGCGCCTCGAACCAATATATTAGTCCTCAGACAATGCTGTCCTACCCTATTGATTATGCAGGAATGAGAGGGAATCGATGAGGAGTCAGATGACGAGACGCCCGCATGAGGGCGCCTGGCTGACAATGGCCGTATAGCCCTTTTAAAATACCGCAGTAGTCTCTCAAAATTTTGCAATTTCTTTAAGAGAACAGATGAAAGGCTCATATCGGAAATTTTCGATTTAATGCCAGAGGCATGATAGGACCCTCGAAGCAGTGGCTCCCCGCATTGTTTCTGTGCATAGTGAGCGTACAAAGCAATATCCTGAGTTAGTCCTGTTCACATTAAGAGCCTTTATCACTTCTCATCTCACTCCAGTTGAACGCGATGCCACGAGCTGCAATGGAACCTCGTACACGACTCCAAATGACCTCACATTTGATCTATATTGCAATACCAATATAGACTCTACTGCCGGAGACTTTTCCCCCCCGGTATATTACACTGACGACGACGTATATGCGTGTATAAACAGGTGTTCTGAGTTTAGGATATGTTATGGTGTCACATACGCAGTATCAACCAAAAATTGCACCTTGAAAGGATCTGGTTTCACCAGCGCACTCAATTCAACCAGCCCTGATGTAGGACACACACATTCCGCTGCCGTCAGTCCAATTACACAGCTTACCAATGGCTACGACACGGACTGCGGATACATCAATGGTAGCACTCATACCACATACAACGACATGCCCTTCACCGTCATTTGCGGTATGGATATTGCGAGCGCAGATTACTGCCCAACTGGCAATTCGTCTTGTCCCAGCCACGCAACCAGCTTCCAAGGATGCATCGACCTGTGCGCACAAAGCCACCCGCTTTGCTGGGGAGTGTCATACAATCCAGACTTGAAGGCAGGCTGGGCCAATTGCTACCTCAAGGACGGCCGCGCAGCTCAATTGACTCCTTCATCTTATGCACCTGACTCCGAGGAGAGCTATGTCATACATAGTGCTCAATTTTTCGTAACCAATGGAACTGATGTGCCTTATGACTGCACATCTGGCCCAGTGGGCAATGGTACTTACAATTTTGTTGTCTACTGTAACACAGGTCAGCAGGGTAATAACATTTGGGCGTTGCACGCAGACTCATTACAGGAATGCTACGCAGCTTGCTTTGTGTATGATGGTTGTATAGCTGTTGGCTACGACCCAAGCCTCGCGAATGGCTGGGAGAACTGATACATAAAGAATGCAATCCCCACGCCTGTCACATCAACTAACATGACACTCGCGGTGAAAGCCACAATCGCGAATGGCACTCTTCCATCCTCCATAACCAGCACAGGCTCTAAGCGTCCAAGAAAGGATTGGATTGCTGGAGCAGTGATTGGCGTTCTTGCCATTCTCGGCGTGCTGATCGCGTTTTTGATTTGGAGAAGACGGGCGCCGTCGGTGCCGGATGAACCGGCGAATATAGCTGTCCCATATGAGAAGCCAGAGCTGGACGCGACGAAACGAGACGATTATACGATTGCGAAGCAACCGCTAATAGAGCTGGAAAGCATGGAAGGGAGGACAGAACTGCCGGTCCGCTCCAAATTGTCGGAACTGCCAGGCTGACTTCGCTCAACTTTTTTGGACCATTTTTGGCTAAGCAGGTCGTTTTAAATACCTGAAATTCCGAGGATCAATCATAATAAGTCATGAATTAAGTAGGATCTATATCAGGTAATGTTGGAAAGGCATTCGCTCTTCTGACCAAAGCGGCACACTTGCGGACTGGTAGTGACGAGCATATTTTCATACTTTGCAGTGTCAGGAGTAGGAAAAAAAATTACCATTATTCCTTAACACTAACCTCGTCTGAGATATCTCTGAAACCTTTGTCTCGGAATTCAATCCTCTTGCTCCGTGTGGTTATGCCTCGATGTATGCCAGAATGTGGATATTGATGGCAATTGTCCGCTCAGTCCTAGAGACATTGAGAAACCCTTCAAGATTGTGATCGTATTTGGTGTTGGGACAGTGGCAGAAGCCGTTGCAAATGACGGACCGAAAGGTGGTAACAAGAATGACAACGTTCTTCACTCCAATGCTGTTATGGGAAAAAGTGTGCAATCCGAGGCTATTGTGTACTAAGCTAACCTTGCACTCTTGTCCTACGGCGTAGTGTATTCAAGGATACGACTGCATAACAGAAGATCGTGGTGGCTCGGATTGCGGAGTGCAAGCAGAGAAGTCCTAAGGGATTTTGACACAGTCAGTCTATATCATCAATTTCAATATGAATCATGCGCAAGATATCTAACCGGAAATAGGTCGACGTGTCCGTTATCTTCATCAAAGGCCTCCATTGCGATTTTTAGCCAACATACGCGTTCGTTTTGATCAGAGAGTTCGAGCATGGAGTGACGAGACCTCTGGTATCTCAGTATCCAGCTTGAACCTCCATGTACTTGCTCCAATCCACAGTTTCATTCAACTTGAGGCCGTTCTCGTCATAGCAAGCAGCCACACGCAAATATACCTCGTCATCTTTGAGTTGATGCGGATTCAAGCTGCCGGCAGCGACCGCGTGATACAACGTATCATCCACAGGGAAGCCATCTGGCGCCCAGGCTGTGCCATCGCCGCGGGATTGATCATCGTAATAATCAAAAGCTACCCTAAGAGGAAGAACGGTCAGATTGTAGCGTACGTGCCCTTCGTAGAGAAGTCGAGCGGGAAGGACATCTTCATGTTCATCGTCAATGCGGTTTCCCTCGAAGAGCTCGACAAGCTTTGTGACCATGTCCCAGCTGAATGTGTAGAGCTGACCGCTTGCATATATGAAGGGATAGTCGTGCTGTAGTCTACGGCCAATGTAGGTGCCCTTGACGCTATTGCTCCTTATACGCGGCTCCAGCCACACATCCCAGAACGTTTTTGCGTCGATGAAGGAATCCTCATCCATCTTCGAGACAAACGTGTAGGGCATGCCATGCGAGACTAGATACTTGAACGCCTCGAGCGTTTTCACCGTGTTGGCCCATTTGTGATCCTCATTCTCATGATCAAGCATGATCAGATCACCATAGGTGGCATTTTCTTGCTCTATGAAAGGATGCCAAATCGGACCAGGGTCAGAGATCACGAACCGTGAATCGAAGTGTCCGGTGCTCGCGTAGAGCTTTTGCCAGGTTTTACGAATAATATGTCGTTTCTGCATATGAGTAGCTTGCGATATTGTCAAGATGAGCCATGGTCGCGGGCTGTTTGCAGGTGGATTGTTTGACAGCAGAATGGACGGGTTGTAGAGACCGTAGTACAGAGTATGAAACGAAAGGACAACGAAAATCGCCGTGATTGCAAGAAGAAAGAACGGCGGCCGTCTGGACGGCGGCGGATAAGGCACCAGCATCGCCCGCAGAGCGACGTGAATTTCTGGTCATCTCCAGCATGACGACGAAGCAACGCTGGTATTTAAGAGATCTGAGTTCTTCGACGAGCAGGAGCAGCTACGCAATTTCTCGTATCTCACTCAGCTTCAAGGATCATCGTGCTACGACAGTCAAGAGGTTGACGATCCCCGCAAGGGACAAGGCAGATAAGCCTTATCACCGTCGTTTGGGGAGGCAGCGGGCGCTAACGTGATGATTACATTAGCTAGGTTAATTGCACATCGTGATTTAGGGTTTGATGACGTTTCATGTTTGGGGGTGGTGAGGACTGCCGGAAGGTAGCCTTAATGGGCGAAAGCTACGAGAGACAACAGCCTCGAGGTCACAAAGTTTATGTGGACGTTGTGGAGGGATCAAGTGTCGTTGAAAATTTTGAAGCTCAAACAGTTTTCATCGTTAGGCACGGATATCGTGATGTGAACAATCGTCTCTGTTCATCATCTCGGACAAAATCACCTACAATGTGGATTGAGCCGAGACCAACTCGTCTTGCCTTGACTCATTATCTAGAATGAACTTCCAACAGTATGCTGTCTTTGATATACACGTATCAATTAACAAATTTGGGTTTCTGGAGGAACAGACCAAAGAAAATAAAACCATTCATAAGTGGTAATTTAACTTTCGTATTGGAGCAAGCATGCACGCCCAATAATCGGACAATCTGCGAATCTCAAGCTACGTCGACCTGGCATTTCGAACTGGATTGGCCACACGATGGCGAATCTTTTCTGCTCTTTTTGATTTGGCCAGGCATGAAAGTGATTGCGCGAGTTCGCTCAACAGAATTCCAAGAGTGCTTCTTGCGTGTACTAAGCATGTCTTTTGTCCTTTTCCGCCCCTTTCAAAGCCAGGGTGGAAGGGATTCAGCTTGTCTAGAAAACTCACTCATGCGCAGACCAACTGTAAGACTTTTCGACTCCTTCAGTCCAATCGTGACGAGCTGTAGATTCGCGTATATGCACCATTTCATACCCAGCCCTCCGAAGGATAGTTCTGGGATGACGGACAGAGTACCTCCATAACATACAGCAGCATTTCAAGCGCAGAGTGCAAAGGGATGCATCTCGCTCCCACGCTGCCAAGACACGGGGCAGCTTCGAGTGCTTCCGGCCGGCTCAGATTCGCAAAACGGCCTATCCACGGCTCTGGACACCTTCCACTTTTGAGCACTGCATCATTGGACGGAACCGGTGACCGGATGGATGGTATCTGTCCACAGAAAGTCCCGCTTAGATTAGGTTGTGCGACCCTCCTGGTCGTTCGGAAACTTCCGTTCGCTGTACGAAAGGCAGCAGATCTGGCACGATCGAAACCAACGACAATTGCAACGGAGGAGTTAGCATCCGTCCAGCCGTAGATTATAAATCGTACCATCTGGAGAGCAACGCCCCTCTCCATCTTTGTATGCGGCAATGGCGTGGACTTGTGACCGACGTGTCGCATTTGCGGGACACCCCCAGCTTCGATCGAATCATCCTCCAATCCGAAGTGGTTTTGGGTGTTGGCCTGATTCAAGTGTGCCATCGTTGGAAAAGCCAACCGCATTCCCTGGCTTGCCGCATGCAATCAACAGGGTCGCTTCGCAAGGTGGAAATACCCAAAAGATGAAGTCAAGGAGGGACTACAGCATTCTGCACCGTCGTCATACAAGAACTGTCTCGTTTTGTTGGGGCTTACTGAGTTGAGCTTCATCCTCCAACGTCTGCAGCTTTTATGCTCAGCATCAGGACACAACATCTACATGTGACGATCTAAACTCCTGGCTTTGACGGGCCCTGGGATGGTTTTTGACCAGGAACGGGCTTTAAAATAATATCGAAGCCGTTACTGCATTCACCAAGGCCGACTCCCTGTGGCTGACTATCCTCGAAATGGCGAACCAGATTGCTCATCAGCTTGATGGGAACGCTGCAAGCGGACCTTCCAACAACCAACAAGACGCGATCGAAGTAGACATCGAGGTGAGATAGACATCTAGACTGCAACAATCGGTTTTGTTACCCTGAAACACGTTCTATCCCTCGCGACCTCTTGCTGACGTCTTGCTCGTCTATTAATCTTTTCTTTAGACAAACCGAGAAGACTCGGACTCAACATTCGGCGACGGGTATGCTTCTCCACGAAATCAACGGTGGGGGCTTGATATATCTGGATTTATGATTGACGTTTACGACTTAGCCAGAGCGAAACAACTAGCCTTTCATCCAGCATTCTTGCTCATACCTATGAGAATGGGCGGCGATACCATGCGTACAAGGATGGTAAATATTTATCGCCAAACGACGAGCAAGAGAGCGATCGACTCGATATTCTCCATCACATCTACTTGATGCAGTTGAATGGTGAACTCCATCTGGCTCCTCTGGGCGAGGATTTTTCCGGGCGCGTCCTTGAGCTAGGGTCCGGGACGGGAATCTGGGCAATAGATATGGGTGATAAATATCCTTCTGCAACTATCCAAGCCATAGATCTGTCTCCAACACAAGCAGACTGGGTGCCACCGAATGTCTTTTTTGAAATAGATGATATGGAGGAAACCTGGACGTTCTCACGACCGTTCGACTACATCCATGGGAAGTTCCTTGCCGGCTCGATACGGGACTGGCCGAAATTGATGGCGCAGAGCTTCGATAATCTCAAGGAAGGCGGCTGGGTCGAATTCCAGGACTATGACTACGCCCCAAGGCTTCCGAACGGTCAAGTAGACGAGTCGGAGAACTGGGTGACGAAATGGCATAAAATTATGATGGGAACCTGCGAAGGGAAAACAGGTGCTAGCGCGAGCCCAGGCCCTTTGCTGAAGAAGCTCGTCACAGAGGCAGGATTCGAAGACGTCAAGGAATTCGTCTACCAAATTCCAGTCGGAACGTGGCCGAAGGACCCGAAACTCAAGGAGATAGGCCGCTACTATAAAGCGTCTCTGGATGATGGGCTTGATGGTATCAGTTTGCGCATCTTGACACACTTTCTTGGATACACGCTCGAGGAGGCGTCCGTTCTAAACGCTCATTTTCGAACGGCAATGAAGGAGATTAATTTTTATCACCTTTTGTAAGCACAGTCTCACATTTCTGACTCATTCAGTTTGCTGACTGCGTGTGCAGCTACGTCGTCTACGGACGAAAACCGCGAACAAAATGAGCCATAACGCAGGGCGAATCGCTTACATTTACAAAGTAATTACCACAGTGTAAAACTATGTCCGCATATTGATGTTGATGATTTACACAAGAATGACATCCCCAGCTAGAGTGCTCTCTCTCCCCATTTCTTATCATTGTCTCTATCTTTCTCCTCTCGCATTCACTCACTATCAAGTTATGATGACCCGAATACCCTTACTTTCTTTGTAGGGCCTCATAGCAAACGCGTCGTATTCAGGAGTGACATCTTTTATTGTCGTTTCGAACAGCTCAATGTTCTCGCCTACTCTCAGAATGACAGCAGCAAGGCACAAGTAGAGTTCAGCGTAAGCCAAATTCATCCCCAGGCATATTCGGGTTCCTTTTGAAAATGTCAGTAAATACTTTTCCTTCTCCCGATTCCTCTGCCCTTGCCCATCAAGCCACCGTTCCGGAAGGAACGCATGTGGATTCGGAAATAAGTCTGGATTCATATGAATGTAAATGGATGTCATAGATAAGACGTAGCCTGGTGGTATAACATAGTCAACGGGCTTGCCTTTGTAAGTTGAATGGAGATGGGTGGCTTCAACAGGGAATATCCGTGGTAAACGGCTAACAGGGCCGAATTGGTGTCGCAGTGTTTCCATTATTACTGCGCTGAGATATGGAAGCGCTTCGAGCTTTGCCAGTGGTGGCACATTTCTGTCTGGGGCTACGGCCAGGAGCTCCGACCTCATCTTTCTCATGATCTCGCGGTTATGGTAGATATAGAAAGTACAAAGCGACAATGCCCATGCTGTTGTCTCGGTCGCAGCGTTCACAAGAACTGTAGCTTCGAGAAGTAGTCGCTCATCTGTCTTCTCTTGCTCAGGAAGGTTTGACCGTAGCAGTTCATCGATGACGTTGTAGTATCCCTTCGATATCTTTTCATCATTCAAACGTGCCCTTGCATCTTGAACAGACTTTTTGCAAATCTGGCCGAATTAGCTTCAGTCCGCATTGATGGTTCGGTAGCATACGTTTTCCATCCCAATCCAATCGGCCATGCCGGGATTCATCTTGAGCATTCGTTCCCTGAAGATCGATGAGCAGAGGTTCTACAAGAGCTATCAGGGCAGCTCTCACTGTGGTATCCATCTCATAACTGTATGAAGCCATGGGAACAATCTCAAAACAGGGATCATAGCACCCATCGCGTCATTCGCGGCTTGCAGATTCGGCAAGAAGCGATCGCGCCCCAGAAAGTTGAACGTTCTTCCGAAGCAGTACTCTGCGATGACATCGGTAGTGAAGCTGGAATATGCCGCTGAGATTGTGAGCGGGCCGGTGTTACGGTATTCTAGAAGCTTGTCGGCGAATCTCTCGCAAGTCTGTTTGATATAGTCCTCGAGCTTCGCTACCGCTGCTTTGGAGAAGTACCGATTGAGCGCATTGCGACGAAGGCGATGTTCGTCATGATCGATGGATAGAAAAGACGTCTACATCTTATTAGCATTTCGGCAGCGTGCGACTACAACACACAGATTTTGTACATTATGTAGCATTCTGTTGCGTCCGTTGAGCTGTGTGATTTCCCACTCGCAGATGTTATGAAACTCACCCGAATTGACTCATCAAGTAGGGATCTTTATTCACTTTTTTATATCCACCTGGATACACGGTATCGATGAGGTCGGGGTCATTAACGTGAACCTCATTTGGATTAATCCTAACAATCGGTCCTGACTCCGTGATCAGCCTTTGTGATTTTGCTAATGAACAGCATTCCACCAACCATATTGCTCATGCAATTTTCCAATCTGCTTAAAGAATTGTGCTCCGAGGTAGAGATCAAAATATCGTTCATACCACCATGTTGCAGCCGCGAGTTTGGGACCGGGAATCTTCGCCAACGGGTGAAGCGTCAGTCTGTACACTGTCGTGGCTACAAACTTCAAAAAAAGCAGTGCTAAAGCAGCTAAAGAAATGCTGAACCACAGCGACATGCTGAAAAGTTGCTACACTAAGACTCTGAGCGATTGCGGTTGCAGAATCAGCAAGTTTGTAGCGGCAGCTCGTCGATTGATTTGATCCCAAATACTCGGAGCACGACAGACGTTTAAACGACAGCAACAGGTGGATTCAGCCATATCCGCTTTCGATCGAGGAGAGACCAATTACTCTGTACTTATCCTCGCTTGCAGACGGGCCGGGATCCCGTGCTTTTGGCGTTTTCGATGCTACAACGGTACAGGGGGAGCTATGCGCGGAGTCAAGACTGGGATGAACGCGACTTGCTCATGGTGGGCGATCGCCAGCAGAGATGCAGCCGTAGTCATGAACGGGAATCTCTCACACACCAGACATGAATGCTTTGTTCATACTTGTCGCCTCTCTATTGGTATTCTGGCCGAACTTTCCAAGTCCCTTCAACGAGGAAGCTAAGAAACGTTGCCGAACCGAGGACTGGAACCAGAAACTCATCATCCCCCGCAGGTCTTGCATGCAGCGTGCAGCAGAAGCCTGGACGCCAGCCTATTCGAAAGGCACCTTATCAATTAAACCATTAGTGCTGTGCCCATCTGCTTTCTGTTCGTTCTTCGACACCTGGTTTCGGTTCCAGCGGAGCTTGCCGGTGACACCTCCAATCAGGGTAATTCCGAGTGGGCAAGAGAGACATATTAACCGCGGCGCCAGAAAGTGGACGCTCTTGCACTCGACTTTTGAAGCCAGAGTTTTTCAATTCACGTCGCTTGTAAAAAGCCTTTGCATGAGCGTTCTTTCAGCTTCGATTTTGCGTGCTCTCTTAAAAAGCTATCCACTTGAACCATATAGTCTGTGGACATGTTTTAGCTAAGCAATCAATCCAATTGCATCAGCAACAACTATTAAGTCTCCCCAAAAGCTCGTATGGCCCCTGCTGGGGCCGCCATTCATCGATTGTTCATATGATGCTCTTCGCCTCGAAACCATTTGTCAGTCTATTTTCACGTCTGCTGACAGTCTATTCGCCAAACCGCGTTCAGCGCATAAGAATGGTGCCCAAGTGTCATGAGACTAGCCTTTCTGTTTCCAAAACTGAGCATTATATGTCAGACATGCTGTCCAAGTGGCTAGGGATTACGAAATGACCGTGGATGACCTAGTTCTGTTCGTCGGTTGAGATCAAAGAGTGAGAATGAAATCTCTGTGTAGTGTCTACCGGGAGGTGAAATATGTACCGACCTTTGCTTGATGAACTCCTTGTGCCGCAGGCTTTCATATTTATGCATGACGTGGATGTGACTGCACCTTGTCAAACATACGCATCTTATATCCGAATATGGACAGGCCTTGTTTTCTTGTATGAGAGAATCCTAGGGATTAATAACCCTATCGAGATTTTGCTTGCGGGTATGTCTGACGAGCCAAGAGTTGGTGTTGGTAATGAGATTCTCATGGTGATGATTTGCATGTCTTGCTTTATGAGCTTACGTCTGCTTAAGTTTCCGGCTTCATTCTCCTCGATGACGAAGTCTGTCTTAACTTTTAAAAGCTTATGGAATAGACTAACGTACATTGGTTAGTGGTAAAATGACCGTTGCTTGATTCATGGAAATATGCTAACACCAATCTTCCTTCTCCAGGCTGAATTTCATTGACAGCAAACTGGGAATTAGAGATCAGAAATTGTGCGCTGCGGTTCTATCAGGACGAGTCCAAGGTGGAATGAAAGCGTTGCTCCAGCGAGTCAACGTTTGGCCTGTGTACCCTCTGAACATGTCACTCCTCCTCAATTACTGACGCAGCATGATAGTCTGATCAATTGTATCCACAGTCACAGATCAGACGAATTCAATTGTCAACTTTTAGCTTTTGATGTTCCCAACAGTCAGTATTTCGCGCGGTAAACAAATCTGCGCAAACGCACAGAAGAAGTCAATGTGCCTCTTGGAAAGGAGCACCGTGTCGATGTCTTCTGGAGGACTGTCAATTTTCAAGGCTTAATTCGCCTGGCATCTATCACCGTGGTTGATCTGCCAACTCATTTTACATGTACGTCGTGCTCGACTAGTGCTCACGCCTTAAAAAATAATTTCATTGCATAGTGCCTATGTTATATCCGATGGACCTTATAGCTGGCAACGTAGCTTGGCCTAAGCTGATTTGATGCAGCTCCAAATGGAAAATGAAAAGCAAAAATTAAGCAAAAAGTTCGGCTTGTATGCGAAATAAATCAAGATCTGACGATGCCGAGAGTGAAGAGCAATGCTGTGAAAATGAAAGACTTTGAGACAATCCAGGGACAAGAAGGTTTGGATAGGTGAGAGGAATGCTTATTGGTATCTCTATTACTTACAAAACGGCCTGATACTCCATAAACGCCATTACAGGGCCTTCGCATCGCTTCAAAAATAGAACGTGTCAGCATACATTTGACTCATAATTTTCTCCCTGTCCGGAATCTAAATTTGAGTCGGCAATTGATTGCCCAAATTTCTCAATGTCCTATCAGAGACACGGAAAGCCGGCTGCATGAACCGGATGATACGTCATATCTTTCTAGACGTGTTCTCTATGCTGGGATCCAACGTGCCTTTTTCGGCGATGGCATCCTCTCTGATTCATCTGTTCGATGGAATTACCAATCAGCTGCGCCTGATCAATTCACCGACGATGACTTCCTGCGGCTTTATTAGAAGCCTGCCATGTCTGACCTTTCGTGGGCTTCAAGGCTCGAGGAAGATATTTCTATGTTACAAGAAACAGTTCCCTTAAGCGATGTTTCCGGCTAAACCAATAAAGAGCGCCTGGGCGGCAAGCTGTAAAGTCCAGACGCCGACTTTCTTGAACCTCCTGCGGCGCAATTGGTCATCGTCTAGGACGTCTCTTGCGAATGCCTCGTACACCTGTCATAAAATTAACTCCTGCACAGATTAGGAAAAGGAAAAAAGGTCTGTTCTTACCTCCCGCGATAGATCTTCCATCAACCCACTATCATACGCGGTCCAACTTCCATCAAAATCACTCATTTGTTTCACAACTCTACAGCTCACAGGGATGAAGGCCCTGCGACTGTTGATATAGGCAACAATTGGCCTAATGAGTGCGTTATTGATATACGAGATATCAGCTGTGAAGTATGGAACTGTCGCGCGTACGTCATTGAGCTGAATTCGAATATCCATGACGAGGAACCGTTTGTCTCCTTCAGAGGGTACCAAATTATCGGTTTGCGCTTGGCCTATCTGATTTCGTGCATTCGTGCTAGTTTCCGTAGAGGATGTAGTGGCCACTTGTGAAGCGTCTTCTATTGCAGAGTTTTCTGCCGATTGTTCTTCCGGTCTTTCTGGCACAGATGCAAATCCGCCCTCTCGTAGAACCGCTCCCGTAGCGATTGGGATTCGCTGCGCCGATGATGTGACAGTCGCTTCGACCCTATCGTAAAAGTCGCTCATAACTTTGGCGATACTTTCGTCGTCGCTTGGGAACATCATATCGCTCACAATATCCACTTTACCCTCCTTGATCCAGGAAAACATACCCTCTACCCCCCGGTTCAGGTGCTCAATATTGAGTCCGTCGATACGGAAGCGTGCGTGTTTCTTCCACTGCGTGGCCTCGTCACCAGTCCCAGAAATTCGAGTGGTGCCCGCGTAGTTGTGTTCTTGACGGGGGTGAATTGCGAACATTGCATTGTCATATGAGCCGCTCATGACATTGGCGGAGAGAAAGTCATAAAACAGCCATTGTTTTCGCAAGCGTGGTAGTTCGCAGAGGTGGATGCTGACGGAAAACGGACGGAAGCCATCTGGCTGATACACGGTGACAAGCATATCTTCCAGCTTAAAAGAGTCAAGCTCGAAGTCACCAGGCTGGTGCTCATGGCGCCATGTGCGTGGATCGATGCCATCCCAGGTCGAAGAAACGACGTGAGTGCGGTCGATGACACCACGTACGCCTTTGATTTCGACATCGCGAAGTAGGCCCTTGCCGTTGAACCATTTCGCAAACGAAAGGGTCACGTTGACTGTGTCTATGGACACATCGAACTGTGTGTAATTGCCGTCATCTTCTTCGACGGCTGTGTCATTTTTTGACTCGCCTCTTCCCTCGCTGACAGCAGCAGCTGCAGCCGCTTCGGCAGCACTCCCTTTCTTCACTTGACTCTTACCCCTTCCTGGCCGCCGACTGACGAACACGTTCGAGAAGCTAATGACACCATCTTTCCACCTAGGAACCACCGCGCTCTCAAACACTACCTGCAGCCCACTTGATTTTGTGAGGTAATTTCCCGCCCAACGTGCGAGAGTTTCCTGTGTAAATGCCGTGTTTATGAGGAAGATGATCAGAGAGAAAAATGTGGTGGTGCCAAGCAGGATCCAAATGAGATGACCAGCGAGGATCCACGTAAAGAAAGCGCTAATGTCGTCGACATTCCAGGGCCTGAAGGAACGAATGCTGAACCACTTGAAGTGGATCTTGAAGCGAGACCAAGCTCCTGTAGCGGCGGAGAGGAGCTCATCCTTTGTTGGGCGATGAGGGAATGGGATGTGCGGGAGACGATGGAGAAGAGAGTGATTTTCTTCTCCCGTTGGTTCTTTTGGAGGTTGCGTGGGAGGAGGTGGAGGCTTATTCGTAGGGGACAATTCTGCCTTTGGCGCGGAGGGCTGCGATGGCTTCGATGAACCGGTCGCCGAGCTCTTCTGTCGGACCGCCGATAGCACTCGCCTCCTCTTTGACCTCGTATGTGCATGTCGTCGCCAGGCCGCAATTGCTAGTTGCCGAACACTAGACCCGTTCGATGACTGCGGCCGAGCGATGGATCGGAATACTTCGACGCTGACGTTCACATCTGCTCGTCCACCCTGCGTCAATGGCAGCGAGCATCTCCCGTTCGAAACCCATCGCGCTGCCCCAAGGCTACGTGGTCTGCCTGCAAGGAGCTGTTGGTTTATTGCCGTAGCCACACTCTCCAAGCTCTTGCTGTCTCGCGCAGGACCACGTAATGACGAGCGGTGCCAAACCGCGTCGCCGGCCCTCAGACCGATACTGCGAAGCATTATCCCGTCTACAACTGCTCATGGCTCTCCACAGCAAGACGAAGACGAGGATTGAGAGGGCACAGGCATGACGCAAAGCGCAGAATATGAATGGAATGGCTGCCTGGTAAGATCACAAAATTGTGTTCTGCGCGGACCAAGCTTTTTAAAGTCCGTGGATGATGAACGTTCGATGACGCTCGAGCGCATTGCCGGGCGGACACCAGCCACTCCGCCGCCACACTTACCCAAACCGCCCGTCTCCACCCACCGACGCCGCCGCCGGACCCTTGCGACTGCGCGCCAGCGAAATCTTGGCAGACAAAAAAAGTTTGGACGCTGGCTGCAGTCCTGGCATCGATCGAATTGAACTTTACGGCCACCTCTTAACGGCATCCAGGAAGAATGTCGAGCTTCTTCACCACCCCGGCTTCGCAGAGGAAGCGGAAAAGGCCGGATTCGGCTGCGAACACCTCGTCCAAGCGTAGAACGATATCATCGACGGGCAAGTCAGCGCTGCAAAAGAAAGCCTCTCGTCAGACGTTGCGAGACGAGTCGATATCGGCTGGCGAGTCGGACTCAGAAGACGAAGCGCCTCGATTGAGAGATGACGACGAAGACGATGAGGACGAGGACGACGCAAGCTCTGGAGGCGAAGACGAGACTGCCGACGAGCGACGGTTGAGACTGGCGCAGCGATATCTCGACAACATCCGAGAAGAAATCAAAGAAGATCCGTACGCATTCGATGCGGCCGATCTAGATCGGGATCTCATTGCCGAGCGTCTGAAGGAAGATGTAGCGGAGTCAAAGGGAAAATTGCACAAACACATTGCGCAAGAATACGACTTTTCAAACGTCGTCCCGTCGTTCTTCACAGCAGACCAAAATGGAGTCACCGGAGTAGTGGTGGTTCTTCCGTACGCGTACACAGTGTCGAAAGATGGCAGCATCGCAAAGTGGGAGCTCGCCTTGCCGCATGGCTCATCCACTGCAGAGAAAAAGGAGGAGGAGCACGGGAATAGACCAACCAACATCACACCGCGGAAACGGCCAAAGCTAGTAAAACGCTTCCGCCAGCCACGGAAACAGAAGAGCACATACCAAGGTCATACTGGACCAATTCTTTGCATCACAGCTTCGACTTCTGGTAAATTCCTCGCGACGGGTGGCGCAGACAAAAAGCTTGTCGTCTGGGACCCGGTCACGCTCAAGCCGTTGAAATCATTCGCTCAGCACAGAGACAAGGTTCTGTCTTTGAGTTTCAGACGCGGAACACACACGTTGTACTCTGCCAGCGAGGACCGCACGAACAAGGTCTGGAGTCTGGACGAGATGGGCTACGTGCAGACGCTTTTTGGGCACCAGGAGGGCGTCGTGGACATAGCCGGATGCGCAGGAGAGACGTTCGTCAGCGTAGGCGGTAGGGACAGGACAGCACGCCTCTTCAAGGTCGTGGAGGAGCAGCAGCTAGTCTTCCGCGGAGGGGGTAGCGGCAGTGTCAAGGAGAAGAAGAAGGAGGTCAACGGAGAGGGTGTGCACGAAGTTACGAGGTTCGAGGAGGGCTCTATTGACCGTGTCGCTGTTGTGGACGAGGAGACATTCGTGACCGGCTCGGACAACGGAAGCATATCCCTCTGGAGCGTGCTGAGGAAGAAACCAGTGTTCACGATTCCCCTGGCCCATGGAGCAGATGAACCCCTTACCCTTGAGGACGCCTACGCTGAACTCGAGGAAGGAGAGTTGAAGGGCAAAGAACGGCCGGGACGCAGAAAGCCGAGATGGATCACCGCGCTGGCGACCATCCCGCTCGCGGACATTGTTTTGACGGGGAGCTGGGACGGATTCATCAGAGTTTGGCGCGTAACGCCTGATCGGAAACGGCTGGAGTCTGTCGGCGTCGTGGGCCAAGACGGGCAGCTGTCAAGCCTTGCCGAGATGAAGGAGGCGACCAATGGCGACGCCGAAGGCCACGCAGGCAAGCCTCTGATTAAGGGGATTGTCAACGACATATCGATCGTCGAGCGCGGCCAAAAGAGCAAACTAGACGTCATGTCGACCAGCGCCACGACCGGTTTGTGCGTTGTCGCCGCGGTTTCCAAGTCACATCGACTGGGGACGTGGCACGGCAGGAAAGCAGTGGACGGCGCGAAGAACGGTGCTGTCGTGTTTGAAGTGCCGAAAAAGACGCTTGCTAATGGAATGGAACCGCAGGAAGACGGCGATGAGGACCGGACTGATGATGCACATTGATATTTTGCTATGCTTGTTGTTCTGCCCATATGCTAGATAGTACAATCTATTCCGGATCGAGGGGGCATCGCTGCTTCCTTCCCCGTTGTGTTGTTTTCTTTCTTTCTATAAGTCTTCGCCACACCTAATGCAGTTCAGCCCACTCGTGCTTCTCCCTTTATCGACAATAAAATCGCCAACATATACAAGCAATAGGAACGGATGATGCAAGTGTGTGCATGCTGGTACAGACGTTAAAGCCCACGATGGGGCTAAGATGCTAAAAACAAGACCCGATATATACATCCCGATACAAAGGAGATACCGAATTGACCATCAGCGTTCATCGCAATAGCCTGGAGGTTTTCCACTATCGCTGCCCACCCAGCTCTTGACCGTTAGGACGGTCGTGTACGCCATTCCTACGAAGCCGAAGATGATCAAGATGATGTCTGCGACGCGCTGCCACGTAGTCTTCGAAATTGCCCGATAGTGTAACATGGGCTAATATGACCGTCAGCTAAATTACAAGTATTTCTGACGGAGCATGGAAAAGAAAGTCAACGTACCGGATAGATGTATACGAGGGGGATGCACGCAAACGAGCCTACAAGCGCAACAAACTTGTCCAGGTCATCAGCACCCACCCATGCGATGCCAGCACATAAGACAACCATGAAGAAGCGGTAGACGTTCTTCTTCCACTTGACCCACGGATTGCCCTTCCCACTCTTACGACTGAAAATGGCTTTACTTGTGATCTCGATGGCTGGAAAAAACTGTAGTGGCGTGCTCAACAAGATGGCCAGGGAGTATATGAACTGCACCGCGTTCACGAACTTGGAATCCTGCGGCATGTTCAAGATAACGACAGTCTTCGTCTTGGAGCCGTATGCAGCGTACGACAGGGCACCCATTGAAGTAAAAACTACGGTTATAACGACCATGACGATGGCAAGAACCGAGGGGAACTTCTGGGGATGTTGCATTGATTCCTGAATCGGAATGATAAGGCCGATGCCCTCGAAGGTGAAGATGGCCGTGCCAATGAAGAGGGTCCAATCCTTGCTATTGAAGGGCTTAATGTCGGCTATGCCATGATTAACAGAAGAGATGGTGTAGATATCGAAGTAGTACAGGTAGAGCAAGCCAGCCAGGATGAAGATGTCAGCAACAACGGCAATCTTTTGTATGTTTTGTATATTCCTGTAAAGGGAGAGAGGAAGGAAGATTACCATCTGCATAAGGATGAAGAATGGAACGGGAATGTTCTTCTGGCAGTTTGTTATGGCCAGCACAAAGGCCTGCAGGTTCTCCGACACGAACACGATGTATGCGGACGAGAAACCGATCTGGGAGATGACAAGCGAGAAGTTGATGAGGATGAGCATCCACTTGCCGTAGAGGCGCTTGCCCATGCCGCCGAATGAAGCAGGTACGGCGATGCGGGTGCTACAAAGAAGCAGAAAGCAGTAGTAGCTAAGCGCGGCGACGAAGAGGAGAGTGAGAGATGAGAAGAGCATGCCGCCGTTGAGGAAGGCTTTGGGCAAGAAGAGAACGCCTGTGCCGACGAAAGACTTGAGCAACAACAATGCTGCTCCTTGAGGACTCGCTCCGTGGGCTGCCTTCTCCTTGCGCCGTCTACGCTTGCCTGGCGTGTCGAGCAGGGCGCTGCGTTCACCAAACTCCTCGCCATCGGCACCTTCTCCGTCTCGCACCGCGTCTTCGTAGGCATCAGAGGAGAAGTAGTCGTCTTCCTCGTCATCGTACTCTTGCTCCAGCTCTTCACCGGCAAAGTGGCCATACAGACTGAGGAACTCAATAAAGCTAGTGGTAAGGATCTGGGGGCGCCCGCTGGCGGCTCCAGCCTCGACGCTGCCGTATGCGCGGCTGCTTTCTCCTTGTTCTCGATTCGGCGACGGACTGAGGGCCTGTCGACGTATGTAGTTACGCCTAAACCCACCCGGCTGCTTGATCGAATCGATATTCAACGTGGGGTCATCGTCGTCCACGGTCACCCTGTGAGCGTTCGACGTGCTCTTCCTCCTCAAAAGCGCAGTTCTTTGCTCTGCCTCCTGTTGCTCAACCAGCCTGTAGATATGCCTTGTGGTATCGCCGCCCTGGAGCCGCAAACTAGAGAATTCGTCGTCGTCCAACCCAGGCGCTACCGTCTCATCGTCCAGCTGCCGCTGGCCCGAACCTCCCCTTGGCCGCCGAGCAGGCGATCCGAGCCCAGAAGCCAGCTGAGACGCGTGTCCCGCCGGACCGGCTAAATGCCTCTTCACAATCTCGAGATTATCGCTTAACAAGGGACTGCCGGCCCTCGCCTCGAAACTGCCGTATTCTGTCCGCCCACGTAGGACTCCAGACGACGGCGACAGCGGCCGGGCCGGCGGTGTACCGAACCTGGGCGGGCTTCCGCTGTACGAGCCTTTCAATGCCGCCGCCAGAGCCGACTCAGCCTGGACGCTCGAAACAGAAGCCTTGGAACCATCGAATACGCCGGTGGGAGTTTGAGACCCAGACCGTGGCTGTGTGCCCAGCTGCGAAGGCGTTGGTATCTGGCGTACAGGCGGTGTGCCCGTCGGTATGGGCGAGCCCAGTCGTGCCGTCGTCGACGCCCGCTGGCTGGACGACAACGCCGGAGACGCACCCAACAGCGGTGAATCGAGCGGCGAGGATCTCGCAGGCACGTTCCTTGCCTTGGAAGATGGCTCTTCCGAAATCCTGCCGGGACTAGGCATGATCGACGCCGTCTTCGTTGTCGTTGTTGTTGTTGTCGTCGTCGTCGACGTCGCCGCTGCGTGTTTTCAGATGGATCTGAGCGGGCTCGTCCTCGGCGTGGGACTGAGGATGAGTTTGGAATCAAACTCGGGTACCAAGCTGGCGTGGGGTTGGCTGCTCCAGCACGTGTTGCCCACATGCGACTGTAAACACAGCCAGACAGTCGAAAGACAGCAGGACAATGGTATCAAGGGCCCATGAAGGCACTGCAATCTTCTTAACGAGGGTTTGCTACCGAAGCGTCGTGCAATGGCGTCTTGTTCGACAAATACGAGCGGGTTCGTCCTGACTAGTTTGGCGCTTTGGGCGCTGAGTCCAGGCAAAGACCCAAGAAGCCACCAGCGAAACAACGACGACATCACGCCGCATGGATCATCAATCCTCGTGACAGCCCCAACTCGTTCTGCTTTTCCATCCATCTTCAATCTCGTGCCGTTCCAGCTGTGAGCTCGATTCGTCCATCCACTCGCTGGCTCCCCGCTGTCAGGCCCTCCCAAAGGTCACGGTGCCCGCATTGTTTCTCGTCAGTCTCCCAAGGGGCCCGAGAGGAGAACCCAGCATGCCGATGAGGCGCGCGTGAGGCCGCTTACGGAACAGAAAGAGCTTGGATCAATTCTTCCCAGAACGGCGGAGCTGGGCCTGCGTATCAGATTCTCCAGATTAAGCAGCTTTCCTTTTTCGGCTGCATGCGTTATCGTTGCGGTCCATTGCTTGCGGCGCCGATGCTTGGACGACGATGAGCTCTGCTAACCACGTCTCGTCGTCTTTTAGACGTCGGGAGCCGCATCGGTCGCACTCGAATTTTGCAACAAAGACTGCGGTTGACGAGGAGAACCGGCTCGCACGCCGGTGGTCGCTGTTCACTGGCGGCTCTCCGTCTCCGCGAAATGAGAACCGCAACCCCCTCGACGAGGGTGGCGCTGATCATTTTGACGGCTTCGATGGCGTCCATCAGAGAGAGTCGTCCGGCATCCTGGATCGGATGCGATCTTTCTTCAAATTTTCCGACAGCGAGCGCGCATCGTCTTCGAGGTCTAGGAGACGGTTGGACCCTCTGCGACGCGGCGTGGAAGAGCCTTTGCTGGCGACCGCCGCTGCGTCCGACTACAGGTCCATCAGCAAGCGTGAGAGCGTTGGCCATGGTAAAGGGAAAGATGCCGTCACGGGCAAGGCGCCCGAGGAAAAGTCTGCCAAGCTGGGCACCTTTGCTGGTGTCTTCGTGCCCACCACTCTCAACGTGCTCTCTATCCTCATGTTCCTCCGCTTTGGCTTCATTCTCGGCCAAAGCGGCGTTACTGGAATGATGGGCATGCTGATTGCCTGCTATGCCATTGACCTCCTGACCATCATGTCTGTGTCCGCCATCGCCACCAATGGTACCGTCCGAGGCGGCGGTGCGTACTACCTCATCTCGCGAAGTCTGGGCCCCGAATTCGGTGGATCTATTGGCATTGTCTTTTATCTGGGCCAGGTGTTCAACACCGGGCTGAATGCCGTGGGTCTGATCGATTGTCTAATCTACAATTTTGGAGATAGAAGCGGAGGGTGGTCGCAATGGTTGCCGGACGGTGGCTGGTGGAACTACTTATGGGCTTCTTTGGTGCTCATACTCTGCACAGCCATATGTCTTGCGGGATCGAGCTTATTTGCAAGGGCCAGCAATGGCCTACTTGTGATTCTCCTGGTGTCTACGTTCAGCATACCTCTCTCTGCCTTGATCGTCCCTCCGTTTGTGAACAAGAGATTAGGAATTGAATACACGGGCTTGAGCTGGCAGACATTCAAGGAGAACTTGATGCCACATTTTACCAAGGGTGCTGACGGAAGTCAGTTAAAAACGAAGGAGAACTGGCAGGATCTCTTTGGCATTCTCTTCCCGGCTACCGGCGGTATCTTTGCTGGTGCTAGCATGAGCGGCGATCTAAAGCACCCTAGCAAAGCAATTCCAAAGGGCACATTATACGGCCTAGGACTAACCTTCGTCTCATACACGTTGGTTATCCTCGCGCTAGCCGCCACCGTTACGAGAGCGTCACTTTACCGCAATGTCAATGTCATGCAAGATGTCAACATCTCCGGGGTCATCGTACTTCTCGGCGAATTTGCGTCTACCTTCTTCTCTACCTTGATGGGCGTCATCGGTGCTGCAAAACTTCTGCAGGCACTTGCCCGGGATAATCTCATCCCAGGCCTGGGCATCTTTGGTCAGGGCACAAAGGGAGCTGACGAACCGACCTTTGCCATTTTCATCACGTACCTCGTGGCACAGCTCACCATGCTGGCAGATATCAATCAGATCGCCTCTTTCGTCACAATGACCTACCTCATGACATTCCTCGTCACGAACCTGGCTTGTTTTCTACTCACCATTAGCTCGGCACCAAACTTCAGACCATCTTTCCACTTCTTCAACTGGCAGACTGCATTTGCGGGAACTATTGTCAGCGGCGCCATAATGTTCTTCGTTGATCGTCTTTATGCCGCCATGTCTGTGGCTATCATGGCGCTGATCTTCTTGATCATCCACTATACCACCCCTCCTAAGTCATGGGGAGATGTAAGTCAGTCTTTGATTTACCACCAGGTGCGCAAGTACTTGCTACGCCTCCGCAGCGATCACATCAAGTTCTGGAGACCTAGTGTGCTCCTACTTCTCAACGATCCCAGGCGTCAGTACAAGCTTGTCCAATTCTGCAACTCGCTCAAAAAAGGCGGACTTTTCATCCTAGGTCACGTCATTGTCACCGATGACTTCGCGGGTGCTGTTCAGGAAGCAAAGAAACAGCAGACAAACTGGCAAAAATATATAGACTTTTCGAGAATCAAGGCCTTCATCAATGTATGCATCTCGCCTGCTGTGGAGTGGGGAGCACGAAATATTGTCCTATCAGCCGGGCTGGGGGGTATGCGGCCAAACATTGTGGTCATGGGATTTTTTAACCTCAACGATCTTCGCACAAGCCAACACCTGATCGATATTCCTTCTCCAATGCCGTCACGTCCATCAAGTGTCAGGAATATACAGTCTTCGGAGGCAAAGGGCCCGCGCAAGCGTGCGCAACGAGAACAAGAGCGAATGTCAAAGCCTTTACCAACCGATTTGAATCGCCCAGAGGGTGCAATCAGTGCCACGAGCTACATGACTATTCTTGAAGACTTGCTTCTGCGTTTGCAGATTAACGTTGCAGTTGCAAAGGGCTTCCAAGAGCTGGAGCTTCCTCCACCGAAGCCAACGATCCGCGACCAACTCCTCTCGAGGCTAGGTTGGAAGGAACTCGACGATGAGACAGAAAAGAAATACATTGATTTGTGGCCAATCCAGATGTCGGCCGAGATCGCCACAGAGGGGGACGATAAAAAAAGCGTGCTGACCACAAACTTTGATACGTATACTCTAATCCTGCAGCTCGGCTGCATCTTGGATACTGTACCAAGCTGGAAACGAGCATACACCATTCGCGTATGTGTGTTTGTCGAATATGAGACAGATGTCGAAGAGGAACGGTTAAGAGTGACTGCTCTGCTCAGCAATCTACGTATCAGGGCCGAGGTGCTCGTATTTTGGCTGGCATCGGGGTCGCTGAAGACCTATGAAATAATTGTCAATGGAAAGCGAGACGGCGAATTCTTGCAGGCCCTGGTCGATGTTGACGACTGCCTTGAAGATGAAGACTGGTGGACTGACGTGCAAAACTTCAGACGCAAATCGGGAACCATGTCCGCTGTGCAGGAAGCCGAGGAAATCGAGGGAATTCTGGACTCGACCGCCAATTGGCCGACATCAAACTTTCAGGGCAGTGCTGCTGGAGAGCAGGCTGCTCGCATCAAATTTCATGGCTTGCGCAAGATACTGAAAAAGGCGAGACGAAGAGCAAGCATCAGCAGCAGAGGTAGTTCCATGTGGGGACCAATGCGGGCAAACTCTTCCGTTCTCAACGTAGACTTCGCTGAACATCATCATCGAGCATATGATAGTCCCAGTGAAAGCTCGTCCTCTGATGACGACGACAGTACAGGAAGCGAATCTGAGGGCAGCGCAGTCAGCGAAGGCGACGCAGACGAGTACAGAACAAAGTCAATCGAAAAATTCAACATTCGTCGGGCTCAGAGCGTAGGCGGCTCTGCTCGGCCTGCTTGGTTGCGAAGATTAGGCCCTGAGAATGCCATTGCTAGCGACTCAAGTACGCCGCGAACGGCAAGTCGAGAGAGACCCTCGAAATCAGAGGGCCCACCACCGTCAAGCAGTGAACTCACGTCGTCAACTGCGTCTCAGACGGAGATGCCTGCGACGAGTACGTCTGGCAGCTCACAGGTCCCTGTACCCACAACTTCCTCCTTGCAACAGAACCACGACGAGGACAAAGCGCGACCTTCCTTCCATCGGCACAAGTCTCTGCCAAAGTTCAGCTCGAAGCCTGTGCCGGCCACAGAAGTCGCTGCGGATGAGACCCAAGGAAGAAGCATCATGTTCGCGGACTCTTCGTCGCCGCCGCGCAGAGGCAATAACCAGCTGTCGTCAATCTACCGCTATCCGCCCTCGAGCGCATCTCAATCTAGGTCCCGCGAACGCAGTGATGTGACCGACGCCAGTGGATCCCAAGTATCAGGCCCTCCGCCCTCAGCGGCCGCAGCGGCGATCCCGCTATCCTTCAATGACCTGCCTTGCCGAGCACAGCATCTCATCCTCAACGAGCTGATGGTTTCACAGTCTGCTTCTACGGCAGTCGTCTTCACCACGTTGCCTACTCCTGTGGAAGGCACGTGCGATAGTGAGGTGGACAGTGTGCGATACATTAGCGACCTTGAAGTGCTGTGCCACGACTTACCTCCAGTGCTCCTCTTGCATAGCAACAGCATCACCGTTACGATGAATCTGTAAGGACGAATAGAGCATAGTTCATGTTTTTAGCGCTTAGATTGGTAGATATCAGAAAAGTTTTGTTTTGCAAAATTGTACGACTTTCCACATCAAAAAAGAATTGCCAGCATTTGTCTCGTACTTACTTTTGGTCTTTGATGCCTAGCCCACGTCATCTGCGGGCAGATCCAGGTTCTGGGATCGACGACGAATTGCAGAGATGGAGTCGTTACAAAGATTGTGGAGGGAACATAAGTTATAAGCATTAAGCAGTGCAAACACGAAGATATACCACACTTATTGACCGCGAGGATGTGTCCATGTTGGCGTTACATCTCTAGTTCCATGCTCATGGATGTCATTTCAGCTAGGACAAGACATGGCTGCGCAAACGAGCGAACCTGGTTATATAGAATACGTCATGTAAGTCAGCCTGAAAGCACATCTATTGTACTCGTGCGTCCGTCTATCCGCCTGTCATTACCTCTTCTGATCCATCATCTTCGCTACACTCTGTCGTCGTACGATCTTACCGCAAAAAAACGCGCTCCTGTCCACATGAACGAATTCAACACGACCAGTCGAGTCGCGAGCGCTGCACGTTCTTTTTTCGGCTCCAAGCTCTGATGTCAAGTTGAGGAAGTTTCCCTCACATGTCCTTGGTCGTTTTTGAGAATGTCTTGCCGGGCATGCAGGTACGCCCTGGCTTGTCAACCTTGGAGCCTGTGGAGTGGGCTATCGTACCGTCCTGGTCAATGTGTCGTTTTCGCCGAGATAATGAAAGATAGTCAACGCGGCCCGGTCATGGAGCAGACCCCGTTCAAAAGAATACCGGCCAGTCGCCATGAGACGAAGCCCCATCTTCGGTGCAAAGCTCTCGTTCTATTGTGGTGCCTCTAACTAATAGCAAAAGAGGATATTGGCGGGATTCGTCAGCGGTCCCGCCGGGCAATGGACATGAGTGGACTCATCGAGGTGCTCAGGCATGTTTGTCGCGGGATACTGCAGGGGTTTGCAAAGAAGGTTTTGTGTCTTATCGTTTTTCTACGTGCTGCTCATGATATACAATGATTCCTGAAAGGATGGCGTCGTTTACGAGGGGGAGATAAAGTTATTTATCATGTCAGTAGGGTGTTATGACGTTTCTCATGGCGGACGTGCTAGCTGCGACGATGCGAAAGATTCCGTCACTTGCTCCTCCAAGAAGAAACCGTTTCTGCAAAACATGTTCAATTCTGTAGTTCTGTGATACGCTCGTGAGCTTCATCAATGATACTAGTCGGTCAATTCTCCTTCTGAGCCCATATGTTCCTTCTCCACTCCAGGCTCTCGATCCAGGAACAGGCTTCAAAACTCAGACAGAGCGCCGGATTGACACCTTTCAGTCCTTCCTCTCCCATGAGCGCCAGCGCTGCAAGTCCCAGCGCCGAGTGATATATGTCTGGTGGGTCGCCTGGCTTCTTGGCAAAGCCACCAATGGTATGCTGCGTCTTGGTGAGAAGATAATTGCGCGATGAGGGAAGAGAGGCCAAGTGCAGTCGAGAAAGCAAGGAGAGAGAGCCACCGATCCAAAATGCGTAGCAGGTGTCTGCAGGCTTGTTGCAACGGCCATTAAATCCTGCTATTAGGGGAGTGACAGCGGATTGGTCCCTTCCGCTATCGATTAAGCCGTCATTATCGTCATCTGCGTCGTCATCATCATCATCATCATCATCATCAGGCTCTTCACCATCCGCATTGAGTTGAGAGGTTTGTCGTGAGACCAGCCAGTGTGTTGTGAATTCTACATCGCTGAGCCCACTATTTCGTCTCGTGCTGGGGTCGCCGCTATACGGCGTTTGGATCTCCTTAGGCAGGCCGTCCGTTAGTGCAAGAGCCGCAAGAGCGCAGTACGTGTAGCCGCCTGTACCATCGTTTAGCCTTATACGAGACTAGGATCGTTTAGAACACGACGCACCGTGAGGCTCGTGGAATATCATCTCTGACACGCCTCCATCAAACGTCTGCGCCCTCCGAATGCACTTGATCAATGCGTCGACGTCAACGTCTTTGACACCTTCTACGTCGCCGACGGCTCTTCCCCTGAGTATCCACCGTACTCCTGCAGCACAAAATCCAAATCTTGTGTCCATACCGCCTTCGATGGCGCCACCCTCCCCTAGATGCTCGCCAAAACTTCCGTCGGGTCTTTGCATTTTCAGAAGCCAGCACAGGCACTCCTTCCTCTTCACCCTCATGAAGTCGTCCTTCAACATCGCAAGCATGCTCAAGGCGAAAAACGTAGCGGGTACAGTAGCCACATCCCAGTCGCTGCTTGCTAGGCCCTCCATCTCCACCGCGGGAGGTGGGCTTCCCCTAAACCCGCCATCTCGATGTTGGCACAAGTAGATCCAATCGATGCAGGCTTGACGCTCATCTGAAGACAGAGTGGAGTCCAGCGAGCCCAAAATGTCGAGTGAAAGGATGGTGAAGTAAGCAAGCATCATGCGGTTTGCATCCATGGTGGTATACTGGTTTGGAAGATAGGTCCTAAGGCACCGCTTCCAGTAGAGGATGTGCTTTTGCCTCTCAAACTGGGGAGTGAGAGGGCCTTGGGGAGACATTTTCTGTCGGTGAACTCGTATCCTGGCGGTAAGGATTCTCTTCTTATGCTCCTCGCGTGTTTTCCCAAGCTCTTTGCAATGATGAAGGAGTTGTGACCGTGGTCATTCAACAGAGAATTTTTTTTGAATCTTCCTCACCACCGCCACTATTACCACGGCCAAGACAGTTCACCACAGAATGATGCGAATTTGCAAGGCTTACAGACTTTGCTCTTGATCGGAAGAAAGTGTTTCTAAGCTAGGCTTCATCCGATCGGCCACAAGTTTCCGGGACGCTTGTGGCCCAAAAATAGGTGCGGAAGCCAGGCCCCGTGTGTCTCGGGCGCCCTCCCCCCCCCCCCCCCTAAAATACAAGATCACCCCCCAGGCGCCACTCCTGGTTTAGCGGGTAATCCCCTACCGAATCCCTAATTTTGGCGTAACGTCACTGGCCCGTCCTTCCAAGCCTCAGCCCAGCGAAACGGCCACGCGAAAGTTTCACAACCAAACCCATTCGCACGCACAAGCAAACGCAGTCTTCCACACGTTGACGGACGTCCACTCCTTTTCTTACGTACGTCCGTCTCTCGATCTGCGCGCATTCATATTCCTTGTCTTCTTGCCTCAATACCGCTAGCAGCAACTGCAGCAGCATCACCACCGCCGCAGCCGCAGCCACATTGCGACACGTCTGTCCATCCCTGTGAATGTGAGAGATACTCCTGGGCTGAAGAAACAGCAATAATGTCGACCTTTTCGACGAGCTTTTGGTCGAGCGACTATGCCGGAGGTATGATGTCGATAATGCCACTGCGGAATGTCGATTCGTAGCTTACCGCTTGTGACTACAGGTCTGGGGGTGCTGTTCAGCAAGCTACAGCAAGGCGTCCAAGAAAACCAACAGGTGCTCACCATTGCCCGTCTAAGAGCCGATGCCGAAGAGACATATGGCAACCGCCTTGCCGACATCATACCTGCCACCGATCGGATACAAGGCGGCTTCCAGCGCGACGATGGCGCTAGCGTTCGCAAGGTCAGCTTTTGCTCGCTTGCGTTGCCCACGATCCCCTAGAGTACGAACTAACGAAGGCGTAGGCGTACGAAGGCATGCGCACAGAAATGAACGAGGCCGCAAAGAACCACCGTAAGATCGCGTCCAATATCCGTGAGCTTGTCATCAACCCTTTCAGTCGCTGGTGCGACGCCCACGCTGTCCGTGTGCAGAACTCACAAGATGACCTGCAAGCGCGCATCAAGCTCCACGACAGACAGGCCGAGCAGGTCAAGAAGCTGCGCAGCCAGTACTACAACAAGTGCAGACTACTGGAGGATCTGGAAGAAGAGGACAAGCTGGCCTTCAAGGATCCGCAGAGCAGTCCCAAACAGAACAGTCCCAAGCAGGCCAGCACTGCTACACCTACCATCAACATTCAGCAGCCAGATCCGGATGAAGAAGAGGAACCCATCGAGATCGGCGACAAGACCTATACTCCCGAAGAGCTCAAGAAGCTCCTCACGGACATGCTTAACACAATCAAGCTGGGCGAGGTCAAGGTGCCTATCCTAGGCACGTACCAGAACGTCTCGACGGGCGCCGATATTGTGCAGTACATCCAGAAGAACATGGGTGCTGACAACGTCGGCTATGCCGAAAAAATTGGCCAGGACCTCGTGGACAACGGCTTTCTGCGCCTCGTCGGAAACGTGGGTAGCACATTCGCCAACAGTTCAAAGATGAACTATCAGTGGAAGCCGAAGGTCTTCAAGCTCACAGGAGTACCAGAGCGTGTAAAACCCGTGTCGCGAACGTCTTCTTTGGGCCTGAACGACATTGATTCACCTGCCGCCGTGGGAGACATAATTGCCGGTTGGAACCCGCTAAATAACCCTTACGCCAACGAGACGCCTTCCCAGCGTCTAAAACGCGAGGCGACAGAAGCAGATGAGCGCTACAAAGCAGCTGTCCGAAAGCTAGACGCTCTGCGGTGCAACCTGGAGGAAGCTATGATCGATCACCTGAAGTTCATGGAGCGCTGCGAGCTAGACCGCCTCAAAGCCATCAAGGCTGTCATCCTCGACTTTTCTGGCGCCATTAGCAATGTCATCCCCAGCCTGCAGAGTACCGTAGACCACATGATGCTCTTCCAAGAGACGGTCCAACCGCTCGGCGACCTGCGGTATCTGCTTGAGAACTACAGGACAGGCGGCTTTGCGCCCAAGGTCGTGACTTATGAGAATTATTACAATTCGGTCGATGGGCAGACTTTTGGCGTTGACTTGGAGGCGAGGGCAAGAGCGGACAGGAAGAGGGTGCCACTCATTATCACGACGATCTTGACATATCTTGACAATCGTGAGTCTTCCGCTGTTCCTACTTCCTCATTGCATGAAAAAGATATGTTGACATGAAATCAGACTACCCCGATCTGGACGGAGACGAGGCACGACGTGCCATCTGGCTTGTGGATGTGCCGCTGGCAGCAACACATCATCTCCGGATGGCGATCAACGACGGGAAAGCACCGTCGGTTGAGGTTTTGGAGCAGTATGAAATACCCATTGTTGCCTCTGTTCTGAAGCTGTATTTGCTTGAGCTCCCGGACTCTCTCGTCTCTTCTCACGTCTACGAAATCATCAAGACGATTTACAGCACCACCGCCACCGAGACTACGGACGAGGCTCGCGTCGCTGTCATTCAGAACACGCTAGGACAGCTCCGTCTCGCGAACATTGCGACCTTGGATGCCATCACCACGCACTTTACCCGCCTAATCGAACTCACATCAGCAGACGAGGCCTACGTTCACTCTCTGTGCACCAATCTCGCGCCATGTATTCTTCGGCCACGCCAGGAAACAAGCTTGACTATGAACGAGAAGTATAATTACAGACTGCTGCGCGACCTGTTCGCTCACAAAGAGGCCATTTTCGGGGAGCTCAAACGTGCCTCCTCGCAGGCCAATCGTGCTGTCTCTGAGGCTGCATCGGCGCGTGCGGCTGCCCGTAATCGCGGCATGAGCACGGATGAGCGAGGACGCCAGCTAGCAGAACAGGAACGCCGCCAAGCCATCGCCGCGAAGTCATCCAGGAACCCATCTCCTGCACCAGCGGAGAGACGCAGCATTCGGCGAGAACGCAGTCCCAATCGCATGAGCGGTGATGCCACGACGCGCTTCCCCGTCAGTCCGTCGGCGGCCATGCACTCTCCGTCAGGGTCGGCAAGTACAACCTCGCCAACGGAACGGCGCGGCACGCTTGTGAGGCAGAGTTTGGAGGTACCGGGCAGCGCTGACAGCAGCCCTATCGTGGGCGACGTGCCAGCATCTGCGGTCAAGACGAACGGCGTCGCAAAGGAAGACGGGCTCAATAAAAGAGACAGTCTTGGACGAGGAAGCGTTGTCGGACGGCGCGGCGCACCACCCGTTTCGACGAGACAGAGCCTGTATGGTAGCACGCCAGGCCCGCATAGGGATAGCGTGAGCAGCAACGCTGCTCCGGTCGTGGAAGAGGGTCATCGTGGTGTTGAGTTGAGCGACAAGCCCATGGACGATTAGGCGAGTTTGCTTTGTGCTACTTTGTCACCGGCCTAGACGAGCCAAGATAGATGACGAATGGAGCGTGGCGTTGGAGATTTTGGGGCATGGTCTGCTTAGCCGGATGTGACCTTTTTTTTTATGTGTATGTGACTGTTTAGTGTACGTGGGCACACTATTAGCGGGTATCCAGGCTGTACTACTAGTATACACCACGAATGAGCATATGATTGTTGCGTGCGTGAAAGGAATTTTTTTTAATATTATGTTTTTTTTTAAAAAAAAAAAAAAAATAAGGGGAGGTGTGTATCCATTTATCGGAAAGGGTTGGAAGGGAACAATTGAGGAAAATAATTCTGGACTCTGTGTTCCCTTCCCGCATGAGCCTACAAAACCAGCCGAAGATGGTCGCAGCATGCGAGCAAACGCGCTCAGCCGTGAACGCGGACATTCCGGACAGACGACCGGACGTAAAAAATATAGGGGGAGGACATTTGACACAAAGCTGTAAGTGAACCAACGAATGGCGGAACCTGAGCACCAAAGAATTTTTCTTCAAACAACACACACACACACACACGCACATAAAAAAAAAAAAAAAAAAAGGGGGGCAAGCCCTGTAATTCGTTCGATCGACTCTTAGCAAAATCTGCATTCATCTATTCTGACATCGCTAAAGCTTTGGATCTCTCAAGAATCGAGGAGGATATCACGAGACCTGATTTGCGACTAGGCGACGCAAAAGAACAGGAAGGGGGCTAGAGAGAGAAAAAAAAAATAATAAAGGTGGTTAGAGGGGGGGGGGGGAGAAAGGGGAATTGGTTAGACAAAGGTTAGGGGAAATGCCTCCGTTCGTATCAAATCCGTCATAAATTTACATGGGAATTGGAGTTGCCATCGTATAAACACGGGGGGGGGGGAGGTTGGATGGGGTTTTTTTTTTTTTTTTTTTAATATCATTTCACGTGGGCCCCCTCCCCCATCTTTCATTTTCATGGCTGCATAAGAGGCTGTGGGAGGGGCGGAGAGGGGGAGAAAAAACAAAAGTAGGGGGAGTATTTCCCCCCACCCCCAAAGAGAAAGGAGTTGCTCGTTAGCAGAAGAATTTGTAGACTTTCTTCCACGCGGGCCAATTGGCTCGTTCGGCGCGTTCTTCCTGAATGAGCTCGTGCAGGTTGAGCTCGCGGATGCCGGAGTGCAGGTCCATGTTGTACGAACGGATGATGGGCGTCTTGTAATAGAACTTGAAAGGGATGTAGAAGGCGAGCACGACGGGAGCAGCGAGGTAGGCCTGGAAGAAGTTGATGGCGATCTCGGAGCCGGTCATCTCGGTGTAGCCGATGGGCGCGAAGGCGGTCCAGAACTGAGCGACTAGGACGACGCAGTTGAGGATTAAGCCGACCCAGGAGCCGATGAGACCCGGCTGCGAGCGGAAGGCAAGCTCGTCGAGCGTGTGGCCCTGTACTCTCCAGCCCTTGCGGAAGCGGATGTGGGCGAGGCAGATGGAGCCCCAGGTGAAGATGGAGGAGAGGCCAGACAGGGCGTACAGCCAATTGAAGATGTCGACCTGCTTGTTTGTGCCAGCGAGGAAAGCAAGAAGGCCGAGAGACGAGGCGATGGCGATGCCGACCAGAGGGCGGCCCTTGCGATCAATGTAGGCTAGGATGCGAGGTGCCTGGCCTTGCTCTGCCAGGGCGGCGAGGGTACGAGAGGAGCCGTAGACGGATGAGTTGCCGACGGAGAGAACGGCGATCATGATGACGACGTTCATGACGGAGGGAAGGCCCTGGATGCCGGCGTTCTCGATGGCGATGACGAAGGGGGAGGCAGTGGCATCGACAGACGAGGTTCCGCCGAGCAGGCGCGGGTTGTCGTACGGCACGAGGAGGCCGACCAGCGTCAGGGAGACAACGTAGAAGAGCGTGATGCGCCAAAAGACCTGCTTGATGGCCGTGGGAAGGGACTTTCGCGGGTTTGCCGTCTCGGCAGCGGCAAGACCGACCAGCTCGGTTCCGGCGAAGGCAAAGGCAGCGGTGACGAAGACGGAGCACAGTCCCTTGAACCCGTGGTTGAAAGCACCGGGGTTCTTCCAGTAGCGGCCACCAATGTAGCTGCCCTGCGGCCCGCCGCCGCAGTTGAGGATGACGCCGAGGATGATGAAGCCAATGACGGCGGTGATCTTGATGACGGAGAAAACGAACTCGGCCTCGCCATAGCCCTTGACGCCGAAAAGGTTGATGGTGACGATGAGGACGAGGAAGATGGCAACCCAGGCGTCGTTGTTGATCTTGCCGTGGTTCCAGAACTCGATCGTGAGCGTGGCGGACACGATCTCGAGGGGGAGAACGACCAGCCACTGCATCGCGTAGTTCCAGCCCATGGCGAAGCCCCAGGCTGGGTCCAGAAAGCGGGTCGAGTAGGCGGAGAAGGAACCGGCAACGGGGAAGAGCACCGCCATCTCGCCCAGCGCATGGACGGTACAGTACAGCATGATGCCGATTAGGCAGAAGGCAATTAGCAGCGAGCCGGGCCCGCCATGGGCGAGTGCCGAACCAGAGCCGACGAAAAGACCGGTTCCTGTGTGAGAAGATGTCTCGTCAGTCGGGTTCTACTCAAAGAAGGTTTGCACTCCTTCGCCATCCACAGGCTCAGGTAATCTGCGCCCTCCCCCCCTCCACCGGGAAGGAGGTCGGATCAGGACGTGGAGGAATAGGGTCTCACGTACCGATGGAGCCGCCAATGGCTATCATCTGCAGATGTCTGCCCTTGAGCTTGCGCGCCAGAGGCGACTCCGCCGTGGCTATCGCGGCGCCCTCGACGTCAAATACCTTGCCATCTGCGCCGATGGTGCCCTTGGGCGTCGTGTGCGCACGCGGGTCTCTCCGGAAGCTGTCGACCACGCGGTTGATCACGCCGCTCCGGTGTTCGTCGACGTAGTAATGACTCGAGGGCGAGTCGCCCCCGAAGGAGCCGTGTATGTCGCTTTTCTCGTCCATGAGGGGGGGAGGGACGCGGCGCGCCGAGAGGAGGAGCGCGGGGAGGAGGATGAAGGGGCGGCGCCGACAGGTGGTGAAGGGAGGATCTCGAATGGGGCGTCGCGAAGCCGAATGTCGACGGTTGGGGATGGCGGGGAGGAGAGGACGACGGGTTGCTTTGGGGAGCGCGTCGGGACTGTCCTGGCGTGCTCGAGGTATGCGGATACAGATCGGTCTTGCTGCCGATCAACAGGACGGGCCCGTCGTGATCGGGCACTTGTCGGCGGCCAGTCGACGAGACTGTTCTGCGTCTTCCGGACGAGAAGGCAAAGGATGCGACGGGAGGAAAAGGCGACGCTGGCGAAAGCAGAAGCGCGCCCAGGTGATAAGCCTTGACGGCCGCAAAGGAGCAGCAGCAGCAACTGGGGGCGGCCGTGTTTTACGTCTGTCTGGCCGGCGATGCGCCACCGCGGGCGCTGGGCCGGGCTGCCAGACGTCTGGCCGCGGGCACGATAAGGGCGGGCCCGGACCAGTGCTGGAGCGCAGACAAGAATGCTTGCGCGCGCGGGCGCTGGCGTGTTGCGCCCATGTTCCCCTTACCACATCGCGCGGTTCGCAGACGAGGTGCGGCGCCGTCGCTGCCTTTGCTCCGGCTGGATGTCGCTCTCGCCCCGGTGGCGAGCCCGCCGGTCCCATGCAGTTGCATCGTCCCTGCGTACGATTGCGGTGTCGCGGCGTGGTGGAGCAGACTGCGCAGCACAACCAGCACGCCCACTGCTCCCGGTGCATCCCCCTTCGCAGGGCATTTCTCGCGCTCCCATCTGCCAGAGCCAGCTGGGCTCGACGACGCAGAGCGCTGTTTGCCGTGTTTTACGCACGCCCGTCGACTCGCAGCCCAGCCGACAGGGCTGCTCAGACGGGTCAAGTGCAAGCGAGCTGGCGTGGTGTCCCCAACGGCGTGCTTGTGCCGTCCAGGACCGCGATGCCAGGAACGGTCGCGGGCCAGAAGACACCTGCTCTGTACAGTTTAAGCTTCTCTCTCGTCGTCCCCCAAACACGCAGATGTCGCGCAATGCTACTGGTTGGGCACGCGGTGGCGCGCAGCCAGGTCCGTCGCACAGGCGAATGGAGAGCCGCATCTCCCCGCCTCTTGCAACGGCACCATCAGCGGTCTCTTGGCCGTGTTAGGAAGGCCGTTTGAGCGAGCGACACGCTGGTCTCATGGAATATGCCACAGACGAGCAGAGCGCGAGATTGCTCTCACCCCTCCGGCCGACCACGGCTACCGTTGCCGCTCTCCCAGGCCCCGAGCCGTTCTCCTCTGACGACACGCAGAAACGCATGGAGAGCCCGGAGATCTTGTGTTTGCAACCAGCAGCTTGGGCAGCAGTGCCCGCGTACGCGAAGTCCGCACGTGGTGGATCGGTCGTCGTGCTGTGCGCCGAGTATGCCTCTCCTCTCGCTATACCCACGGCGCGTTCTGCCACGCAGTAGTGGCTCTTCACCAATGCAGCAAAAAGCGGACCACTGAACCAAGACTGGGAGCACGAAAATGGTCGATGCAACGGCAGCCAAGCCACTAGAAGCAGACGCTCGATGCTTCTCGAAGGCGACGGAGGCGCCTTTATCGCTAAGATAAAGGGCGCCTCCGCGATTTTGGCCGTCCACCTGCAGACGGTTTGGCCTGCCCCCATCCCGTAAGTGGATGAAGGCATCCTGCCGTGGCGTGTCGTCGCCACTCAGGCTGCAGTACTCCTCGTTCTCAGCGCACAACGTTCTCACCCGCTGGCATACAGACCACCTTTGTTGCGTCTCCCCGTCTGCCGCCGCTGCTGGCGAACAGATCACTCTCGAGACCAGGCAGACGTGCTTTAGGAACATAGAAGCGGAAGCCGTTCTGCGTCTGGCCGCGTGAGACACAAATCTTTCGGCTCGTCGGAAGTGCGCTGCGTGCTCCCGCCTGCCGACAGCGCGATGATCATCGCTGATGGTCCCCATGTCATCTTCATGCCGCCGCCGGGCGGATGATCAACTTGCGTAGCCGTACGTCGAAGGAGGACCGCATCAGAATTGCTACAGACTCTTGCAACTGCCGGGGCCTCAGTCGTCCATGCCTGCGTGCATCACGGGACGTGAAACCTGCCGCCGTCAAGGCATAGAAAGATACGCCTCATGTACCTGACTTACCAGTCTGTCCGAGCGTCTCTCCTCGTTCTTTCTGCACAGCATCCGCATAGTGCCAATAATACCTCGACGGAAGAGTCCGTCCCTCATGACATCACGATCACTGTGGATCAAACCCCATGTTTGCCGGGGACCCGATCTGACGCTGCCAACGTCAAAGCACAGTAATTTCTGGCTTGATTCTCTAGCTTTTCGTGCTGTGGCTCGTTCCCCGCCCGTGCGTGTTACATAAAAGTTTACCCCGGATTTTTGCGACGGCTTCCCTCTTCGTCCTCGCGCGAGGACCCTCAGCCGCTCCGTGTTCTACGTGATTTCATGCCCAAGCGGCTTTGGTCCAGATGGCACGCCCCGCGCACGGCGCCAGGAAAAAAAAATGTCTCAAAAACTCCTCCCGATACTGGCCGCTAGTATGCCCTTTTGTGGTGCCCTTCTCGCCGATTTCTCGCAGTGCAACCGTTCGAGACGAAGAGCATGGAAAGAAGAGCGGGGAAAAAGAGAAAAAAGAAAGGAAAAAAAAAAAAAAAACCTTCAAGTCACTCCTGCAAAAATTCTGCTTGATCGACATTCCGCATCACGGTGTTGGGCCAAAAAGAAAGTGAAGTCTGGTAAGAGTCATGCTGAGGCACTGCGATGTTTCCACGACCACTCCATGGCGTGCCGCACGCCGGTACGCTCATTCTTCTAAATTTCCACAACCAGCACGCTCAATTACTCGCGTTCATCGTCTCAAGCATCCCCCCCTGTTTCTGTGTGGTAGCTAGGCATCAGCCGAAACGTTAGGATGGGAGTAGTGGTCGCAGCCACGTATATTCCTGGGGGACGAAATAGGGGAGCAGAAAAACACATGTATATCAAATTTGATTAGTACGCTACATGTTCTACTACAGAACGAAGTTGATTAAAGACAATGCCGCTCTGTTTCACGCGGAGGGTGAAACCGCCACCGATCCGTCAAGAACAGGATCGAAATCTGGCGGCGTAACGCCTGCGGCAGGCGGCACCGCACTGAGCTCTGCTGGTAGTGGTGGTGTTGCACAGCTTGGGCTTTGCGGAATTACGTCTGGAGGCAAACCATATGCTGGCGGCGGTGAGAGTGCGTCCAGAGATACGACATCGAGAGTGTCAATTTCCACGGTCGCTGGCGGCGCTACCACTGAACCGAGTCCACTTGCTGGCGAAGCACCCAGATTCGCGTTTGCAGCCGTTGGTGGATAAGTATCCAGAGGTGCCGCAGCAGCAGGTGATGACGGTTGAGGCTGAGTGCTGATCTGCTGCTCTTGGATTGTGACCAGCTGCTGAACCTCGTTAACGTTGATGTAGCTACTGTCCACGGTACTCTGCACGTTTACGCTGACTTCGACGTTGGTTTCCTCAACGGTAGCTCCACTGCAAGAAACGTCCTCTGTGACATATACATCGTTCACCACCGCGGGAGGCGGTTCGCTTGGTGCGTATAGACTGTCGTCTTGGACAAATGCAACCTGTTGTTGAACCACCTGGTCCTGCACATATGGCGCAAAAGGAGGCTGGTAAGTTTCTTGAACCGGCTGCATTGTCACGGACGGGACATATTGAGATTCGAACCCAACGTCTTGAGGTTGCTGGTACCCATCATCGACTGCGGTCGAGTCATCCTCGCATTCAGCAAAGCTATCCGTGAACCCTGCATCCACGTCGTCGGAGCCATTATCTCCATATCCTCCTCCTTCGAAGCTTCCGCCTTCCGCAAGCGTAGCCAGATGGGATGCTTGAGTGAATATCCTGCTTGCCCTTCGAATCTTCTGGCTCTTCGCCAGCCGACCCATCGTCTTGCCGGCGAATTTGGCACCATGAGTGGTTAATCTGGCGGCTGCAATGGTCGCCGACATGATACCCTGTGGTGTCAGGCTCGCCCCGTTACTCAGTTGGGAGATGTCGTTGGCCAGGCTCGCTGCTGCCCCCGCCGCGGCCACACCGTGGGCCACGGTCGATTTGCTGCCCGACTTCGTGGTTTTCACCGGCGCTGAACTTTCCACGGTGATTTCCGAGCTGCTTGGAGTGCCTGATCTCGCTTTTGGCGCTTGGCCCGGACGCTCCCAGCACGCAAGTTGCAGTACTTCGTGGACGTAAAACGGAACACCGTCAGGGGTGCGAACTTCTTTCCAGCCATATGGAAGAGGCGATGCAACAGGAGCGTTCCAGGTGCTCACTCCAGTGGTTTTGTTGTAATAGTACTGCTTCCCATCTGGGCTTGCATGCGCTTCCCAACCAGCGAGCAAGCTTGGGGGAGGAACAACCGCAGTCATGGGGCGGATGTGCGTGCGAAAACCGGTTGCCCGGTGCTGATACCATATCCTACCGGCGTAATTCTTCCTAATAATCCACACAGGAGACAGATGAGGCAAACTCTGACTTATGGAATCTTCTGCCCTCTTGCCCGGTTGGACTTCTGGATCAGATTCGTTCACGAAAAACGACTTGTCGTGTTCTGCGTGTCCGGTAGCAGCAGAACCCGAAGTGAAGCAATACACACAGAATGTTGTTATTACTGCACCTGTCCAGCAAATCAGACATTCGAACTTGGAAACATTGGCTTGTATAACCGCTCGACACTGAGCGCAAGTTGGCAGACTCGTTACCTTTGTCGCAGGCGGAGATTGACTCATGCTTCCCGTCAATATCGATGCACCGCCACCTGGTGATATCGTATCCGATGCAGTTGAAAATCTGCTCAAGGGCGACGTGCAACCTGTCTGATCAGAAATCATGCTACTTGGGCTTGCTGGCCATCCACTGGCGTGTGAAGAAGAGAAAACGCTACCAACGCTCTGTAGCGAATTCATTCGCCATAAGTTGGGAGATTGAGCCTGTCCTTCGGCCTGGCTCGCAACACCAGTTTGCTGAGGATGGACAGCCGACATTGAACTATTCTCATGTACGGCTTGTCCTGCATAGCCCACAGGCTGGACGGTCGATGCCATGTGAGGGTTCGAAAAGTATGACATGGAACTTGCCCGTCTCTGTAGATCAGGCCTACTCGCAACTTCTTGTTGTTGTGAAAGTTGAGGCGAGCTGGTCGAAGAGAATCCATTAGCCCCAAGCTCGGAGTGTTGAGCTGTTTGTGTATGAGCCGGAATGAGCGTCAACGCTGGCGATGACGCTGTGATTGGAATTATTCGATTAGCGAGGCCATCGTTGGTTGGGATTGATGAGGCTTCGGCGTCTGGCGACTTGACGATGTTCGTTTCCGAAGCAGGCGCACTACCCACGCCTCCGATGGCCTTCCTCGCAACCGCCTTTCTTGGGACCGCCTGGATAGGCGTGTTTGGAGTGACGCTGCTCTGCGGCATATCTGAATCTAGCGTCGCCTCAAGCTCTGTAGCTATATTCCACGGCGACACGAGGTAGATGAAAGTTCAGCTCTGGCGAAAACAGGGCGTGCGAGAAGGAAAAGAAAACGTGGAGGAGGGGTCGATCGCGAGGCTGAAAATTAGACCGCATCTCGACACCCTAGTGGCACAGTCTAAAATTGAGGCTGCCGAGAGCCGTCCCATCGTCGAGTCGATTTACAGTATTGTTGACAGTCAAGCAACTCGTTCAACGTCAATGATGCTCATGAGCTCGAAGTGCTCGCGTTGATAATGATACGGTATAAGGATGTGCCATGTCTGAATGTATCTCGACGTAACCCAAACTTCGGCCAGGATCGCATGAACTTAGCCAAGCTATCAGCCTGTTGAAGCTTAGCGGATCGCCCCCACGCTCGACACGTAAACGCATGTTGCTTTTTTTAGTTCGTCTTCGGCGACCAGAGCACTTTTTGTCGGTCATTTCGTCGCAGGCACTGACCGGAGATCCATATCCCCTTCCTCAGCTGGAAATCCGCCAGGTTAGAGGACAAAAGTCGCTGGATGAATGGCTAATTTCTGAGGCTCCATATCTACCGGTGAACGATCATTCCAAGGTACAATTGGCCCGTCTAGAAGGTACTTGCAACCCCAGTTCTGCAACTGTGAAAGGAACAGTCATGCAGGACAATTTCCGGCAGACGCTGCCAAAATCTGCCAATGAAAATGATGAAAAGAGAACACTGTGACGGTCATCTTGCTACCGCGATCAGCCTGTTCTCACAGACGGGATCGAAACCTGATTTATGGCGCTGTTCATTCGCATGAGCTAGATTGGATAAGAATCTTGTCCATGAGAATTTTGAAACTATAAAGCTGGCGTTAAACAATCCTGGGATAACGATTATAATTGTCAAACCTTGATAGGAATGGGAACTCTGCCAATTGTCAAAGACAGAGCCATGCGTGTCTCCAGCGTGCGAAACAAGTGCTATCTTAACTTAGGCCATCATATTTTTCCCATACTTTGGCATGACGAATCGAGTCCTTATTTTTTTTCGACACAATCGAGTACGTAAGTCCTCATCGGTTGGGTATCATCACGTGATTGAGTTTAGTAAAGGCCATCATTTCCACAAGAGACGTGTGTGCTCTGTACAGCATCGTCGGGAACAAATATTGCGCTCTTCGTAACACTCGAGAAGTTATGCCGAAGCTTAGTCTCAAGGAACGCATGACTTGGCTTGAACGATCTCGCCTGACAAGGGCAAGCCGAATGAGGCCACAGACACTGTCTTTCATTGGACGAGTCTACCACTCTGTTCTCTTGGAAGCATCTTCACTGATGTCCGCTAAGACAATGGAGGCCATTTATCCTCCGTCGGTGGGATGATTTTGTGTCTTCCAAGCCTTGGTTGCCGCATATCCTTGCTCAAAGACTTGGACAATCCACTTCCCCGCCCCCACATCATCAGATTTCGGATTTCTCGTATGCCGTATTAGTCAGTCTCGCGGTGGACTTCTGCCGGACTCTTTGGTGGTGCGAGCATAATCTATACACACAACGAATTTGAAGTGCGTGTTGTGTGGAAGTCTGGAGCTAGGAGGTCATAGCCATGGTGACGAGTCTGCGAACTATCCCGCAGTAAGTACTTGAAATTTCACAAACTCTCAAACTTGATAACGAGCAGCGTGTGACGCGTCGCAGCGCATACTTGAATGCTCGCGGCTTTGGAGCTATCTATCTGGACGGGAGACTGAGAACAACTCTAGGTACTACTACGAGGAGCTGCCCCAAGATGATGTCATGATCAGGGTGCTCAAGCTCGAGCCAGGAAAGAGGGAAGACTACATCCATTGCCATCTAGAGCCTGTTTCTTTGCACAATGTCCGAGGGCAGTATGAGTGCATAAGCTACGTTGTAAGTACAGAACTTCTCTCGCAAGCTTGACCGTTCAGAGCCCACGGCAGCTCACATACCATTATTTGCACTTCAGTGGGGAGACGTGACCGAAGTGCGACGCATCATCGTCGACGGCCACTGGTTTAATGTCACCCTGAACTTGTTTCATGCCCTACAGCACTTCCGAGATGAGAAGAACGAACGCACGCTGTGGGCCGACGCCATCTGCATCCAACAAACAAATCCGCCCGAGAAAGGTCGGCAGGTGCAACTGATGGGACAGATCTACGAGAACAGCCAGAGAACGCTGATATGGCTTGGACTCGATGATCAGGGCGTCGCCTTGGAGACCTTTGATTTCTTGAAGAGCACATCGTGGATCGCAAGAGCTCTGGTAGATCAATACGGGTCCGTGACCAAGATTCCAGCGCTTAGCAAGCATGAAAACCCCGTCTCTCAACATCCGCGGAAGTGGAAGTTGTTCAAGGAGTTTCTCAAGCTTGCATGGTTTAGTCGCGTGTGGGTTTTGCAAGAAGTCGGCATCGCTCGCGACGTCATCATGCGCTGGGGAGACGCAGAGATCAGGTTCAGCGATGTCATAAACGTCAACGAATTTCAGCGGCACGCGCCGCAGCTTTTCGAATATCTCCCGATGTCGTGGTATTTGCACGACGCTTTTGTAGGTCTGTTCATGTGGTATGGCAACAAGAACAGCTGGCGAGAACAAGTCGTCCCCGACTTCTGTGTACAAGCTGGCGTCCTTGTTCCGAAGCCCAACATCATCGACACTTTGATCCAGAGCTCGAGACGCGAAGTAACAGACCTGAGAGATTATATCTATGCGTTGCTGGGACATCCGTTGGCCGCGTTCAATGGGAGCACAATTGTACAGGCAGACTACACGAGACACGTCGATGACGTGTACATGGAGGTGACCCAGAAGCTGCTGACGATTTTGGAGCCGACACTCCCGCTCTCGGTGGCTGGTAGCATGGGCAAGAGACGGCCTCGAAATCTAGGTGAGGCCAGTTCGGCCTCATGGGTCATCCGCTGGGACTTGGGTGCGGAAACTCATAACCTTGGTCGCCCTGGCCAATGGTTTTACGCTGGAGGAAAGGACGCGAAGCCCTCGCTCTCGATAGATACAGAAACGAGAGCTCTGAGACTATCTGGTGTCATATTCGACAGGGTTAAATGGGTTTCAGCGCAGATTCTCCCTGCAGAAGTTGAGATCAACTCGATCATCGCGAGCCCGAGTCATCGAGCTGCCATTCAATGGCTCTGGGCTGCGCTGCCAACCGAGTCACGATATCCAGATGAGCAAGCCCGCCGCGATGCGTTTACGCTATGTCTTGTGTCTGGTCGGTACAAGCACACAAAGGTTGCGGAGGACGACATACAACTCCATCGAAAGCTTGCAAGAGCCTATGTAGACTATGTCCGATCGGTGCAAGAAGGCTCTGCGAGCGACCAGCGACTCCGAACGAACGCACGCGATTTTGAGAACGACTACACGTGGACAGCTAAGTTCAGATGCATGTTCGCGACCGAGAAGGGCTTCTACGGGATCGGGCCACAGCTTGTGCAGAAGGACGACGTGGTCATGGTGCCAACGGGCTTTATGATTCCGTTCGTTCTGCGGCCTACTAGCTCGGGTAAATCATATAGGCTCGTTGGAGCGGCTTATGTGCAAGGCGTGATGCGCGGCGAGGTGCTGGATGAGAAGGATCCGCTCGGCTTAGGTGCAGGAAAGCCGCGAGATATTGAAATCGTGTGAGCTTCGGCAGGCTCGAGCTATGAATTTGACGAAGAATGCTTGATACCCTTGAGCGCAATTATGACTTATGTGAAGGAACGCGGGCTCACTGAAAGTGGCTTTTGAAGCCCCTATATGTATAGTACTACGCTTTGTGCAACTCAGCTAGGATCGTTACCGCAGCTTCGCGCACCTCTTTCACGATGTCGCCGGCATTCTGGACGGCTTTCACGAGCCCGACCCCGGTACCGGCATACGTCGTCATCCTTCCCTCCGCTCCCCATCCAGCGTCGCCGAGCTTTACGGCTTCCTGGTACAGTCTTATATTCTCATCCCAGTCCATGCCGCTCACAGCATCGTGGTAGCTCTTGTTGACAACGCCTCTCCCGCCATATTGATCCGGCCACTCGGTCGTGCCACGCAGCTTGTCGTACACGGACGAACGAATCGTCGTCTGTCCGCCGTCACTTGCGCGAATCACCTCGTCGCGGTAGCCTTTGGCAACGACGGCCTCTGTGCTCGCAAGGAAGCGAGTTCCCATGCACACGCCCTGCGCGCCCAGCGCCAACGACGCTGCCAGTCCACGCCCGTCGGCAATGCCACCGGCGGCAATGACGGAAGGCACTTTGCTGATTTCGCCGCTGTTCTTCATGCCCGTCAGCGCATCGACCACCTCGGGGACCAGCGTGATGACCGAGGCGGCCTTGTTGAGGCCGTGGCCGCCTGCGTCGCCTCCTTGCACGACTAGCACGTCTGGATGGCACGCCGCCACAGCGCGTTTCGCCTCGTCAACGCTGCCCACCTGGATCCAGATCTGCGTGGCCCCGCCCGTGCGTTCTCGACAGGTGTCTGTCCACTTGACCAGGTTCTCGAGGTTCCTTGGGGCGAAGAGCCAAACGGCACAGGGCCTAAATTTCTCGACGCACCGAGCAGCCTCGTCCAGGTCCGCTCCCCAGTTGATGAAGCCCACGCCGATCGGCAGCACCGGCGACGTTGGCAGGCTTGCGGCCTTGCACAGGTCCACTGCTTTTTGAAGCTCGTCCTCCAGATTCGTTTGGTCGTTGCCGGAGCCAAGGAAGCCTATTCCGCCGGCTTTGCTGACTTCGACGCACAGCTTAGAGAGGGCTATCAAACGCATGGGCGCGCTTGTTATGAGGGGGGACTTCGTCCACGGATAAATGGCCTGTAGCTCGGACGGCATCGTTGGAAAAGCTCCTGCGATACGTTTGTGAGAATTGTTGGAAAAGCTCCTGCGATACGTTTGTGAGAATTGCACAAGACGAGAACCGCATCTGTACGGCGAGTGTGATGTAATATCTGTGCTTTGGAGAGTTTGTAACGGACGGTTACGTTCCGTGCAAGCGGATCGGCCTCCTGCCCGTCACGCCCTGCGTGCGGGCGGGACTAACAACAGCTCGCTCATGACCGATCGTCATGAGACTTCAGTTCAAAGGCCAGGTTTTCACGACATTTCCGCGGATCGATGGAGGCAAGCGAACACACGGACAAGCCTCTGTCGCCGGCGAAGAGTTTGATTTGCCGCTCTCAGGCTGTTCGTGTCCTAGCAGGGCGGCCATGTCGCTAAGAACGGGCACTCCCGCCTTTAGCGTCGAATCCGTCCTACATCTCTCTGCCAAGCGTCAGCGCGCAGCGAACCTGCATTTTCCTCCCATCTCTCACCTCTGCCCATCCCAACCTGCCCCATCTTGCCGTTCGTCTATATCGTTTTGGGCCCATCTTTGTTACCGAGCTCGCAGCGTGGCTCTTGTATAGTATTCCTTTGGTCCAGGAAAGGGGCGCTGGCAGCCCGAGAGCGGCGGCGAAAGTGTTGAGGCACGATGAATGCGCCAGACAGGTTTGTGATTCGGTCTTTGGTGCAACAGCTGACCCGTCTTGCTCGCTCCTTGTAGATGGTTCTCTGTGTTTTGCATCGCGCGTGCTTGGTTTCCATCGCTACAGCGCCTGCCGCGGTGAATGTGCGGCTGCTTGGCGTAGCAGTTACTGGCAGAAGCCACCGATCTGAAGGAGTAAGATCGGTATGATCAAAGAGCAACGTTGGACATGCGAAACAACACCGGCAACGCGCACATCTTTGAAACAAAGACGAACGCGCGACAAGGAGCGGGCAAGATGGGTCGCGACAAAGCAGCCATGATTAACATACCAGAAAGATTCACACAGTTCCTCCTCGAGCCCGACGAGAAGAAGGTTGAATGGGAGTTCGACACCCGTAAGCGCCATGGCCATGTGCTCGTCTTTTTGCATTGCAGTCCAACTAAGATGGGTCGTCCTCAGGTGTCGCAAATACCGCCATATTCAAGTTCAAGAAGGAGGACCACACGCTCGGCAACCTCATAACCCAGCGCCTACACCAGTACAAGTTCATCCAGTTCAGCGCATACCGCGTGCAGCACCCTCTTTTCGCCGAGTTCGAGCTCCGCGTGACCACGGACGGCAGCCTGACGCCAAAGGAGGCCATATTGAAGGCGTGCCAGGATATCATTTCCGATCTGAACGCCCTGGGCAGGGAGTTCACCAAGGAGTGGGAGTTGAAGAAGATCGCGGGAGAGCATGGCGCTGGAATGGATGGCTTTTGATAGAGCCTTGCTTTCTGGAAGGGGGTTTAATCTGATGGCGTAGCAAAGCATTCAGAACGAGGCGTTCGCGGAGAATTGACACGGGAGGCAACGAGCATCACGTAGAACGGCCGGCGGCTGCATTGGCGGACTACAGAAAAGAGACGTTTAAAAAAAGGGAAATGCTTGCTTACATGAATGATAATTGCTAGTACGAGCTCTTTTGATCTACTAGAGGATTTCAGCTGTTGTGTGTTCACGTCCTCATGACCGCTCTTCCCGTCAGCCCTCCCGTCAGCCAGCCAAAGCAAAACATTTCCCAAGCGCTCATGTCAATCTTCCGTCCGGCGGCCGGATCGAACCGTGGGCCATGTGGTATATAGGCAAATTGGCGCAAATACCACACCAACGACGGTCCGGTGGCGCAAATCCTCGGTTCGACTCACAACGGCCCAGCTAGATAGCGGTTCTATCTAGTTGGGTTGCGGAGTACCGCCACGCGAGAGCGGCCGTATGGGGACGCCTCTCGAGCCCAACGAACCTTCGAGTCGAGTACAGAGACCTTCCCGTACAGATAAGAGCTAGGATTACATCTTCTTTTTTGCCCTTTGGTGGTGAGGTGTCCGGCCATGTGGCCTTATCCCTTTGCATTGCCTTCCCCTTGATTTACTAATGGGTTTTTTTGTCTTTCTATCCACACGTCGACACTTGGCTTCTTATGACTTGCTTTCTTGTCTTGCATCACCAAATGGAGCTTTCATTCGGCCAGCGTGAAGTGGGATGATTGTCATCAGTTGACCTCTCCTCCTGGCATAACGGCCGTCTACTTGACCACCATTGGAATTCGAGTTTACTGCCCCCTTTACGATCAGATCATTCAGCTTTCGCTTCCTTCCTTCCTTTCTTTCTTTCTTTCTTCCTCCCTTCCTATCTTTCTTTTTTTCTTTTTTTTGGATGCGTTGTCTTTTAGAGTCGGATAGCACACCAGCGATACGATTCAACTACAATCTCGGCCATGACTTTCCACTAGACAAGCATCAGTGGCGTTCACATCGCCTGTAGAAGAGCGATAATGCTGACTTTTGCAGGGCATCTCTGAAAAAAGGGCAATTAGAGTAGATTTGCAACGTTGCAGGCTGATCCCCAGCAACAAAAGCTAAGATGGCACTGTGAGAAATGTCTTTTCGCGTTGGTCTCTCTTGACTGTCTGCCAGACAAAAACATCTTTTTCCAAACCTCTTTGTTATGAGTCGGTCCGTTTCCTGGCCAGGCGGCATTCCTGGACTGCGCCAATAGTGCTTGTGACATCCCCGTTGACCACGTCCTGTGCCGCAGCGACTTGTGCATGCGGTTTCCATGTCAACTTTACGGACTGCTCGAGACCACGTCGATCGCGCAAGGTTGCAACGCAACAGAAAGGAGCAGCAATAATCGTCGAATGTACCTTTTCGGGCTAACAATATCGAAGTTGACTATGCGTAACTCCTGGCAGGCATAGCTCAAGTCTTCATGCACGTTTTTCTTGTGACTGAGTAAATGATGCTAGCAAACAGAAGTGTGATAACGGTTTCTGCCGCAATGGAGGAGAAGAAGTGAAGCAGGAAGAGGTAGCATGGTGGTTTTTTTTTCGTTACATTCGGAAGACTACACACGCCACTTTGATATATGGAGGAGTACACAGACACTACCAGACTGAGCAGATGACAAAAGGCTTTAAAAAAAAATCCAGCCAAACCGGGCCGTTCATGCACACCACCCATATTTCTAATACTCATACATTCTACGATGTGCTTACTGCTTCTCCATCTGGTCAAGGATAGCCCTCGTGAACTCGTGCGTCGTTGCGTTGCCTCCCATGTCTCGTGTCCTGACCTTGCCGTCCGCAATGACGTCGTACACGGCCTTGGAGATGCGGTTTGCGTGATCGTCAAGACCGACATGCCTCAGCATCATTGATGCGGAGAGAAGCAGAGCAGAAGGGTTTGCCTGGTCCTTGCCCTTGATATCGAGACCGACGTGGCGGCAGCCGGGCTCGAAGACGGCAATGTCGCGGCCGATGTTGCAACCTGGGACGATGCCTGGCCCCCCGACTAGACCGGCACCGATGTTGGACAGAATGCCACCGTACAAGTTGGGCATGACCATGACGTCGAATTGCTGCGGGCGGCTGACGCACTGCATCGAGGCGTTGTCGACAATCATGTCGTTCGCCTCCAGGGTCGGGTACTCTTCAGCCACCTTCTTGAACGTGTTTCGGAATAGACCGTCGGCCAGCTTCATGATGTTGGCCTTGTGGATGCAGGTGACCTTCTTTCTGTTGTTGGCCAGAGCAAAAGCGAAGGCGAACTTAGCAATCCGCTCTGACTTGGCTCGGGTGATGATCTTGAGGGACTCTACCACGCCAGCGACGGATTGGTGCTCCAGGCCGGAGTACTCACCCTCCGTGTTCTCACGGATGATGCACAGATCAACGTTCTTGTGGCGGGTCTCGTAGCCGGGGATGTTCTTGATCAGCACGATGGAAGCGTAAATATCGAGCTCCTGTCGGAGGGCGACGTTAAAGGATTGGTGGCCCGATCGTTCGAGGGGCGTATACAGGATGCCCTTGAGGCCAAGTTTGTTCCTCTTCAGTGATGCAATGGCCTCGCGGAACAGCTGCTCTGAGTTCTTGTCACCGGTCTCGACACCGGAGACGTCGACCTGCTCCCACTCGATTGGCACATTGTCGGCCTTGAAGATGGCCTTGACGGCCTCGGTGACTTCGGCACCAATACCGTCACCGGGAATCAGAGTCGCCGTGTACTTGCCGCCAAACTTGGTGGGCTTGAAGATGTCCGACTGGACGGTTGCATACGATCGGGCAGCGGCAACGGCGGCGGGACGGGAGGCCTTGGACAGTGCTCGCGCGGCGAGCATTGTGCGCTGGACTGGCAGCATGTTGGCTAGATCCGCTGGTGTCGTGCGTGTGCAATTGGCGCCTAAGGGGTGGCGGAGACGGAGGAAGCGGACTGCAAAGTCGTGGGCAGCGGGCGGAAAAGATAGAGAGAGATAATAAAGCTATCGCGAGCTGAGAGCAAAAGCTCTGCACAAAGGTGGCTGAACGCACGGGCCTGACGTCTGCGGCTATCAACACGGCATTCGCCAGAGCAAAAGCACGGAGCGTCGAAACAAAATGCCTCAATCTGCCAGAAAAAAAAAGGGAAAAAAAAATCTCCACTGGACCGACATGGCATTCCAGAACACTTGAGAAGCAGATTCTTGGAGCTTGATTGACCCTGATCCCTTGATTTCAAGTCGGGAAGACGCGATTCTTCGCTTGGAACCTTCGTGGTCCACGCTCGAAGCGAAATGCATGCCTGGGATGAAACTACCAAGGACGAGAATGTGGAGATCGGATAGGACTCCAATCACCTAGAATCGAGCAGGAAGTATTCGCTCCGTTTCCCAATGGTAAATCGAATCCTCCCTGGCGTTTCCATGGTGCCATTGACGTGCTCCACGTTTTACTAGCCTGAGTTCTACTAGCTCCTGAGAATCTTCTTTCTTAATACCAGCATCCTGTGGTGAAGAAAGATAAATTTCGCAGACGTACAGATAGCTAGGGTTCAGAGAAGAAGTAGCAGTGCAAGCGGGACTCGGATGCTTCCAATCACCGGGAGCATGGAGACCTGGTTATGATCCAAATCACGAGCTACTTGTACATGTAATAAGTTATCGCTTCAGCTGAATAATTGCTAGAGCATCAAAATGAGTTACCGTGATTGAATATCTCCAAGAGGTGAACAAAGAAGGGCGTCAGAATATTTGGCCGCTAGGACAATTCATAATCCAAATTTATCTGGACGTCTTGCTCATAAAATCAAAAAGAACTGAGGTGTAGTGCTCATGAATATATAGCTCGAATTAATCCTCAAAAAAAAACTATGGATGTAAAACACAAAATACCAACTCAATCAATACCGTCATCAGCCGGCCAAACTTATGCTTACTTGATGCATGAAATAGTGTACAAACATGACACCAAAGAGGAGCATTACCACATTTTCTACAGACTCTGCACAGCTGTTCATTATCTTGTTTCTCTCCCTGTGTTTGAGAGGCTAAATGAAATTTGCTCCCCTTTTGCTAGACACGCTGGATGGACTGTTCACTTGAGAGAGACGCCACAAGAGGAATGCTTTGATCATATGCCATTGGCTTATTTTATCTTGGATTCTTTTCAATGATATCGTGTTGGTAAAGAATGGCTTAGCCATAATTCCGCTTAAAAATTCTGTGACTTTTACGTCTTTATGAGCTCGATTCAACATCTTTGAATTTTTGCAGAGAAGCTGGTAGAGTCTCGTTTACTACGCTTAAGGATCGGATCAGTGTAAGGTCCAATGTCCTTCACATTCAAATCCCACCGTTCTCAGGCTGCTCGGTTTTCGAGCAGACGCACGTCTGGTCGGGAATCGGATTTCATGCAGACTCTGAACGACGGGAGCTGATTCTGATCCCGTGCTGCTAAACCGACATGGAATCCCCATGACTGTTACGCTAAATCAGCAAATGGCTGACGTTAAGCAAATGCAAAGAAGATGACGATACTGAGGCAAAGGCTGATGGTGAAGTCGATATTATTTCCGGTGGAGTCTAGCTTCATGCAGCGGGTGGCTTCTTGATTCGATGATGTGAGCTTTCACCTTGCAGCTTGCATCAAACATTCCCCCCACCTCCAAGAATAATTTATCATGGCAAGCAGTTTTCGAATGCAACGGCTGTCGCCCCCTATTTCGTCCTTCAGACACGCTCAATCAGCCCGCAAACGTCTCATATCGGCATCCCGCCACCAGTTTTCAACGGTTCCGAGACTCGGCCGCTCCGAACAGCCCCAGCAGCGACCGGAAAAGATTGTTTACTCGAGACCGACCACTTTGAACGCGGATCGCAAGTCCTCTCCGCTGCGGGTTGTGCCGTTCATCGCGATTTTGCTGACGGGCTTTTATCTCTTCAATCGGCTGGTAAAGGAACGTTCGGGCACAAAGCCGGCAGACAAATTTGTCAAGTCAGAGCATCCCCGAGGATAGAGCAGCATTCATCATGGCGCCGACAGTGGACATCAAAACCCTGCTCGACAGAAAGGAACCGCTGTTCTCACCAGACGAGGTGACCATCATCTTCGTCCTCGGCGGGCCAGGCGCAGGCAAGGGCACGCAGTGCGCCAACCTTGTCAAGGACTACGGCTTCAAGCATCTGTCCGCAGGAGATCTTCTGCGTGAGGAGCAGGACCGTCCAGGCTCTCAGTTTGGCGAGCTCATCAAGACTCACATCAAGGAGGGAGAGATTGTCCCCATGGAGGTCACCATTCAGCTTTTGGAAAACGCTATCAAAGCCACGCTGAAAGAGGAGAACAACAACAAGTTCCTCATCGACGGTGCGATCACCTCTCCTCTCAATTCCATCGTCGTTCCAGACTAACTCGCCACGCCAGGCTTCCCACGCAAGTTGGACCAAGCTATCAAGTTCGAGGAGGCCGTCTGCCCGTCGAAGTTCACCCTTTTCTTCGACTGTCCCGAGGAAGTCATGCAGGAGCGTCTGCTGAACCGCGGCAAGACTTCTGGTCGCAGCGACGACAATATTGAGAGCATCAAGAAGAGGTTCAAGACCTTTGTTGAGACGAGCATGCCTGTCGTGGATAAGTTTGAGAAGGAAGGAAAGGTTGTGAGGTGTGACGCGACGAAAGGTCCCGACGAGGTTTATCAAGAAGTCAGAGAGAAGCTCAAGAGCAAAGGCTTGGAACCGAAGGCATAGTAGAACCACTTGGTACAAGAATCGTCAAACTTCTGGGCGAAAGAGTGTTAGTTGAGGCTTACCCATAGATTCTGCTGCTAGCGAACTCGTCACGGCGCTCAATAAGATATATAGGATATAGCAGATAGGAATGACAAATCTAAACAAAGTCATGAAAGATTCGTTATTCCACTAGCTCTTCACTATCTGCTGACCCAAGCAATCCCAAACTGCGACTGCATCTCAATCATTCAAAAAAAGCAACTTGAACGCCATTATGAGGCGTGATCACAATATCCGTGACCATCCTCGGGGCTTCGCCACCCGGCTGTCTACTCTCGATCCTACTGAACTGTTGCAGGATTCTCACCGTGGTGTAACCCATCTCTGTGAGGGCAAAGTTTTGTCCCAGACAGATGCGCGGACCTCCGTTGAAGGGAATGTAGTTCCAGCTCTTGGGGAACCACTTGTCCCAGCGTTCCGGACAGAACTGGTCAGACGGAGCAGGTTGGCCTGGAGGGTACAGGTCGGACCTGCGTTGCATGACAAGTGGAGAGTAGGCGATCTCGGTGCCCTTCGGAATACCGATAGGTTCATTGCCGGAGGTCCCCCCGCCATGGGGGAGAGTCGTGTCTTTGAGTGCGACGCGAACATTGACAGGTACGGCGGGATAGATACGTAGGATCTCATTGAGGCAGGCCTGAATCACGATCGTTTAGTGAAGCACGTTATGGAGCCGAATGCTCATTCGTTACATACCTGGAGATATTTCATGTTCTTGAGGTCTGCATATGTCGGCTCACGGTCGAAGCCGACATGATTTCCGATTTCCGTTCGCAATTTCGTCACAACGGCCGGATGTGTCGACAACTCGTAAAACAGCCAGGACAGGGTGCAAGCCGTCGTGTCCCTACCTGCGAGCAGAGTGGCCATGATTTGATCACGCAAGAACTTGGCGTCTTTGGTCTGTCTCGCAAGCGCATGCAAAAAGGTATACCGGCTAGAAGCCTTGCTGTCAAGCTCTTCCTGCGGAAGCTGTGTAGCAAGGTCAATGAATGGCTTAATGAACTCGTCCACCTTTGCAAGGGCTTCGTAATAGCCTTTGACGGGGAAGATGGCCTGAAGTGGACCGAGCATCATCTTGAGTAATTGCTTGTGCTGGACATCCTTGAACGCGTTCGCAAATTCATCCTGGCCACCTATCGCCGTCTTCTCAAGAGAGTCCGAGCTCTTTCCGAGAAGGAAGTCAGTAGCAGCGTCGAGTGTGTACGCGAAGAACAGCTCCGAGATGTCGATCTGTTTTCCCTTGCGTTCCTTGAGAATCTTCAGCATGACCTGCACATGCGTTTCGAATGTTTCCAGATCGCTAACGCGGTCTTTGATGAACTGTGGCCTAAGCAAATTGCGTGAATTTTGCCAGAGAGCGCCGTCGGTCGTGAATATGCTGTTTCCAAGGAAAGCGCTGAACTCGTGGTTAAACTTCTCGCCCTTGCCGTAATCATTGAACTGGGTGGTCAATATCGCCTTTATATTTTCCGGATCCGTTGTGACAATGGTCCAGCGGAACAGCAACGGTCCCAGCACTGTGTTCGGATTCTTTGGATTGCCAAAGTCCTGAAGGCGCTCGGCGAGCATCTCCATGCGTTTCTGCTCCTTCATTGCCCTCATCGCTCTACGAAAGCGCACGAGATTCTGGGGGTTAAACGGACTTGGGCCCATGGGGGGCACATGGCCAAGACGACGACATTTCAACATGAATCTCCAATTTGCAATTTGGGTTATACTACACAGCAAGAGATACAAGAGCAAGGGGGAACCAAAGATCCACAGCGAGATCTTGGTCCAGATGTTGAGCTGAACATCCGGCCACCATTTCAATGAAGCTTTGGGGCGCAAGAAGTCGATGAGCATCGTTAAGAGAAGATATGAATGTCCACAGGATAGAAAGCGTACAGGAGCTGAATTATGTACGAAAGCGGCATGAATTTGACCCGAGGCGTTTGTGGTCGCTGCATCCTCGCGACGAGCCGTCTCGACTCGCTTCTCTAGTTGCCTGCGTGTCCATGTGAATGAAGTAGGCAGAGCCCTAGGTAGAATTACTCGACTGGAGACTCGTCCAAGATTGACGCGAGGGAGCAAATGTGGGGTAGAACAATCGCTTGGGGTTGGCACGAGAGTCGAGGTCAGGGGTGAGGTCGGCGTTTGGGGTGGGAGAGCGCCGATAGTGGGTGTACGTTTACCATTTCCATCATTACATCAATACCCGGACCCTGGAAATCGTAAATTACACTAACTTGACTTACTTAACGTTCCAGCTTGGTGGTGTTCGGCCGGGTGCATACGAGCACTGGTATGCCTCTTGAGAATCCCCGAATACTATTTCCTCTGTTCAATGCATATACGCCTTGCCAATGGCGTCTACAGCTTCAGAAGAGGAGCTCGTCGACGTGCTGGTCAATTTTGTCGAATACAGCACGTATCCCACATCTGAACATGTGGCTTCAGCGAGCCTTCCAAACAGTGCGTTGCCACCATTGCTAAATGGCATACGCAAGGGACAGGAGTCTATAAAGGTAGCCATCGCGTGGAATCTTTTTTCACCTTGTTTGTTGCTCGCTCACTGACGGCGACCTCAGGCCGAACTGCGCGAACTTAGTCGTAACACTGCTGGCGATTTGGACGGTTGGATTTCGCAGGCCAAACAACTGCAACATGATATAGAAGAGTCCAAAGTCACTGCAAAAAAGATCTTGCAAGAGGAGGCAAGATGCGAGGAACTGTACGAGAAGGAGCAGGATGCGGCGAGCAAGGCGAATCTTCTGCGCAAGGAGCTCGATTTCAACGAAACATTGATCGGGGCTCTTGAGCAGATAAAAATCGCAACTGGATTGCTCGATAAAGCCAAAGACGCCGAATCAGAGAACGAACTTCTTCTGGCCGTGAAGGAGTTGGACAACTCGCAGAAGGTCACTGCCCAGTTGGACAGCTTGCAGAGCTCACGTTTTGGTGGGCTGCTCTCGAGACGTACTGCGCAGGTCAAGGACGGACTCAACGCAAAAATCACAAAAACTTGGGCTACATTGGTTCAATGCAATCACGAAGAGAGGAAAATTATTATCTCCAATGAGCTGGACGCAAGTGGTGGGCAAGTGAACCTCGACGACACGATCGCGGCAATGCAAGAGATAGGCAGCTTGGAGACACACTTGTCGCGATTTTATCGCGAATTGGATACACTCATTATCGGCCCACGCTTCTCTCCAGCTGCAGATGGTTCGAATGCCGAGCTTTATGTCAAGCAGGGCGAGATTTTGGTCTCTGGTCGTAGCGAGAACCGCTCTTTGGAAGTTCTCGCAGGCGATGCCAAGAAGCTCATCTTGTTCCTACAGGAATGCTTTCCAGAGGAGGCATTCAAAGTGCTCCTGGAAAAGCTTCTACCAAATTTCTTGGTGCAGCTAGTCAACGAGCAACTTGATCCCTCTGTGCCTGTTACAGTGAACTACCTTGTCAGCTACGGACCTTCTTTGGAACATATTCAAAGCTTGGCGGCCTTCATCGAGAAACTTGGAGTTGACGTTCCAAGCGATGGTGACTTGTCGCAATGGATTGATCGACTCCCCCAAAACTGGCTTTCGAGACGACGAGAAGGTGCTTTGGATGCATTGAGGACGGCGTGCTACGATGCAGTAAATATCTCAAAAATTTCAGAGAGAGTAGAAACACAGATGATAGCGAGTGACGATGTAATAGTCACAGGCGAACAAAAGGATGAGACTTGGAACGACGACTGGAATGAGGATGACGAAAAAGCAGTGAACGATCAGGACACTTCGGGCCCATCGAAAGCTGATGGGGATGGCGAGGAGGCAGAAGGATGGGACTGGGATGATGGAGATGAGAATGACTTGGCTGAACAAGACCAGCAGGCACGTGAATCTGGAAAAGCAAAAAATGACGATGAGGATGCTGAGGGTTGGGGCTGGGGTGATGATGAAGTCGATCATCCCCAAGACAAAGCTGCAGAATCGGCGCCATCCAAGACCCAAGTACCATCAAGATTGCCCCAGTCAGGGGAACAAGAAAACAAATCCTCAGGAAGCCCAAGGCCTATCACTCAGCAAGAAATAACTCTTCGCGAAACATTTCGAATTTCAGCAATACCCGACACACTTCTTGATCTTATTAATAAGGTCCTTCAAGATGCCTCGGACATCTCGCAACCAGAGTTTCCCATTGCTGAAATTGCTGCTGCAGTTGCCGCACTCTCCCCGATTCCAACACTTCTTCTCGCCCTCTATAGAGCAACAGCTCGTTCATTCTACTCACGGAGCCCAGTAGCGGATATACTCATCTACAACGACTCCACAGAGCTTGCGAGACGGCTGGAGCGTTTACTTGAAGAGCTTCCTTCAGATCATCCACTCGCACGTCGTCTACCAAGAGCTATCGAATCAGAAATTAAGAACTTAGAGTCCTTCTCAAGACTTGCGTATGGCCGAGAAATGGACTCGCAACGAACGATTTTGTCGGATTTGCTATCGTCAACGTCCGGCTTTGAGAACTGCACTAACCCGGTCAATGCACGTGAATATCAAAGCGCACTTGATGACGTCGTCTCGAGATTGAGAGAGATTGACGCTCTGTGGAAAGACGTTCTCTGCGAATCGGCGAGAAAACAATCTATTGGTGCATTAATCAGCCACGTCATCCGCAAAGTCGTACAGGACATTCTCGAGCTCGCTTCCGAACCAGCAGGTATCTCTGAACCTGAATCGAAGCAACTGAAAATCTACATCGACAATATCGCCAAGCTCTCTGATCTCTTCAACGTCATCTCGCCAGATGGTGAGGAGCGATCTTTGGTGCACGTGTATACTCCTTCATGGCTGCGCTTCGTATATCTCGGTGAGATTCTAGAGGCTAGCCTTGCGGACATCAAGTTCCTGTGGACGGAAGGCGAGCTGAGTCTAGAGTATGAATCAGACGAGGTGATAGAACTCATTCAAGCATTGTTTGCAGAGAGTGAGCACAGAAAGGAAGCAATAAGGGAGATCAAGAAGAGTGCCAGAATGAGCGGCGAGTTCGGAAGGTAGCCAGTAGATGACCATAGAAATCGAGGGGATATCCAAAAGCATTGTTTATCATTCCAAATGCGTATGGACTTTCAAACTGGAATACATTCACTCTTCTGTGACATCGATAGATCAAAAAAGCAGCGGGGCATCTGCAGAGTAATGAATCCATTACGTTCTGGCAGCCACTATCGCTAGGAGTCACGTATTAGCATATTGTTGGAATACTTGCACCTTGAAAGATGAAGCTTGCTTATGTCGACCTCAGGATAGAAGACGACCGTGTTGAACCCCTCAGGCAATCGCAGTTTGTCTATCAATACGCGAAAAGTGTCGCTGAACTTGGTCGACATGAATGGGCCGCATCCCAGTGCAAAAGATGCACAACTCGGGATGTTGTTTCTATTCTGCCTGAATAACTCCTTTTTCTTCTCGACAATCGTCACAGTGGTTAAGCGCAAGGAAGGATGGCGCTTTTCACTCTGCCCCACGTGGTGCATGCTTTTGTGCCGCGCTTGGATGATCGCAGAGGTAAATTAGCAGACAGTCAAAGGGGTATGTGATAGATTTGAGATTTACTCATTGGAATTTTTTTTTAATTAAGTGTGGTTTTTTACTCCAAAAAATTGAAGCATTAATTCTGGACGAGCCAATTCGCATCCATTGAATGAGATCATGTTTTAGTCATCCGAATTTGGGGCGAAAGAGACTACTATATCTTGCTATGGCTCCAGAACTATCTAGCTGGGAGCCTGTATTACACCGGGTTTGTTTATCTGCACCCTTTTGTCTTCGCCTGCGCTGAGAATTCCCAAGTCCTTATCCCACCGAACGTCAAATACTTTGACTCCCTTACCACCCTCGGGGCTCTTCTTTGCTTGACCTACAGATTCACGATGGAACACATACAGGCTTTCGCCTGTCTGACCACCTTCCTGGCCATTTGTGCTCGGACGCACGCTACGAATATCCCACACACGACATGAGCCATCATGGCTTCCAGAGACGAGTGAGTAGTCCGAAGACGGATCTTGCGCTAAAGACACGACGGCATTTGTGTGGCCGCGTAATGTCATGGCGGAGATCTTGGAGGCTGACGCGCGAGGATCGATGAGTGTGATGTGGCGTGCGGACGACCCTGCAGCAAGAAGACTGAGACCGCGAAGTTCCATGAGGCAGAGAAGAGGGTGCATTGTAGATTTCGAGTCGACTTGTTTCGAAGTTGTCAGGTCCCATGTGCGGACGGTGTGGTCCCACGAGGAAGAATATGCAACGGTGGCATCTTGCAGCTTGAAAACAGCAGCAGAGGCAACATCTGTATGACCTTCCATAAGAGAAATTGGCCCACGCTGGGGTGCGTGAGAAAGATCTGATTTAGAACGCTTCCTTCTCTTGTTGCCTGCGGTAGAAGCTGAGGGGAGAAGCGAGGCCGGAGCTTCGGGAGAGGAGGAAGCAGAACTCGACCACAAGCCTACTTTGTGGTCGCTTGACGCCGAAAGAATACGAGATGAGGCAGTGTTTACATCAACACTTTCGACGCCTGATCTGTGTCCATATAACTCCAGCGTTTGCCGTATCGTCTTTTCTTCCTCATTATATTTCCACACACGCACTGTTCTGTCACAGCCACCGGAGACAAGTTTGTTCTCAGAGATACATCTTACAGCCTTAATCGATGATGCGTGACCGCCAGACTCAGAGGAGGCCAGAAGTGCACCCTGTGTCGCATCCCACGCTCTTATAAGACCGTCGAAAGAGCCAGACATTATTCTTGCATCTGAAACAGAAGGTAGGACGTCCACAGAGCTCACCCAATCATCGTGTTCAAACGACGAGACGTATGTCGGCGGGAGTAAAGCGCGCACTACTTCGACAGGCAGTGTTGTCTCGGCCGATATGCCGTGAGCAGTGAGGAATTCATCGATTGTGGTTCGCAGGAATTGGCCGTTGATGAGGAACTGCAGTGGCACACGCGGCTCAGGAGTTCGCAAGCTATTCACGAGTTCTGATAGTCCTGCACGTCGAACGGCTTAAGAATATTAGTATTGTTCCAAATGAGACAGCAAGGCGTGGAGCATACAGGTAGGAACAAGGATAGGCGTGAGCTGCGGGAGATTCAATGTGTTATCTCTCGTACTGAATTGAATGCGCACTTGAGCGCCGGGTTTCTGCTGCGTGTCTATATCCATTATTCCGTGCGTAGAGGGCAATGTTCTTTGTAACGACGTTGTTCCTCGCTGTTTGTCCCAAACTTTTTTCTTGGGAGACTTTGATACAGGGTCGATGAGGGTCTGATTAGATTAGATGAACGCTAGTCTATTATAGGCACTTGTCCTAGGAGGATTTCCAACATCCTCAATATCCTCGTCGGCTGTGCCCAACGAGTTGAAGGATTAAAATTCCGGGTACAAAAGTACTATCCATCACAGCTTTGAAGTACTGGACGTGTCACTACCGCAATGGCGGATTTTGCTGGGTTATTTTCGGACAATTGTTGCGCGGTCTGCAGCAAGACTACAGACCTTCTGAAATGTGGGAAGTGCAGGAGCATTCAATACTGCTCCAAGGAATGCCAGAAGAAGGACTGGAAGACCGCACACAAAGCATTGTGTGGTCTGTTGGCTCAAATGAGGTCTACTCGAACATCTGAGTCTGCGACTGGTGCTTCAGCATCAGGTCAGTCGACTAGCAATGATGCTGGGAGCGGAACTGCTACGCTGAAGAACCTGGAGACGCAAAATTGACAAGCCTTTCCACAAATTGAATGATGGTACTTGGCTCCATGGCCGGTCTGAAAAGGACGTTTTCCAACTTCTGGTCGACAGCTTCAGGTTGCGATTGGAAGACGAACATACCTTCCGTGGAACTTCGAAGCCCGGCTCGATATACACTGGTTCTGCAGATAGCAGTTCTGCTTTCAAGCGCTACCTGACCAAAGTTGGAAGCAGAAAGAACTTGCTTCCCCCTTGGTGGAATGAGGAGAAATCGAAAGCATGTGTGGCGTTCGGCATGAAGGAGAATCAATGGTCAAACCTGCGAAAACCAGTTAAGAAGAGCGAAATCATTGACTACTACGGCTCGCCTAACATGCCAATGCAAATGAGAATGCTTGCTGAAGACATCCTCGGAGATTCACTTTCGCCCGGAGATGGGGCAAAGATGATGCGAAACTTCCAGATGATGCAGGAGGCCGGCGACGACGGCCTTGGTGGTATGAGTTTCACTCACTTAAACCTGGGGAAATAAGATGCTAGCCAGCATCAAGTGACGTTGTACTCTTCACTCTTGCGTAGTTACGGTTGCCACGCAATTTTTATTGCTGTTGGAGTTTTCACCTTTGACAAAATTACTGCAAAACCACAACAATTTCCCGCAATCAAATCCTGCCTCCACTTCCTAATTCCTACCGTGCCACCTTTGCAGTCCCACAACCAAATTCAAGGTCTGAAAGTAAAGTGTCAAAGCGAAACCTTCAGAAATTCGACTAGTCTCTGCGCCTTTCAACATGCCCGCCAAAGAATATTGCGTTAAATGCTCTACGGCTGCAGCCAATATGAGAGACTGTACAAGGTGCCTCTGTGTCTCATATTGTAGCAAGGGCTGTCAAAAGTCAGATTGGAAGGTTCACAAGAAAGTGTGCGCAAAACTCGCTGCGGCCAGGCACAAGGCTACGAAGAGCAGGGCTGACGACGGTGCATTGGATGCAGCCCATCACACAAGCAACTTTGCTTCCAATGAGACATCATGTGAGGTTTCGAAGCCATTCCACGCACTCAACTCCGGTACGTGGCTACAGGGTCGAAGCGAGGAGGAGGTCTTCAAACTGTTGGTGGACAGCTGGCGACTCCGTAAGCTGGAGGAACTTGAAACACTCAACGTCACTGAGATCACAGACGAAGATCCTGGAGTAAAGGATGGAATGGCGCCATTCAGAGACTTTGTGGAGCATGCGGCAAGGAAAAAGCTGCTCCCTTCGTGGTGGACGAAGGATAAGGTGGACAAGTGTGTCAAATATGGTCTTCGAAGGAAGAATTGGAGCAATCTAAGCACATGGGCCGAAAAAGAAAGCCTCATCAACCACTACGGCGACGCTACTCTTTTGACTCAGATGTGCATTTTCACTTTCCAGGCTTTGGGAGCCGTTCGAGAGGGAGAAGACGACATTTATCTTGGCGTTTTGGCTGAGCAGATGTCTGAAGAAGTGTGAGCATCAAGTCCGAAGATCAAAATTCCATCAAAGTCTGGGCACTTCAAGTCTCCTCAAGTTGCTTTGAGGACATTGTACGTCCATGATAGGCGTCGAAGCAACAAAGAAACATGCCTATTCACGCCTTCACTCTCGCCATTTGCTTGTCTTTATGTATTGCAAAATTATGTGAACCTAAATATAGGCGTTTATTGATTTTTCACGCAAGAATAAGGGATGTTTTCTTTATCACCACACTCTTGATCTCAGCAACGGCTAGAATGCATTCATCCCACCGCTGTCTGAGCCGGTCCTAGCGATCGTCAATGACACGCTTCACTGCCAGGTCTACATGGATGAAGTAAGAGATTGATCAGAATGACTTGTGACCGTAACAATACACGGGCAACTTAGTTGTTCAAGTCCCCAAGCTTGCACTGACTTAACTATCTTCAGAGAACAAATTGACGTAGTTTTGACGAGGCACGTGAGTCAGCGTCTGCTCGATCCAATATGATCAGGCAATTGACGGAAACTGCACCTGCCATTTTTTATGCCAGCGGCGAGGCAGGAAGGTGCCTTAATTTTGACGAGGAAAGAGCTGCCTGTGTCGAGCTCCAGCAACTAAAACATCCCATTTTTTTTTTTCTTTTCCTCTTGTTTGTTCTCGTGCACTTTCAACAGCCGCCAACATCGGTATATTCTTCAGTTCACACTAAAACGCCTAGAACGTTCTCGACGGGTCTGATACATTCGCAGCGTTGATTTCTGGAATTTCCGCATCACATAGTACCGCTTTGATCAGGACGACGTGTCTCGCTGTTAAACATGGTTGGTAAGATGTCGAAAAGCTGCGGATGTCTTCACCAGGTGCTACTATGAACAGCTTATTTTTGAGTTTGGTTGCAAGGCGCAAAACATAGGTTCTTTTCCTCGCCGCTTCCACATCGTGCGTGCAAGGACGATGAATTGGCTGCGTGTTCACAAGTTGAGTCGTATCTGTCCACGGCTTGAGACGGACCAACTTTGTGTTGACATTGCCTATGAAGCGTGTAATCTATCCAAGCATACTGAAGATAGTTTCTTCAGCGACCTGGAGGATTACACTGCTCAACACTCAGCCATATGCCAAAGTCTGTTGGGCAAACAACAAAGCTACTTTCAACTTCTGGAGCCGACCTGGGGTATCTATGTTGGGAAAAGAATGGCTAATCCTGATCAAATACTCGTTAGATGTGTCGTTGATTTTTCTGGAGCGCATTTGCGTCTAGCCTGGCGCATAGGACTGAGTTGCAGAAATTACGACATGCTGCAGGTTCAAAATTAGAATAGGACTCAGTCAGCAGCTTGCCTCTCAGGCGAATATTAAGGGACCAAGGAGTCTTCCACATCACTGCAAGCCTACTACTAAGTAGCGGACAGCAACGGCCAGGCCACCGCAAACGATTGTATCGCGATACCTTTGGAAAACGGAGACTGAATGGACGCTCACCACATCCACGACTTCCGAGGGCACAAGTCATTTCATAGAATCTAACACCGTTATATCACAACATATGGGACTGTGACGAAGAAGAAACGTTGCGAAATCTCCAAGAAGCCCAGAAGGGCGGATTCAAATTTTCTAGTACATAGTCAGGGAGCGCAGCGTCGTCGTCTCGATTATAACGACTAAGACAGTTTAAAGACGGTGACTGGTAACTTAGCCATTAAACTCTAATCACGTCAGCTTTATACGATAATGTTCTAAGTTATTGTGACGATTTTATAGGCGAGATATCTTGCTTTTCACGAATGCTTAGTAGTGTGCATCGTTCGCTATTTAGGGTCGCACGTCAAACTATCCTCATCTAAGGGCACTGCGAGCATTCTTATAATAAAAGTTTTTACCTGCTGCACTTGTAGCTTCAATCAACTCTCGCTTTTCTCAGAAGGAAAGGAACAATATTATAGAAAAGATCGAGCCTGACCTTAAACTTGGATGAGATGGCACTATGAATGGCAACAGTGATATTAACTATCCAGCCAATACTGTACCTGAGATAAGGCACAGCATGGCTTAAATTCCATTACTCATTTAAGGGATATCACTATATCCTCCCGTCCGACGCCGTCTGCCCAGTTCAGTTCTGACTCTTTTCTATCCTATGCGCTGCCAACAGCATGTGCGAACACTCGTGCAGCAAGATCAGACAGCAGCTTCGCCTTCTCCGCCTGCGGTAGCTCTTGGAATACAGCATACACGCTTTTGCCTTTCGCGTCTCTTATGGCCCCAAGTCTGTTTCCAGCCACTGCACCTGCAATGGCTCCAGGAAAATTCGCGACAATGAAGCCCATCGCCCCTCCGCTCAAACCGCCGATCACACTCCAAAACTTACCCGTCGGCTGAGCCTGCTCGCCCTCTGCCATGCCCTCTTCGCGCATCATCTCCTCAAAGACACTTGAGAACTGGGCATTTGAACGTTCCTGCTCCTGAGCAGGAGTATTACTACCAAAAGTGCTCCTGAAGAAGTCACTCCAGCTTTGGAAACCTGTCGCGCCAGTACCACTGCTGCCGCCTGCCGGGACTTCCTCATCTGCCTCCTCTTCGAATGTACCAGGAGCCGAGGTACCGGCGTGAAACATACGAGCCGCGTCGTAGTCGCGCCGTCTTGTGGGATCAGATAGTGTGTAGTACGCATCGTTGATCTGCTGGAAGCGCTTTGTGCGTGTGGGGCGCTCGGGGCTGTCAGCAGGAACACGGTCAGGATGATGCTTCAATGCGGCCTTCTTATAAGCCTCGCGGATCTGAGCTGTTGTTGCTGTGGGGGAAACCTCAAGGGTTTTGTAATAATCTACTGGTGGCGCTTTTTTATGCGTGTTAGCATAGGAACCAGACGTCGGGCTTCTCTGGCCGCGAGAGTGTAAGAGTAGGAGCTTACCCGCCATGTTTACATTCGTTGCGCGGAAACACGAGGTGGATCATATGCTTCCACTCTTGGTCAAGGAAGAGAATCCGTCTTGGATACTATCAAACCCACGACCAAGGCTGCAGATTAAGTCTGGGGAGTTGCCCTGTGGGTTTGCGCATGACGTAACTTCGTGACCACAGCCGTTGTCGGTCTAAAACGACCACGCGTATTCTAACCACAACAAGTAAACTCAAAGCTATTCAGGTTGCTGACGGAGGCCTCATGCTTTTGAATTGCTACGGTACAGCACAAAACAGGCATAGCAGGCAGCGGGCTTCTCACTGTTGACCTCCACTTCATCAGGAGCGACTCGTGCTACCTCAACGCATTTCGATCTATTGCATCTGTCCTACACTGCCACAATGCTGTTTGGACTCAATTTGCCCGTAGCAACATGAATGTTTTCAAAATTTAGTTGACTGGTCTCCCAGCTCGGGTTCGGAGCAACGCTTATGAGCAAGTTTACTTTTTTGGCCTATATGCTACATATTATTGCGAGAAGTACAAGCTATTCTCTTGATATCCGCAGAGCAATACTGGTTCTCGTGAGCTTGGACAGGGGCCTCATCGATTACACAAAGCAGGAAGAGGTCGACGCTAGAGATCGTATCCAAGCTAAGCGCAGCAATGCCTCCGTTCCGTTTCCCTCGTGGCTCAGCCATTGGCCTCATCCTTTGATATAAAAGCGTCGGACTAATTTTCCATGCACTTCGAGCACTGAGAGTTCGATAAAGGAATGCATCAACCCTTCATCTGTTATAATTTGGATCTGTAGCGGACATGCTGTACCTTTTTGAAAAGGCTTTGAAACAAATTTAGACGCCGACGAGAAACTCGAAACATGAACGCCGCCTCCCCATTACCATGGGGTCACAACACATTTCCATACGACGAATTGAAGCATTTAGATTCATTTCGACTATTGAAGCTGCTCCCCGGAGAAGGCTCGGAGCCGATTGGTTGCACCCTTGTTCACGCAAGACTATCTGAAGTACCTGAATACGAAGCCATCTCGTATGCCTGGGGAAATGTTGTATCCGAGCATCCCGTGTTCCTTGGAAAACATGAGATCCAAGTACAACAGAGCGCATACCTCGCGCTCCACGAGTTCCGATTCCTAGATAAGCCCAGGTTGATATGGATGGATGCTTTGTGTATCGATCAATCCAACGTCGCCGAACGAAATCAGCAGGTTAATATGATGCGAAATATCTTTGGCAAAGCTAAGCAGACCTTGATCTGGTTAGGTGCATCCGATTCAAGTGATGAGGAGGCTGTGCAACTACTAAGAGATATCGACCGTGAAATTGGCATAAAAATATTCGGCTCCCAGCGCCATAGGACGAGCGAAGCAAGACAACTACAGTGCAATATTAGAGCCACTCACCTTGCTGAAGATAGCAGAATATCACTGCGCGCGCTCCTCGGAAGGGATTGGTTCCGTCGCGTCTGGGTGCTCCAAGAATTTGCCGTTTCAAGCAACGTAAAATTCTATTGTGGCAGCACGGACTTCAGCCTTGATGCTTATAAAATTACAATAGCATCGCTGGACAGAACTCCTGAGCTTGGAACCGTGTATCCGGCACTGATCAACTCACTCCGCATCTGTAGCTTCGGGCTTCGACTTCGGCATTTGTTTCGCAAGGGCCGACCCAGACGTCTAGGGTGGATTGTGAAGCACACAGCTGGAAGGTTCAAAGCTACGGACCCCCGTGATAAAATATTTGCCCTATATGGCCTTATAGACAATTGCGGCACGGCGAAGCTTGAAGCTGATTATACGATGACCACCACACAAGTCTTCCGAAACGCAGTCCAGCATATTCTAGAAGAGGACAAGAGCACCGATTTTTTCAAAATTATTTCTCGCGTAGCTGCCATGCCACTTGGAGATTTGCAGTCCAGCTTGCCTTCTTGGGTGCCGGACCTATCTCACATCGGAGAAAGCTATCGCTCCCAGTTAAAGCCCATACATAATGCAAGCAACGGGGCAAAGAAAAGAACACGCTTTTCCGGCACAGAGAAGGAAATCCTGCATGTACATGGGATCATTTTGAGCACTGTCACAACTGTCCTTGTCTTCCACAAGAACGGGCGGGATCATCGGCGCTCTGAGTGTGATTTCTTGCTCGAATGCAAGACATCTTTGACAGAGAAGGGCGAATATCCGACTGGCGAGAGCACGGATCACGTGTGGTGGCGCTTGCTGATCTGTGATAGATATGTCGACGGGCAACGCCGATGGGCGAAGGCCAGCGAAGGTTACCCCCAGGGAAGCTACTTGGATCCCGACGTCTCTTTACCGAGCTGGTCGGAACATGCGAGCTTCTCTGAGGACAAGGAGCTGGAGAAGCTTCAGATGCAGTATTTCAGCACCAAAAAGCGGACGTCCAGCAACCAGAACTTCTGCATCACCAGCGACGGATACGTTGGCTGGGCGCCTTTGTCGACGCAAGTCGGCGACTGCGTTTGCATATTCGCTGGCGCCTACGCTCCGTTCATACTACGACCTAAAGATGGGCGATACTACCAACTTGTAGGAAATGCCTACGTACACGGTATCATGTATGGAGAAGCTGTTTCCGAAGATACCTCGAAGTGGGAGGAGATCGAGCTCCGGTGACGACTGCTAAGTCCTTCTTGTTTCTTGTTGCCATGTTTCGCTTATCTCCAAGCTGATCAGATGTCCAGCAAGCAACAAAATGCTATCCTTGGATCCGTACTTTTCACACGTATAGAATATAGACTGCATGGGAGGCGACATATCAGGTCGACAGTTGGAGATTTTTCTTTCGATATTGGAAAATACCGGTATTACAATTGCAGTCCATGATTCAGATTTTCCCAGAGCGTCATGAATAATTGATGTAGTGGTTATCCTACAGATCTGGTACCATTCTCATCAATGAATTGGGCAGTGGATTCATTATTCCTACACAAAAAGTGGAAATATCTTGCACGTTTTGCCAGATTCTTGCGGTGGTAACAAAGTAGGATATGACTCACATCTTGAACAGATATTATATTTCGGCAAGAAATATTTACAACTTCGAATCGAGACCAAACCTTAATTCTGCCAGCACCTCCCTCGCACCCCGTTCGCCGGTCCGCACAGCGCCCTCCATGTAGCCTCTCCACACATCCGACATTTCCGTGCCCACAAAATGCACGCGTCCATGTTTTTTCCTCAGCACGTCGGTGCAATTTGCACGTGCTGCAGTCATCACGCCAGGAGGCATGGCGGGACACGGACAGCCTTGCGAGAAGGGCTCATCCCACCACTTCTGCTCGATGTAACCGATGGGCTCGGGTACAGACTCGGCGACTCCAGCGAAGACCGATTTGAAGTGTTCAAGCACCGCTTGGCGGCGCTTTTCGGCGGAGAGTTTCGCCCAAGCCCTTCCTGCATCGCCGGCTATAAATCCGAGCAGAGAGTACATGCCTGCCTCATCATTGCTCGTGTCTCTCGTGACAGATATCAGGCCCTTGAGTGACTGTGTAAGACCGCATGAGTTGCAGTCGCGCCACCATGGTCGTTCATATGCGAGAAACACCTTTGAGAGGTGGCCATGGACTGTGCTATTGACGATCTTGTTCTTGATTGGATGCAGAGGCGGTTGAAACATGATGGACTTGTAGAGAACCGTTGGGGTAGAGACAATAACGTGCTTGGCGGTGAAGGTGCGTCTTGAAGTTATGACCGTGACGACAGAGCCGTCATCGTCAATGCTTACCACTGGGTTGTTGAGGTGTACGGATCCTTGTGGCAATGATGCTGCCATCGATTTTGAAAATGATTGTGTACCTAGAGGAGAATCAACACACCGTGGCCTTTGTAGCAGAGAAGATCGGCTGTTCTCACCTCCAGCCAGTCTCAGAAACTGGCCTCCATCTCTCTCATCACTCCTCATTCTCATGATGCCACCGCCGGACTTGCAGTACGCGAGAAAATACAAGCTACTGACTTCTCGGGGCTCGAGCCCCAACATGGCCCTTGTCCACACTGCGACGGTGCGAAGTGCAGTCTCCTTTCCGCCGTAATGGCGAACAAAGTCCTCCATGCTCATGTCATCGTAATCGACAGCGACCGCCCTAGACCAGCCGAGCGGGTCATTAATTGGCACTTTTTGGCAGAGCGCTTCAAAAGTATCACGGATGTGCAGCATGTTCTTCACCCCGCCCGGCTCGACTTCGTGAAGTGGAACGCTTCCGTAAGGGAAGGTATGGCTTTTGGAGTCGAGATCGTGTAATATTATATTGCCTTTGACATTTTGTACGATGGTATCGAGGCCGAAGCGTCGGGCTAACTCGTACATCCTGGACTGATTGGTGTCATTGATCCACGCTGCGCCCATGTCGACGATCCCACCGGCAAGCTCTCGCGACCATGTCTTCCCACCTACTCTGTCGCGAGCCTCGAGAACGATCACTTTGGCGCCGGCTTCGTGTAATGTGACCGCAGATGAGAGACCGGATAAGCCCGCACCAACAACGATCACCTCGGCATCCAAAGTTACACGTCCTTTTTTCCTCCGTCTTTCCATTCTGGATGAGAGGTAACAATGTGAATCAGCAACGGTCCAGAGTAACAAGAGACGGAGCTGGTTTGTCAAATCTCAAAATAATGAATGTGGTGCGGCACGTTGGATTTTGAGGCCAAAAGATAAGCGTTCGATGCGGGGTGGATGGTGACAGGGTTTTGGGCTACTTAAGCGTAACCCCCCTCACGGCACGCGGCAGAGCTAGACCACAACCAAACCAAAGAAAGGTGATACATGGGAAAATATTATGGCTTGGAGCAGGAGAAATATATGAAACTGACACACGGTCTCGTCGCGGAATCAAGCGCTTTGAGCGACGGTAGATGCGAAGATGACACCTGCAAATGCTGGAACACAACTTAATACAGAACTCCGCCGCCATGCTCTTCGTTCTGTAACCGCTCTTTATGCGGAGACGGGTACTCCCAGCAGTTTCTCTTTCTTCCACATCCAGTAGTTTGCACGTATGGGGTCGTATCTAGTCGCTAACAAATCCAAAGCTTTGCTAGCCTCGTTGGCGAGATTTTCCTCAGCGTGGATATCTGCAAGCAGCTCCAGGGCGTGGCTCGATTGAACGCTGTCTGGTGCATCCAACGATGCGTACTTTTGCGCGAAGGGCTTGAGAGAGCGCAGCGGAAGAGTTGCTGGGCCCTTCGCCTCCCGCACGAGGCCGCGAAGGTAGTTCCATGGCGATGCGTTCTGTGGTGCCAAGGCAATAGCTTCCTTGACGTATCTGCAGGAACGATGTTAGTAAGCGAAGCGACACGAAAAATAGGTGAAAATGCTCGCGGAAGCTGTGAATACATACTCGACCTCGCCATCTACCCTCTTCTTGTCTGCCAGCGCCTCATCGCCGCGGGCAAAATTCAGGAACCATCGGTGATTCCAGGCGGAATTGTTCCTGATGTCCTTACGCAACAGCTCGTCGACAGCCTCGAACTCATCGCTGTCCCACAGGGCAAACCTCTTGACGAGCCACTGGCGGTAGCTCCAGACGTGGTAATTCTTACTGTCCTGCTCAAACATTTGTGTGATGAATTCTGCCTCGCCGTTGGGATCGTCGAGGCGGTCGATCATGGTCTGGCGGTGGTTCCATATCTGGTAGTTTTTCAGGTTACGCAGGGCGATTGGATTGAGCCAGGCGATTTCAGTGCGAAGGTCGCGGCCGGTTGCGAAGACTGTTTTGGCGCGATACAGCCTTTAATGTGGGTAGATCCTATGGTCAGCATATTTTCCACCGGGCAAGGACGATAGAGTGCAGCAGGGTGTATGCACAGAATGGGTTTACATACCAGACGGTGTAGTGGGCAGGATTCATGGAAATAATGTCCTCCGTCAGCTCTAGGACACGGTCGGACATCTCCTGTCTTGCGATGACGGCTCGAAGGTACGACATGGCCTCACTGTACGCGGCGGGATACATGATAGCGGCAAGCGGCTGGCCTGGCCCGTCGTTCTGCGGCACCGGCTCGACGTCTGCCCACTCTGCAGATTCAGCATACTTGCCCATGGCGGCGCTGCTTGTCTTCTTCCTTTTCGTCGTCGTCGATGTCGTCTTCGTCCTCGCACCCAAGCTTCTGTCTCCGTCTCCGTGGCAGACGTGTTGCGTTGCAGTTATTCCTACACAAAAACACTTTCTCGATGAGCACGTCGACACGAGCAATGCGAACAAGGGAGGCTGGGCAAGCCGAACTGGACAACAGGGGGGTTTCTGATTGTGAGCCTTTTGTTCCTGAGCGACTGAAGCACACCACAGAACGAGAGCGAGGGATTGGCCCCGCGCAAGTACATCGTCAAGCCACAGATCGAGGGCAAGCCACATTGTGTGCCCAGCCACAAAATGGCGCCCCTCTGGCTCAACCCCACGATTTGTGTGCCGCCATGGACGGTTTTGCATGTACCTGATCAGCTCAACCAAGTTCGGTTTTGCTGCCTGGGCTGCTTGGATCTGCCGCTACTTGCTTTATTGCTGCTCGCTTCCTTCTTTCTCCCTCGTCCACTAATCTCAACAACCTCCCAACCCACCATTGTTCGCAAATTGATTCCCAGCAAAGGCTTCAAAAGCGATCCTCCCCATCTCGGTGCACGTCGATTGTTCAACATGGTGGCCCACGGCGCTGCTGAACCAAAGCTCTATGACGGTCAGCCTCGCCCTGCTCGTCGTTGCGGCATGCTGCGAGATGTCGTTGTGTTTGCTTCTGTGCATGTGTGAGCCGTGCTGACCCGTGATCAACTATAGGCTCTGAGCTACGCATTGGCATTGTGCACGCAAGATGGAACTCCAGAATCATCGAGGCGCTGGTGCAAGGCGCAAAGGAGTCGCTCACCAAGGCCGGCGTGAGAGAAGAAAACATTGTCGTGCAGACGGTGCCGGGCAGCTACGAGCTGCCATTTGCTGTGCAGCGGTATGCTTCTATCCGAACTCATTCCTATGTTCTTTTTCCCCTGTGCGTTGATTTTTTGTATTATTCAAGTTACTTCCCTTTCCCAGCACCCTCATGGACGTCTTCATGTTGCTTGTCTATGTGTGCTTATGTGCATGTGTGCACATGTATTTGCTGACGGTTGCTTGTTGCCCATCTGCAGCATGTACGCCTCGTCCCAGATCCAGTCCAGCGCTTCGGCATCCGGCGGTGCACTTCTTGCGTCAGCCACCGACCTTCTCTCGTCAACGTCCATGACAGACCTCACAAAAGCAGCAGAGCCGGCCAAACCTAAGTCGGGATCGACCGCGTCCAAGGACGCTTTTGACGCCATTATCGCTATCGGGTGCCTCATCAAGGGCGAGACGATGCACTTTGAATACATCGCTGACGCCGTCAGCCACGGACTGATGCGCGTGCAACTGGATGCTCAGGTGCCGGTCGTGTTCGGCTTGCTGACGGTGCTGACCGAGGAGCAAGGGCTAGCGAGGGCGGGCATCGGGGGCGAGAAGGCGCATAATCACGGTTTAGACTGGGGCAGCGCCGCGGTTGAGCTGGCGGTCAAGAGGAGAGGATGGTCCAAGGGAGAGATGATCGAGTAGCCTTGCCGGCAATGGAACGGAGTCCAACGGCCACGACAGGCCCTAAATGTAGCTATCGCGAGCTGCAGCAGCGCATGTATATGGGCGCGAGCATGGCCAGCAGCGTATACGTCTTGTTGCACGACCCTGCCTCTACCGTCATCTTCTCCAGTACTACATGCAGTACAGAGCACTGGGCATTCCGGTTGTCAGCAGCACAGAAGTGGGGAATGAGCTCCTGCAGCGCAATAGCAATACAGTAGTAGGCTTAGCACGATGCAGCGCGATCCTTGACGTCAGTTTACAGCCGTGCGTTGTCGTTGTTGTTATCCTTGTCCCACTGTGAGGATCTGCATTGTGGCACCAGCGGCGACGGCTGGGGCATTCAAGAACGTGCACGTGCACGTACACACCAACAACATACAATATGTCGCCATGAAGTACGCATGCACGTGTGCAGGTGCAAGTGTGTACATGTTTGCGTTCGTGCTCTTTAGGCGTCCTCTTGAGCGTCTTCTGAATGCAGCGCAAACGGTTGTTCAGAGCAGTTCAACTCACGTGAGACACAACTCTTGCACAGTAGCATACTGGCTCTGCAGACAATCCAAACTGCTCCTATGCAACTAGCTCTAGCACATTGTACGTACGTAAGAGTGCGGGATCTAGCGAAGCCGCCGTGGTTGGACGTCATCTTCAAGGTAGCGATGTGTGAGGTGCGTGATGGACGGCGAGTCGAACAGGACTGTGTGAGCAAGCACAAACGGAAACGAGTGGACGAGAACGACGTTGGCGAGAGAGAAAGGAGACACAATTACGGTATTCGTGCTAGCTCATTATTATGTCACTTCTGGCCACCAGCTTTTGCCCATGCTCGCCTGGAGTCCGTTTTTCCCAGCCAGTCAGACCTTGGAGGTCCTGGGCCAGGTGAGTTTGCCGCTGGCATCTACTGGCCGACGACTCTTCAGGCTCAAACCCCCCCTAACCCGGGGGGCCACCCCCGCTATCTCGCCAGGCGGCTGGGCTGCTCTCCCCCATTTCTAGAGCGTTCAACCCCCCTATCTTCGCGGCCCCCCCCCCCTTATTGCACCCGTCCCCTTCCCTTCCTCTCCCCCCTAAGGACAGAAAACGACCCCCGTCGCCCACATCCCCATCACATCTCGCTCTCGCAGACCCATACGCAACTCACACTTCTCATCGCCCTCCTCGACGCCGCCGCTTGACCTTCTCATCCTCTCCTCTTCCTTCATCGAACCCACGCGTGTCGCCGTCATATTCCTCTTCGTCACACTCTTTTCTGGCGTGCCACCGTGCCGTCTCCCTCCTCGGCGCCTCCCAGCTCGCGTGCGTCTAGCGCGTCGGAACGTGCTCCTGCAAACGACCACACACCTCGTCTCTCCCTCTTTTTTCTTCCGCCTCAACATCCACACTACGCCTCCCCCCCTCCCTCCTTCATCGCCTTGCCTTCGCTCCCGCCGTCATCGTCGTCAACTCCGCGCACGCATGGATGCGATATTCTGTTGAAGCGATGCTTCGGGAATGTCGCGCACAGCTGACCACCTTGAGAGTCCCGACAACGAGACTCGGTTAGCGAGCGGAGGCGCCCATCATCTCCCCATCTTCCATCTTCATCCTCGCTCCCCGTCTTGTCCGGTCTGTCGTCGCTGCTCGCCGTCCGCAGTGCGCACGCGATCAGCCCGGTACCACGTCCCTCCGCGCTCTCGCGCCTTTGCCCACATCGAAGACGATGAACAGCAACGGAGCCTCGCCGAGCGACATCTTGACCACCGGAGGCTCTGCTAGCTCGCTGGCCAGCGCTGCCTCGTCCGTCTTCTCCAACTCCCTTTCTGGCCATCACTCTTCGGGCGACTCGCACATCACCATGAACTCCCTGACTCCTCTCACCCATGCCGAGTCGCCTCCGCCCGGCAAGATGCTCAGTCCGCGATCGCACAAGCGTTCGTACGAGCAGATGGCCAACGGCACCTCAGCCCACCACCAGCACGGCGAAAACTCTCCTTACCTCGCGCCTGGCTCGACGTCGCGCGCCGTCTCCGAGACTATCACGCCGGTGCAGACTCCGCCCGACTCGTCCCTACAAGCTCGACCTACCGGCCCGGGCGAAGTCACGGCCATCAGTCGCATCTACGATCCCACTTTTGACAAGTCCCTCAATGAGAAGCAGCGCAGACAGATGCAGCCCACATACCGCACATACACTGCTGAGGTACGTTCTACAAGCATGCAAGCGTTGTTTTGCTGACATGAGATGACGATAATGACCCATTACCACCGCCATGACGATGGCGATGGCATGGGCCATTTTCTCGATCATCGATGATTTGTTGCGCATGCTTCCATGAATAACGCAGCAACAAGATGAAGAAGAAAACGGCTAACTTGCATGCTTGTAGAACGAGGGCTTGCCCAAATCAGATGGGAGACTTGCCATTGCCGGTTACACAACCGGCCGATACCAGAAGGACGACAAGGATGAGGATATCTACAAACGCCAGCGCCTCGTGCTTGCCCCCATAAAGTGGACGTACTCTCTTGACAAACACTCCATTGGGCCCGGTAGACCCACGAGAGTTGTGGTGACGGGTTTCAGCGTCCTCACCGCAGAGGCGAAACTCCGTTCCTTGCTGAGCAGCTATGGCGACATAGCCGAATGCATGAACCACATCGACCCAATGTCGGGGGCGCCACTGGGAGTTTTCTCTGCCCGGTTCCAGGACCGGTTCTCCAAAGGTCAGCTCGTACTGAAGGCCACGGACGCGGCCCAGCGAGCCGAAAAGGAAGGCAATGGCACCCGCGTCGACCAGGCGGCAATCAAGATCCAACTGGATCGTGAGGGCATCAAGTGTAAAAAATATATCGAAAGCAGACTGCAATCGAAACGGAAACAGCAGGAAAAGCTCCAGGCGGAGGAGGCGCAGAGGCGGCCTCTGCCCAAGGCGATTCCGACAGGTCCTGCGTCCGCGCCTCCCAACGCACCAAAGGGGCCGTCGGGCAGGATGATGGCTCCTCCCATCGGGCCGGCTCCTCGCAAAGCTCCCATTCTACACAAGCCCAGGCCCGAGCCAGCAACCGCCGTTCCTGGCCCAGGCATAGGCTCTTCCCACACGACGCACTCCGCGCACTCCCTGGTATCAATGGAGCCCCTTCTGCCGACGATGAAGAAGACGCCGTATCTGTTCCTTGCGCACCGCTTCGTTCCCGTCCTGGGCACAACAATTGCGCACTTGAAGAAGCGACTGCGATCTTACGACTGGATAGAGGTCAAGTGCGATCGAACAGGGTACTTTGTGACGTTCGAGAATTCGCGTCACGGTATCAACGAGTGCAAGCGAACGTATGAAGAGTGCAACATGTACCCCCTTTTCACATACACGATGAACTTTGAATGTCACGAGAACGGTAATCCGAACTATGTACGGAGTCCAAGTCCCGAGCGCGTTGCAGCCGAACAGCGCAAGAAGGAACAGAAGCGAAGGATATACCTCGAAGACGAGCGAGATTTTGAGCGCGAGAAGCAGGAGCGCGCCGAGAACCTGGATCCCGTGCGTGCAGCGCTCGACCTGCTCATGCCCGAACTCAAGGACACCATCATGAAGGAGATCAAGGCCAAGATCGCGCTGCCTCACATCTTTGACTGCCTCCACCCGGACAAGCACAAAGAGAGGCGCGCACAGCTCGGCTTGCCCGATCCACGTGAGTCGGATCTTGCGAAGCCAATCCTTCCACTGGCAGGCCAGCTCTCTACCTATGGCGCTCCGCAGAACCGCCAGAAACTACTGAACAAGAAGCCCTTTGGCAAATTCACCAAGCAGCGATTTGACAGGCGAGAGGATTTCAAACAGCCCGTCAACGTGTACGACGAGCGGCGCAAGCGGCCCGTGCAGTCGCGAGCCCGTCCGATCGTTCCTTTGCACAGACGGTTACAAGACTTCAAAGATGAGGACGACTCAGACGACGAACGTCAGACCACCATTACGCGTGATTCGGAAGGCCCCGAAAGCCACCCTGTTAGCGAAGCTGGATCCGGTACGCCAGCACGTGTCGAGGTCGACGAAGGCACATCCACACCAAAGTCCAAGCGGCGCCGCATTGAAGCTTGGGGCGTCGATAGCGACGATGAGCGGCAAGAGGCGTTTGCGCGCAAGGCTCTCGGTCATCTCATGGACAAAGAGCCGGAAGACATGGCCATGGGTGAACTGCAGCAGGTGCTCACCACGTTCCCACGGTCGTCAGAGATCCGGCAGCGTGCCGCCGCAGAGATCAAGCTTCGACACAAGGCCAAACTTGACGATAAGCTGTTCGGCATCGTTCCCGAGCCGGAGCCTGTTTCGACGCCCACCGAAACGGTCGAAGACGTGGAGATGCCAGACGTGTCCGAGCGGGCGGCGAAACCGAAGAAGAAGGCAGCGGCTCCTAAGCCCAAGAAGAAGACCAAGAAGGAGATTTTGGCCGAGGAAGAGGCCGCAAAGGCTGAGGCAAAGGCTGAAGAGGAGGCGATGAAGACGCTCGAAGAGGAGGAAGCAGTAACCCCAGTCGTGGAAGCTGAGGAAGAGCCTCGTGCGGAGGTTGAATGGGCGGTTTCAGAAGAGGCTCCGCGGAAGACGGTAGAAGACGACCCGGATCTTCTGCTCGATCTGGATGGCTGGCAGAACATTCTCAAGGACGATGAGGACATGAAGTTTTTGCAAGAGGCGCTCAACGGAGTCAAGCTTGCCAACATCTCCGATGCCAGGCTGTGGGCGTGGAAGCAGAAGCAGTTCAAGGCTCTGAACTCCAGCGACGCCAAGTCTGCTCCTCGTATCGAAGGCTACTACGTGCCGAACTCGACCGGCTCGGCGCGTACGGAAGGCTATAAGAAGATTTCTCAGACCGAGAAATCCAAATATCTGCCCCATCGTATCCGGGTTCAGAAAGCTCGTGAAGAACGAGAACGCGAGGCCAAGAACGACCCACAGAAGGCCGCCGAAGCTGCGAAGGCAGCGGCTGCGGCGAAGATTGCGTCGACTGCCTCCTCTCGCTCGAATCGCGTCAACAACCGCCGCCTCGTCAACGAAATTTCCATATCCAAGGCCGTCCTCGGCACTGGCGGAGCCGACACTGACGCCCTCAAGTTCAATCAGCTCAAGAAGCGCAAGAAGCTGGTGCGCTTCGATCGCTCCGCGATTCACAATTGGGGTCTGTACGCCGAGGAGAACATTGCTGCCAGCGACATGATCATCGAGTACGTGGGCGAGAAGGTTCGACAACGAGTTGCCGATCTGCGGGAGATCAACTATCAAAAACAGGGCATCGGTTCTTCGTACCTGTTCCGTATTGATGAGGACACCGTTGTGGATGCGACGAAGAAGGGAGGCATCGCTCGCTTCATCAATCACAGCTGTGTGCCGAACTGTACGGCAAAAATTATCAAGGTGGAAGGAACCAAGAGAATCGTCATCTACGCGCTGCGGGATATCGCCAAGAGTAAGTTTGCATTTTTGGCTTACAGAGGGATTAATATCGGCGGGTGCTAACCAAGATGACTTACAGACGAGGAACTCACTTATGACTACAAGTTCGAGCGCGAGATCAACAGCGACGATCGGATACCTTGTCTGTGTGGGAGCGTTGGCTGCAAGGGCTTTCTCAACTGAAGGGCCCAAGCATGAAAATTTCGGCCAGGCTTTTGTGGATGGCCTTTTTTTTTATTTCCCGATTCAACACGTGCTGCTATGGCCAGCGGCCGTGCTTTGCATCTGGCGGAGTCAATTTTCTTTTTTTTCTTTCAACATCTTTGTCAGAGGTTACATGCCGTGTTGCATACGCACACGCAATCGCGTGCATATATGGAGTGCGCATCACCATTAAAAATTCTTCGTGTCCCCTTTTGCAAGGCGCTTTGCGGGGTTTGCATAATTTTAAGTTTTCTCGTTTGTAACATCACCATCGTCACGGACAGTAATATAGGCTACCACCGTTACAGTTGAAGGGTAGCACGCTATGGCTCAAAAGCGGTTGGGGAGCTTCGAGGCTTCGGATGCTGTGGAACGAAGGGGCATTGGGATTGCTAGGATGAAAGTGGCATCTGGCAAGTTGGCGAGTAGGGATAGAAACTAGGAGATCTGAAAGCAATAAAAAAGATAGAGTCGATCACGCCACTGGCCTTTTTGCACTCTTCTCAATGTGTTTTCAAAAGTGAACACGGAAGAACAAGACTTGATTGCGACTTCTTTGAACAGCTATCAGGCTCATCTCGACCATCAGGCGATAGCCCTCCTCTTTGCGGAGAGAGGTGAGATAGAATGTAGTCGCTACGATATATCTGACCTCCTGACTTTCTCGACGTGAATGCGTGCGGTATCCAAACATCGGTCGCATAGCCTTTTTTTTGCGTGGTGCTTTTTCAGCGTGTGCGCCGCCAGCTCTTGGTGGGCGCCACGAAGCCCCCGATGACGTTGTGTGTGTGTGTGCGCACATTGACGATCCAAGTACTTTTTCACTCCAACTTTTGCGGTTCACACGAGATGGCTGGGCAGCAAGAAATTGGCAATGCCCTCCTTGACCGCGTACTCGTGCCCGCACGCCCGACACACCAGCTTGCCTTCCTGTATCGTCGTCTCCATCAGCAGCCTGTGCAGGTCCTTCGCCAGCTGCGTGCCCTCTTGGCCCTCGCCGTCCTTGGCTTGTTCAACGTCTTGCATCTGCTCGCCGTCGGCATTCTCGCTAGCGGTAGAAGCAGCAGCGGCATCTGCTGTTGATGGAGCGTCTGCGGCGCTGGACTGGGACGCAATCAACTCCTCTCGCTCGGGCTTCTCTGGCTTGAGGCCCGGCAGGCCCAGCTCGGAGGTGATCCTCACCAGGGCCGGCCACTCTAGCCTCGGAAGGATGTTGCAGAGGAAGAGCAGGTTGAAGTCCGTCTCGAGGATCTCGAGCGTGCATTCCTTGGGCTGGAGAGGGAACGAGTCCGGATTCGGTTTGCACGCCTTGCGCGCGCATGTCAGGAAGTTGAGTGTCAGCAGCTTCATTTGGCCGGACAAGAACGTCGGGTGATTGGCGCCGGCAGGAGACTTGTCTGCGGAGTGTTGAGGAAAAGGGTCGACACGGCGCGATCGGGCCAAAAAAAGAGGAAGAAAGGAAGACTGGAGCTGGACGTCGCTAAGTGGATGATGAAAGCTTCTCGCCCGCGCTCTTGAGGTGCGAAGGAATACGGTTTTCACGGCGTTTTCCTTCTTTACGGGAAAAGGCAATTTTTCACGCGCTGCTTTCGGCAATTCTTGCCCCGAGGTGCGATCTTGCGGCGCCAACAGCTGCTGATATTTGGAGAAAAGTCCGCACTTTCGCATGAGCACGGAACTGGTCTTCATTATGCACTCATATATGCATATATATATGTATATGAAGGTGGAGGTGTCTAAGCTAATCTAGACTTCTTAGAGCCGTGGCCTGGATTGCGTCTATTCCCAAGGGCGCGCTACATTAGCACAGCCAGTCGATCCGCGTTTCTCACAAATTACTGATCGTAGCGGGGAGAAAGAATGAGAAAAAATGGATGGGAAGGCACCTTCACAGGTTAAACATCTCCTTGAGGATCTTCATGGTGTCGTCCGGATTGTTGACGGCATGCCCAATGGTTCTTGGGTCCTCGTAGATCTCGTAGTCATTGCCGCCCTTGAATGTCTTGTCGCCAAAGAAGTGGATCTTGTCAAACTTGACGCCGTCTGGCAGCTTCTCGTCCGCCTCGATGTGCCGCAGGCAATAGGTCTTGTCCCAGCCTGTTGGGAAGACATCGAAGGAGATTTGACCACCGATGGAGTAGCTGCCGGGAGTGTCAGCACTGAACGCCAAAATCGAACCTGTCAAACATACGTGAGGCCCAAGTCGGGGAACTCCTTCTTCAACGCCTCGACGAATTTCTCCCTGATCTTGTGCTCCAGATCAAACTTCTGGTACTCGTCCCTCTCCTTCTGACTGGCGTTCCTGCCCACGGGGCTCACGTTGATCATGCCATTTCTGAACTCTATGAACGTGCCCCGCATGACGGGAATGTCCAGGTCCGCGATGTACCTCAAGCAGAACTTCACCAGCTTCTTGTACTTCTCCTCGCCGAGCCAGCCGATGAAGGACTGCGAGGCGAGCGGCACCCCCATGCGATACGCCGTGAGTCCGTTCTCGGAAAAGCAGAAATCGAAGAGGGACTGCACGGGAGTGTCAGGCGAGCCCAGCTGCTCCTGCTGCTTGGACAGGTCGGAGCCTCCGACGAAGCCGATGGCACATTTGTGGCGGACGGCGGCGAGGAGCTCGAGCATTTCCGGCGTGGCATGCTAAGGACATCGTAGTTGTTAGCCGATGCATGGCACCGTCGAGACAACGTTGTGGCAACGGAGGGTAACAGGTTAATATGATTTGAAGAGGGGGAAAGAGGAGAAGAGGAAACGGACGTACCCGTCTTGCGAGACTGAGAGTGCCGTCAACGTCGAAGAGCAGGATGGTGCCTTTCTCAGGACGTTGGTTCAACGGCGGGATCACCGCACCTACGGAGGCCATCGTGGTTCCGAGTCAAAAACAAGCAGTCGGTTCAACTGAAGGGCGGAAGCGGTGAAATGGTGGTGGTGGGGGCAAGCAGGAAAAGCGACGGAGAGGCCGCGCGCACGAAGGTGTTTATATAGGTAATGGACGAGAATATGAATCAAGGCCACACTATAAGGAGCATGTGGACAGCTTTTATTTTTGACCTCTTTCGCTCGATCTGGCCTGAAGCTACACACACCGCTTGCGCCTCTGGCTTGACTTAGACTTACCACCCCCACCCGGGGAGCAATCCCGTTGGCGATCCTCCACATGGGCAGTTGAAAACCCCTTGCAGTCAAGTTACCCGCATTTGAAGAACGTCGACTCTGCAAGTTCCCGGTCTTTCTGCCTGGCTGGTTGGATGAGATCTTTCTTTCATCTTATCCGATCACTTCAGCCGTGTTCCGCGTCCATGACTAGCTCGAGCCACTTCTACAGAGGGCCTTCATCGCGACGCCTTGTTGCTCCACCCCGTCACGCAAGCGCCCAAGACATGCCACAAAATTTTCAGAATGCGGGAGGCTCGTTTGAGACGGCGTTCTTTGCATGTCCTGTATCAAACTGTGCCTTAAGGATCACGCTTTGGCCTATGCGCTATTGTTTGCTTCTTACTTGCTTTCCGAGATAACTAGACAAGCATGATACCCGCTCACATCATTTGAGACCGAGATAGATTATAAAGGTGGTGACTTTAGCACTTGCGTTAGATGAAGTCATGAGCAAAGAAAAGCCGTGAAGGCATGCGGGTAAGCCGCTGTTATTCATCATTCGACTCCGTGCGTGTGAATGGGGTCGTACGGAGTGTGAAAAATTGTCATAAGCTGATGACGTGACGTTGGCTCAACCATATATGCTTGCGCTCTGAATACAGCAGCATTGTCAAAGAGGCCTTGTGTCTGGAACAAGTGCATGTGACGTCTCAATGCTACTCGAAGCTGCATTTCCGACTGAAATCTCCCAACGAAAGTACTCCGTACTGATTGCTAGTCAAGAGCGAGAGCCGCTCCTCCGAGTCCTCCTTGGTATGGTCATGGCACCAGTCCTCATCCAAACAACACCCCATTCACTAAGCTCCTCGGATGTTATGCCCTGCGCCGCCAATTTTCGTGCCGACGATAGCCTGATGATCCGCTGGGTTAGCCGCAGCCTCGTACAGAAAGCTCACCGGCTCCTTGTTTAACTGCATGAAGTCTCCCTTGAAAGCAATGTAGCTTATAATTGTCGTGTCGTCCCCGCCCCAGTTGTCCTCGAAGAACAACGTCAGGCTGCGCGCAGTGCTGAACTTGGCTCTTTGTACGGCGAGCGGCTGGACCTCGTTACTCTGAGGAAGCTCGAACACTTGAGTGGGAGCCATTTGTGACGCCACTTCAAAGTCCATGTTGTCCTGGTTCACAAAGACTTTCAGCGTTGAAGGGGCAGATTCGGACGTAGAGGTGCGGAGGAGAATCTCGTGTAGCCGAACCTGGCCAGTGAAGCTGCTCTTTTTGTTAGTTCCAAGAGTACGCGACGGCACGCAGGACGTGTGGCGAGGCATTGCGGAAGGCGACGTACGGTACGTATAGCAACAGCTGCTCGTCGGCGTCACTTCTCAGCTCTGGCTCTGGATCGAAGCGCTGGGCCCACGTCTTCTGTAGCACGGCACGCCCTGACTGAGGTACCGCCTCGTTCAAACATGTCACTTTAGACGTATCGATTTGCTGGTACAAGAGATTCTGCAGCGCGGGGGTTTGGTCGTCTTCATGGCTGTGATCCTGGCCGTGGTCGTGGGAATGATCGATGGGCTCGGCGCCATCGTAGTGATCGTGATGGTTTGGCATTGTCGACGCTAGCGATAGACGGAAAGCGTGTGTTGATGGAAATGATATTGTTTTGACCTGTTTTTAATCAGTCGCTTGGCCGAGGACAGCCCGGCAGAGATGTGCTGCATAGTGGATTGTTTTCAATGATCAAGAAAGTTGCAGGTCCACCACGAGCGACAGCAGCACGACGTCAGGCAAATTGGATCCTGACATTGTCCCGTCTCGCCCCTCGATATCTCCGACCTATTTCTGGAAGCTTGGGATACTGAATTTTTGTTATCTACGATCGGATTTTAAGCGGATCGCTTTCTGACGCCCATTTTTGCTCGGGCGTCAGGTCTTGTCGGCCAACATCTTGAGGATGTGGGTTTGTCACGTATGGGGTGTTCGGAGATCAGTGTTTTAGAACTAGGCTAGACAAATACATGCAGATGCGTGTATTTCAGTATGTATTTCCATGTATATATATATACGCTGATGTACGTCAGCAGGTATATGGTCAGATTTGAATGAGAATTCCCCCGAAACACCGCCGCTGATGCATATACAACGTGCCACCACTGCCATCTGCAGTCCAGGAAGAGCTGGAGCCAGCCACGGATATCATCAAGCCATCAGAGGCTCTGCTCTTTGCGCCTGTGCGTCTTCCCGTTCTCGCGCACGCCGTTCTCGCCGCTCTTTCTCCGTCTCCTGCTGCTCAAGCGGCTGCCTGGGCGCATCGGGAAGCTCGTCCACACTGACAATTCCGTTTACTTCCCTCTCCAGCTGTGCAAGCTCGTCCTCCACCTCGTCCTCGTCTTGATTCGTCATCCTCTCCGCCAACATGTCGCTGATCTCCTGTTGATACGCCCTGGCCTCGGCGCTCTCGCCCATGAGTTTTTCCACCGCCTCAATCCCGCCCATTTCTCTGTGTATCTCCTTCAGCACATTGGTGCCCTGCTGTAGACCGAACAAAACGTCCTTTTGGATCCGGGCGAATTCGACGTCGGAGACGAGGATCTCGAGCTGGTGCAGCTGCTCGTCCGTCTTCTTGAGCAGCGACTCTTGGTATTTCTTTCGCCGAAGCGCTAGCTTCGCCTTTTCCGGCTGCTTGTTGCGCAGACACAGCCTTGCAATCTCGGTTTCGCGGTCGGTGAGTACGGTGATCTTCTTTTGGTACTGCTGCAGCTTATCACGCTGCACCTTCATGTCCAGGATGGCTCTGCGCATCATGTCAGCCGAACCACGACGGACTCGGAAAGGACCGCGACGCCCATGTACCTGTCTTGAGCCGTCACTTTGGAGCTTCCCGAGCCCATCTTGTCACGGTGTTGAGCGGACAGCCAGAGGCGGGCGTGCCTCAGCCAGGGAGAATCGTGCAAAGCGCAAGTCGATGTAAGCCGCTCGCGCCCGAACCTGCGCTTGACCTCGAGTTACGTCGAGGCTCGTCGCATGTTATCGATAAGAGAGCCGCGGCTGAAGAGCCGCGAGTGATGAGATTGTCTCCTTGTCCAAGCGTGGCCAGTGTGGACCCACAAAAAAGTCCTTGCCCGTCAACTTGTAAACTTTGATGCACGCACAGCACCGCTGCCTGTCACATAAGCCGTTGAAGGGCATTCCTGTAGCCGTGGCCGCCCGGGTCCAGCTTTTAGGATGCGTGTCGTCTGAAATGCCGATTTATACAATAGGAGTGGCCTGATGTCTGTTCTGTTCTCAGCATTCGTCGACTGCGGCAAGAAATTTTTTTTCATGCTTCGCCGGAGGGAATAGAATACGCAGCAGTATAACTTGAACTTGCTTTGGAGGCACTCAGAATGGCTCCGTCGAATGTCTTTGGCCGTTCAAGCCTTCAGTCGGGCCTCGATAAAGAAGTATTTCAAATTGTTCGAAAGTTCCAAGACCAGCAGCCCGAGGGCGTGTCGCCTATCCCATCGACTGCCGCTATCTATCGCTACATCCAAGCGTCGAATTCGTCACTCAAAAGAAAGCCCAAACAGCAGCTTCAGAACAGCATTGAAAGAGTTCTTGCTGTTTTGATGGATGACGCTGCCGAGGAAGATGACTTTGCAGAAGACTTGGGACCAATGGACTTAGACCCGAACGATCTGAAGCTCCCAGATCGGTCGACCAACTTCATGAACAAGACCATAGTCGGAGATTGGGCCTCTGAATCGGGCGCTGTGACGCCTGTCGCTGGCGCCACCACTCCTATGACGAGCGGGGAAACCAAGAAGCGAGATTCTAACCGACAAGTCAACGGAGAGCCCCTAAAAAAGAAGCAACGTAAAGCTGAACGTCAGATCGATCGCTCTCCCCCAACTTCGATACGACTCGAAGACATTGGCGGCGTCGACAAGGTGATGAGAACTTTGGAGAAGCATCTTGTGTTGCCTCTGCTGATGCCCGAAGAATATGTAAGGGTTCCCACCTGAAAGAGCCGGCTAGAAGCCATGTAGTGGAATAAGATGGCAGTCTCCGGTCTTTTCGTCATTCTCGACTGACCGTTTCTTGGTGTTTGTCTCCCGCTTTCTTTCCAAAGCTAACATTTGCTTGTTAGGTCAGACGAAAGTTCTCGATTCCTAGGGGCATTCTTCTGCATGGCCCACCTGGATGCGGGAAAACCGTTATATCGCGTGCCTTTGCGGCTGAGCTCGGTGTTCCATTTGTCGAGATTCAAGGCCCGTCTATCGTCTCGGGCATGTCCGGTGAATCGGAGCAGAAAGTCCGGGAGCTCTTCGAGGAGGCACGGAGGCTTGCGCCTTGTCTGCTTTTCATCGATGAGATCGATGTCATCGCACCGAAACGAGAGTCTTCTCAGTCGCAGATGGAGAAACGAATTGTTGCTCAGCTTCTTATTTCCATGGATAGTTTGGCAATGGATCAGAACGACGGAAAACCTGTGATCGTGCTTGCGGCAACAAATCGTCCGGACTCTCTAGATCCCGCCCTTAGGCGGGGTGGTCGTTTCGGGACAGAAATCAACATGGGCGTTCCAAATGAGACTATGCGAGAACAGATTCTCAGAGCATTGACGAGGGAGATACCTCTTTCTTCCGACGTAGATTTCAAGATCCTTGCGAAAAGAACACCTGGCTTTGTAGGTGCGGATTTGAGAGATCTCGTGGACAAGGCTGGAGAGTGGTCCATGGATCAGTTTCGGAAGGCACTGAAGCTCCAGGCAGCTGATGCATATGGCGTCCAACCTCGGGACGGAATGGATGTTGATAACGAGCCGGGATCTGTTATCCATTCCATTCAGTTGCTCATTAAAAGAGCGAAGAACAAGGATGTGGCACGCCCTGCAGGATTTGAGACGGGCGATTTAACTATGCAAGCATTCCTAGAAGTACTGCCAGAGATTCAACCGTCATCGAAGAGAGAAGGGTTTGCAACGATCCCTGATACCACTTGGTCAGATATCGGTGCGCTGCAAGATGTAAGTCTGAAATCTCATAAACTTCGAGAAGTGATATCCAACTTCAATCGTCCCCTTCACTCATGACTTTAATTTCATCTCGATGATATGAATTGTTTGCATACTGATTGACTGATAGGTACGAGAAGCCCTCGAAATGGCGATTGTTCAGCCGATTCAGAACCCACAGCGTTATAAGAACGTTGGTATCTCCGCCCCAACCGGAGTGTTACTATTTGGTCCTCCTGGTTGTGGAAAAACGCTGCTGGCCAAAGCAGTTGCTCGAGAGAGCAAGGCCAACTTCATTAGCGTTAAGGGACCTGAATTGCTAAACAAGGTATTTCACCATGGACATATCCAACTGGCTGTTCCTAACCAGACGTTAGTATGTCGGAGAATCGGAACGTGCCGTTCGCCAGGTGTTCACCAGGGCTCGATCGTCGGTACCATGTGTGCTGTTCTTTGACGAGCTGGATGTACGTGATCCCTTTGTAACCCTCCAACTTCACATCAGATTCAAAGGCCACCTGAAAAATTCAATGTGATCAAGAAAATTTAGTTCTAATTTTTGCGCAGGCTTTGGTACCGAAACGGGATGACAGTTTGTCGGAAGCTTCTTCTAGGGTGGTAAATACACTTCTTACTGAGCTTGATGGGCTAAGTGGCACGAGAGAAGGTATTTATATTGTCGCTGCTACAAATCGGCCCGACACAATTGATCCCGCAATGCTGCGTCCTGGACGTTTGGAGACCTTGTGCTATGTTGGCCTTCCAGGACCGGGTGAACGGGTCGAAATACTGACAGCCCTGCTCAAGAAAACGCCAATAAATCCGGAACTAGCTGGCTGCGTAGCAGCGTCGACCTGCAATGGCTATACAGGGGCTGATCTGAGTAGCCTTGTGAGGCAGGCTGGTCAGGCCGCAATCAGAAGAAATGCCGATGTCGTCGAGATGGAAGACTTCATTTCTGCAATGACTCAAGTACGACGAAGCGTTTCGGATAAGGACATGCTGAAGTATGAAAAGATGAGAATCGAGTATCAGAGCAAGATATGACGATGAAGAAGAACGTCTCAACATATCATGTTAACACTTATTCATTTTGATCGTATCTGTGCAGGATCTCAAATACTAGCAACAAGCATCTTTTCCTACCCAATCTCATGAGTTTTCTACCATGACAAACCCGAGCTTCCAAAAGGCCAGACGTCATCAAATGTGCCCCAATTGCTTACGTCAACACGATCAAGAAATGCTTGTGAAGCAGCCAGGTCAGGTACTTGCGCAGGGGTAGAACCGCTTGTGACGTCGTACCCACCGGAATTAGGTGTAGCCATCGCAGTCAGAGCACCAGCAGCTGTTTGCTCGTTGCTTGGTTCCTCTTGGGAGCTGCACAGGCTTTCGAAAATGGTAGTAAGCTCTTCAGCAATGGTAGAGACCTGAATATTGACGCTGCTTGGCTCAAACGCGGCGCGTAAGGTGCCGACTGCTGCAAATGAATGCCATAATTGAAGGAAGTGCTCCCCAAGAGCATAGACCTTCTCCTTAAAAAGTCCCAAGCCAAGCAGGGCGTGCTCGGTATATATATCTCGTAACCAGACGGACGAGTAGTCACCTGTTTTCTAGTTAGTTATCAACGTCATAGCATGCTTGATTAAGGTTTACCTACTGCTGAGCCCACGCCAAAGAGTCAAGTTATAGCAAATTGCCATGATGGCACGGAACACATCTTCCCGCGCCAAGGTCAACCAATGGATTCTATGGCTTGGGGGGCTAGATTTCGCAAGACGAGCGTGCAAGGACATGATCCGCACTGCGCAGTCAATGCATGTTATCCGGGACAAGTTTGCCCGTGAGTCGTCAATGGCTTGTCGTGCTGAGGGAGCGTGGAGCCACAGCTGGAATTGCAGAAGTTGTAGTTCAAGCAATGCCGCAGGCGTGGCTGCAAGTTGACTTAACGACGACGATGCATTGCTGTTTTTTATTTTGACCCAATCTGGCAAATCATTCAATGCACGTTTAATTTTGTCATCATACATCAATATTTCGTCGTACGAGAGATGATCTGAGCCTGTATTGATGATGTCTGAAAGCGTCGCACGCAGCCTCAAGCTCTCTTGCGACAGATTAAGATAAGATATACCAATGAACTTGGAGCGAGGTTCAGGTAGGGGTAAAAGTGACGAACAAACTTCGAACTGTTCGTCATCTAGGAGCGAAGGTTTTCCACAATCTGCGAGTAGAGCAAGTCGTGATGACGGAATGCCTTTATCAAGAGAAGCTTGCATTTCGAGTTCGACAATCGCTGCCCACAGTCTTTTTCGCATCTCCTGCTCGTATGGAGTAGTCTTCGGCTTCGACGGAACACCGATCGTCTGATCTCGAATGAGGGTGGAATCAATCTTAGTGGGATCTTGGTGCAAACCCGTGGAGATTGCAAATGTCAACAGTTCGTTGGCCCTTTCCCAAGCTTGTTTCGTTTTGATTGCATTGATCTGCTTTGAGATTACAAGAAGCACACGATTTTGAAATGAGTCGATCCTGAGATGCTTTCGGCTTTGACGACGCATCCAGGACTCACATATTTCAATCCAGTATGATGATTGCTCGCGAGGAACGCTGCTCAAGCCTCTGTATCTGGCGGGTTTTCTACGCTCAATCGAATTGACGCATGAGAGCATCAGTAGAATTGTGCATGCAAATGCCTCAGTACGTTGCTGCGGATCGCCCCAATACAGCCAAAACGCGGACCAGAAGGTCGGCCCGTGAAATATATGATAGGTACTGGCAATTGTTTCCCAGTAGAGAGAGACCATCTTTGTGCACACATCCTTATCTGGAACAGCATCAAATAGGGTAGCCACTGATGGATATGGTAAGATCTTCTTCGCAAGCTTGGAATTTTTCCTGATCCCACGGATGTGCGTACGTAGCTGCGCAAAAAGCGGATTTTGGAGATTATGAAATGAAAAGAACACCTTCAGTTGCGGGTACTGTGTCTGTGAGTACCATATCAGACAGAATTTCAGACAAACGTACCAATTTGATGATGGCCGGATGATATGACGCAACATTACGCTCGGAGCTTGGGCCGAAGTAACCCGTCTTGAACCCAGAACCATAAAGGCTGATTCCAATAGATTCCCTCCTTTGAGAGGCCAAAGATGGTTCAATTGTGACGTCCACGTCTAGCCTTTGGTGCTTGGTTAAGTCTTCTGAGACATGGGGATCCATTGATGCGACTCTATTCTCAAGAGCAGTAAGTCGGTCGTCGGCATGACTTTGTGAGCGATAGTGACTTCTCGCCTCTGAGGTATCAAACATATTTGGGCTTCTGAAAAGGGAAAGTCGATAATTTGATTCGCCAATGAGCGATGCTGACTGAATGAACTCCGACGGTTTGGTCGGCTCAGGAGGGTTTTCGTACACGCAATTCGCTGCATTACCAGATTTCTGACAACGGCTACAAACGGGCAGCTCCCTCGTGCATTTGAGCTTTCGTTTCCGGCATGCATCGCAGGAGAAAGTTTTCCTCTTGCGCTTTCTGGTATTCTGCTGGCCGTCTTGATGATGATCGCTTTCGGGCGATGACTGTTGGCGAGGGGATTCCATCGCGCCGTCCGTGATGACCTGGTCCGACAGCCGAGATGTTCGCCTGCGAACAAAGTCGGTGATACGGAGGAAAGGATAAGGTGATGGACGCGAGGGTAACGGATCACTAACTTTGGCTTTCTGCTGGGTAACCGTGAACGTTCAGAAGCCGGATGTAGCGGAGAAGCAGCTCGGAAATCGATGATAAGGCAACAACTCATCAAAGGAAAACCGACACCATTGCCAAGATCAATCACATGATTTGGCTTCAATCTTCTGCGTGGGAAACCTAAACCTTGTCGATGTGATTTTCATCATCAAATACGCAACCAACACTTTCCAGCTTTTCGCACATTCAAGACAAGCGTGGACGCACATCTTGACGATGTGGCTGTTGCAAGAATACGCTATATCCGCCGAGTTCGAAGCCGTCAGGACGACGAAAATGATTGATGGCTATGGTAGACGCGGTACATCCGAAGCCGAGCCCTTCTGCAACACTCGGTATCTCTGTAACAAAGCAAGAGCATTCATGTAGATACTTTATATTTTAACGCTTATGACCCAAATTTGTCAAGCATGGAAGGTCAATGATTCCAAGAGCAAATGCCTGCATTCCGCCCACATCAAAAAAGCATCACAGACCTCTGACAGAATAAGATGTGCTTCAAAGGAGGGAGGCCGGTCCATCTTAACTCCTTTTTTTGATTTTTCCAGCCATGTGCTCAGACGTTCAAGCCCTTGGGCGATTCCACAATGCAAAGGAGTGATTGCAACAGAGAATCTCAAGGAATTTCATCAGCCTAGGCTTTGGAAGGTTGTGACTCGCGACAGTCCAGACTAAAGGGAAAGCGATACCAACTAGCAGAAGGAGGGAAATAAATGTACTTGTTATTTTTGACTGATATACAGCCCCGTAACGATTCCACAGCACACTCCCCTTCGGCACTATCATGCATACCAATGTCCCATGCTTCCGTACCTTCCAAACCGAGATTATTGTACATTGCGAAATTGATCGCTCGAGTGGAGAAATTTGGTCAATTACACAGTATGAGAACGGTAACCCTGATCGAAGGGCTTCGAATGCCGAAGAGATGTTCCTAAATGCCGTCCAAATGCATACAATGACGCCGTATAAAGTCTACAACTTTTTCGTTCCTGCAGTAATTGACAGCAGTAAGGGTGAAGGGATATAAAACGCCGAGTCTAGAAGAAAATCTTGCGCACCATCTGTGCTTGTGATTAGCCAGTTGAAAAAATTTGGCTCGTGGAGCCAGCAAAGGTATATGAATTGGACTTACCGCCCAAGTGCCTGCCGCGGTAGCGACTATTCCACTGCTAATCATCATTGGCTTTACTCCTCTCGTGCTCTTGAAGACTGCTCCGGCCAATGCTCCGGCTACTATGCTGTTTGCTGCATCATCTACATCCTACGTCAGTGCGATCGTTGACCAGGTCAGATATTGGGCTGCCTTACGCTTTCCCCTCGCATAGCCAATGTAACTATTGATCCCGTTGTATATCATCGCCACGACGCCGGCAGAATTGCCAAGGAAGGGCCCACGTCTCGTTATGGCGTTTAACACTCCATTTAATCTGATCTTTGGCGGTGCTGTTGCCGGGGTTTTCCGTAAGCCTTCAGCCAAACCCCAAGCACCGCCGATTGTCAACGCCGTGAGATACGTGCATCCAGTCCCGTAGCATAAATCATCACTCCATCCTCTTGACGGCAGCGCCGACCTCGATCCCGGCAAATCGTTGATGACGGAGTCGTCTAGTGTCAGGTACTCGAGGTCATCTCGCGATAGACCAGCAAGAGGATGTAGCTGCGAAATGTCAGGCGTAAGGAAGTCCGAGACCTGCTGCACTTCGGGTACGAAAGGTGCCTCGGCGAACACTGTCGTGGGTGCGTTGTCACCAGGTTGCGACTGTGTCGATGGCGAGCTGGACTTGCGGCCAGTGAGAGTATCCCATCTACGCGCAACTGTTCAGTTCAACTTTTTCTTGCACAAACCGTGACCAGAAGTGCTACACTTACATCGTCATCTTGTATAGATAAATGACACGGATAAAGAGACAGGTAGATGATGAAACTTTGCTTTGGATGTGCTTATCGGCCAACGAAGAGGAAAAAAGTTCAGGGTTGACTGGAAGAGTGCCACAAGATAGTGGTCCGTGCACTGTCATCTGCGATTCTTTGACACCGGTAACGCAGTGCAACCGATCTTGTAACTTGAGTTTGGCTAAAACTTCTTGTGGCTAGCGGACGAAGCCGAAACTCGCCTGAGTCAACACGTATGCAAGATCTTTGCGTAGTGCCTTCATCCATACAGTCTCTCAGTGCGCCTCAGGTCCCGTGGCAAAGACACTGTAAGCTGTAGTCGTGGCCAAGGTTATCCAAGAACGACAAAACAAGCCCAAACTGTTGCTCGTTTCCCTTACATATTCTTCGCTCTTCTCCTGTCTGGTCTGCTATCCATCTCAAACGCTTACATTTCTGGAGTTTTTTCCTCCTTTTCGCAAAGATGCCTTCGTCAGACGTGCCAAAGTCTCATTTCAAGAAGATTCAAAATTTCAAGTTAGATTACGCTGTCGCCGAGTTGACACAGTACGAGTCCCTGAGAACTGGCCTGAGAGTGGCAGTCGTGGACAGGGAGTCTCCCAAGGTTGCCGGGTACTTTGCCTTTGCTACTGAGATTCACGATGATTCCGGCGCGCCACACACACTGGAACACCTGGTCTTTATGGGTTCAAAAAACTATAAGTACAAAGGCGTTCTGGATAGACTTGCGACTCGAGCCTACTCGTTTACGAATGCCTGGACTGGGACTGATCAGACCGTCTACACGTTGGATACTGCAGGCTGGGCTGGCTTTGCACAAATTTTACCTGTGTATTTGGAACACTGCTTAGTCCCTACCTTGACAGACTATGCATGCTACACTGAGGTTCACCATGTTGACGGATCGGGTCATGATGCTGGAGTGGTTTACTCAGAGATGCAAGGCGTCCAGAACACTCAATCCGAACTCATGGAGCTACAGGCGAAGAGATTGCTCTATCCTGAAGGTGATGGTTTTCGCTATGAAACTGGAGGTATGATGGAGGCCCTCCGTGTTTTGACCGCAGATCGTATAAGGGAGTTTCATAAAGAGATGTACCAGCCAAAAAACATGCGTGTGATCCTCATTGGGCCAGTCGACCACCAAGAACTACTGCAAATTCTGGACGAGTTTGAAGATAGCATTCTGGATGATGTTCCCCCAGTGCACGCCCCATTTAAACGGCCGTGGGTAGACTCAAAGCGGACGCCTGCAATCGAAGAGAGCGTGGTGAGCGTTGTTGAATTTCCTGAAGAGGATGAATCGTGTGGCGAGATTTCGATAGCATTCTTTGGACCGGACTGCAATGATGTCCTGGAATCTACTGCACTGAACGTGCTCCTCACCTACTTGGCTGGTTCATCTGTTTCGGTCTTGGAGAACACTTTAGTGGAGAGAGAGGAACTTGCAAGTGCTGTCTATTACTATACCGAATGTCGACCAAACTACGTGATATGGTTCAATTTGTCTGCCGTTGCCACAGAACGTTTGCAAGAAGTTCACGACCGATTTTTCGAGGTTTTGAAGGAAACAGCATCATCTCCAATCGATATGCAGTACATGCAAGACTGCTTGGCCAGATATCGGCGACAAGTTATCTATGCGACAGAAACATCTAACACAGTCTTCAATGACCCAATCATAGAGGACCATCTGTATGGAAACCGCGATGGAAGCGATCTTGAAGCTGCAGTGCGAACATTGAAAGAATTTGACCTTCTCGAACAATGGTCTGATCAGCAGTGGCGAGATTATTTATCCAAGTATATTTCAAATAACAAGCACGTTAGTATTCTGGGTGTTCCATCAGCAAAGCTCTCGGAAAAGCTGAAATCGGATGAAAAAGCTCGTGTAAAGGCGCAACAGGACAGGCTTGGTGAAGAAGGTTTAAAGAAATTGGCCATAAAACTGGAGGAGGCGAAGGCGGAGAATGACCGACCAATACCTGACGAGATCCTTGATAGCTTCAAAATTCCAGGCACCGAATCTATCAAATTTATATCTTCGATAACTGCGAGGTCGGGTTTAGCGAAGCAGATGGGACATCTGGACAACGAGATCCAGAAGATCGTAGACGAGGACGGCGCAAACGATTTTCCACTTTTTATTCACTTTGAACACATTCAGACGAACTTTGTTCACCTCAGTCTGATTCTCAACACTAGCGTGGTTCCGCTCAAGCTGAAGCCGCTACTTTCAATGTATCTCATGAATTTCTTTTCTACCCCAATTGAAAAGAATGGAAAACGCATGGAGTTTGAACAGGTAGTCATGGCTTTAGAGAAGGATACCATCACCTACACAATCGAAAATGGGCGAGCACTGGGTAACTCTGAATTACTTTGCATAAAGCTTGTTGTGCAACCAGACAAGTTCACGGTAGCGGTTCAATGGCTAAAGGACTTACTATTCTACAGCATCTTCGACGCAAACAGGTTGAAGCCAACGTTGTCAAAAATGCTTGCAGACATACCTGACGAGAAACGCAACGGAAATGACATGGTAAATGCAGTTGATGCCATGGTGCATTTTGCGCCCACCTCGAGCTCGAGAGCCCAATGTACTCTCGTGAAGGCTTTATACCTCAAACGTATTGCACGATTACTTAAGTCAGAACCAAGTACAGTGATCACCATGCTGGAAGACCTCAGAAAGTCTCTACTTACATTTTCAAACATGCGCATTTTATGTGTTGCAGATTGGCATAAAGTTGCGAATCCGGTATCGACGTGGCAGCCACTCGTCGCAGGCTTGAATACGAAGGAGACTTTGCTGCCACTAGATTCACGTGGAAGCGTTCTGAGTCCAGCAGCCCAAGATCCCGGGAGCTTGAATTACATCGTCCCAATGCCAACTATTGACTCCTCATTCGGACTGTTCACAGCCAAAGGCTTGAACTCCTACCAGCACCCGAAACTGCCTGCACTCATGGTTGCGATGTCCTACCTTGATGCTGTGGAAGGGCCTTTGTGGGTAGCAGTGCGTGGGACTGGCCTCGCATATGGTACGAATTTCAGCCGTTCAACTGATACTGGACTCGTCGGCTTCAGCATTTACCGTTCTCCAAATGCATTTGAGGCATATAAAGCCGCCCACCAAGTCATTGAAGACTTCGCATCAGGGAAGCGCGATTTTGAAAAATTCGAACTACAAGGCGCAATAAGCAGCATAGTTGTTGCATTTGCAGATGAGCAGCCAACAGCCATAAATGCCGCGGCAGTTGGTTTTGTGAATCAGGTTGTGAAGGGAATACCAAAAGACTGGGGAAGTCATATCCTGAAGCAAGTCAAGGCTGTAACAAAAGAGCAGCTTCGAGAGGTAATGAATGAAATCATTTTACCGATCTTTGAACCTGGGAAGACAGATTTTGTAATTACCTGTGCTACAATCATGGAAGAGGTATGTTTTTTTTTCCTCCTTTGGACTCAATATAAAACGAAGGCATTGCTGACTATTCAATCAGTCTTTAATGAGAAATTTCTCTGATATTGGATTCAAGCCACAGTCGAGAACTCTAGCCAGCTTTCAGGATGACTATGGTCTCCAGGCACTCGATGGAGAGGACGACATGGAGGCTGATGAGGACGAGGACGAGGAAGAGGGTGATGATGAGGATAGCGAAACAGAGAGAGAAGAAGATGAGGAAGAAGGAAACTAGGAAACCGCGAAGACGCCGCATTGTAAGCTCGTCGTATTTAAATGAAACAAGAACGTTCGATTCGAAAGACGACAAGAAAGGCGGATAAGAAACTTAGCTAGATAGATGTAGAGAAGTTTAAAGAAGGTTCGTGTTCATGAAGATGTTAACTTATGCTTGCATATGCCGAACTCATGCGTCAATACTCTTTCGTAAATATAGAACATAGTGGCTTTTGAAGTCAATTCGATTGTTCTAGTCCTTGATGGTGTTGGACTTTTTCCTGCAGCCAACGTTACTAATACTTGAGCTGGAGTCCACCCATCACAGCGTCGATTTCATAGGATGAAAAACTCATTTCCAGAAATAGGAAATGTATAAAATTACCTTCGAAGGCGATCAAGCCTTGTAACAACGCAGAGGGTTGAAGGGCTCTTACTTTCCGCATAATCAGATCACTGATGATACATGTACCCAAGAAGAGCAGAAGGAATAGCGCGCAGATATACTCCTTACATAATCCAATCATCCACACTTTGCCATCATGTACCATGCAATCAATTACAATATAAGGAGATGCTAAATATCAATCGGGTGATCCTCTTGTAGAAGGTTCCTTTTGCAGGTGAAAAATATCAATACTCCTGGACCCTGACAACGTGCTTGGTAACCAATTCTAAAGTACCAGCTTAGCCTAATTAGGAAATTACTTCAAATTCTACCCAACTTATTCCAAGAATAAATTAAATATTTATAAGATATAGATTACTAAAGTAATCCGTAAAAACTGAGCTATAATACACTCCTGGACTGATATTTAATATTTGGTCTTAACTTGGAGTAGTTGAGCCTCTCTGGTATGAGTGGAAGGATTAGCTTCTGGATTCTTACTTATATTGAACATAATTGTGAATTGAGAGCGAATCGGTGCCTATAAGTTACTTTCCTCCCTCCGGGATAAAGACGTACGACTATCACCGTCGTCATCCAGCGCACGTATGCTCATGCTGCTGCCATTAACTACAACCTCTGTTGTCTTTATCACACATCCCGCATCGGTGTCTCCTAAGCCTCTTTTGCCGCCTGGATTGGCGGTAATAAAGGACGAATAGGCCCTTTTATCACCAGCAGCAGTATGGTCGCCTTCCCTCTTCTTATCGTTATATATGAATGGCCTAGCGCCATCAAATGGATCAAAATGAATATCTTGCGGACCCGGCTGAGATTGTGAGCGAATAGATGGTCGATTTGATGGTAGCCTTGTTTGCGACTCTTGTGTATGCAATGCGACAGAATCGCCGTGGTTGAGTTCGCCGGAAGCTGTGCTTATGAGCTGATTGAGAACCGCAAATTCGAGACGAAGCTTGACAGAGTAGACAGCGCCTGTGAACAATCAAATTTCGTCAGTAGATTGAACGATGATGGACTAAGCTCCCAGTTTTTTTTGTTTGTTAAAAAAAGCTGGTTACAGAATTCTACTTGAGATAAAGAGAAGATATAGAAAACAAAATGAGAATATGCACCTTTGAACGTGATTTGTATCTCATATAGGTTTGCGTACTGGGTGCAGAGTAGCACCAGGTCCATAAGAATTAGAACCACGTTCATCAAAATCAACTGCCGCATTATACGGCGTGTTCGAGACTTTTGAAAATGCTGCAGAGGCTTTAAAATACGTCTCGTTTCGTAGAGATATACACTTGAAATGATGAACTCCTGGATAGAAAAGGCTGTCACCTGGATCTTTTCCATCAGATTATACATTGGAGCATACTTCGCTGCTTCTGAGGAATTAGCCTAGGATGGGGCATGTTAGCACACTACTTCAATTTGTCGACACAATAGGTATTACAACTGGATGCATACGAGAATCCTGTTGAGAGCATGGGCAGTTCAAAGAGGAAGACCTACTCCAAAGGTGAACACGGTTGTCGGTATGTGAAAGAGAAAAAAATCGACAATAATCATGGTAAGAATCCATTTAAGCTTGCGCCCATCGCGAAGGACTAAGTGCAAGCGAGAGTAAAGGACCAGGCTCTGGCCTGTTACCATGAAGTACCATCCAAGAGTAATGAACGCGCAAGAAACATAATTGTTTTTCCAGAATTGGAAGAACTTTGCGATAAAAGCGAGTTGATATATTCTAAATTTAAATGTTAGCGATTTACGTCTATCTCAGTATGATATTAGACTTACATAACCCCCCACGAGGCGCCGAGCAGCGAGAAGAAATAGAGACTTCGATATCGCTTGAAAACCATCCAAATCATCACGTTCAATTCGATGCTATTGAACCATGCGATTGCTGTAAAAGCGCTTATCGTCATGGCAACGGGCAATGTTGTATGCAGTCCACCTGTCATGCCATCTTCGGATACCTGAACGGAAGCCATTCTCGACGAGCTGAATTGAGTGTCCCAATGTATGCTCGAATCCGTTAGGACGGAGAATAAGGGGATGTATGGTAGATCAATGCATCAATGACGATCAATAGCATGAGTAAGTGAAGTTGGCTAAGATCAGCATCAGAGGAACAGATAGTAGGATATATAGGTTGAAAAAGGCTATCTTTGACCGCGCAAGTAGGGATGTAGGTCCCTAAAACACACTCGAGACTACTCCTAGACTTGTGAAGGCGTGACACATGGGCGGAAAATACCGTTAGACCTGCAGCAAGGCCCGGAAAGTGTAAATCCAATGTGGCTGAAGGCTCTCTCCATGGCTCCTTTCCAAATGCTCAGCATACAAATTTATGCCTCCTATATTTTTCATACTCCCACGAGTCGTAGCACTCCTGAACACGCAAGACTTTATCTTTACCCGTTCATAGAGCAGTGGAACGTTTCGTATTTCCCCGCACGGGTGTCCTGTGGCTTAAGGTCGAGAACACACCAGCAGAAGCACCATTTGCCAAAACGTCCACACTTCTTCCACTAGTCGCCCGCGGCAATTGCAGGGACAAGATCTTGGTTTACGATTCATGGAGCAGCATGCCGTCGATGAAGTTGTGTGTGATGAAATATGATGTCCAAAGCATTCTTGATTTCGTCCTGCGATGATTGAGGCGAAAATACGTTGTGATTTTGTACCATTACTACTCAGCATGCTTAGTCTCGACCTTTAGCCAACCGAATGTCAGAGGCTCTGTGGCGACGGTGCCGATTTCAGGGTTTCCTTTTTCACTTGGCCACTGGAAGGTCGCCTTAGCTTGCGGATCAACATCCACGCCGGACAAACGCGCGGTTTGAGGCCATCTTAGCTCCAGTTGCACGTGACAAGTTTTTTTTTTCTTCAAAAAAGGCTTTGGCTGGCCGTCGGCGGTTCAAGCCGAAGACGTTTGAAAGCGCATAGGTGGTAGCCTTTCCGCAGAACGGAAACAAGTAGAAGTGACATTTGGTGATGATTCCAACAGCAGCGATGCTTCAAATTCGCTTTCCGCCGTAAGTTTCGCTGATTGATACGAGGTGGAGCCGGAAGCATGAATCGCCAGGTCAGGACGTGATCTGGGGAAACGGGTCTAGGAAGCATCGATCCTAGCAAGAGCGCTGGCACCACCTCCACAATCGCAATGACTCAGGGCCCGCGCTTTGTTCATGCACGCGCGGTGAGTTTGTGCGCAAAGATCAATCATTGGTCCATCGAATTTTTCCCTTTGCTTTAACATGTTGCAATTCGGCATGATAAGCGAGATCCGACTGGCCATGGAATTCGCCTGGAGGCAAGTTCCGCTGCCATCGGTGCGGCACAGGTCAACCGTGGCCGGACCGGCGGGCCCTGTCATCATTAGGTTCCCGCTGTGCCTTGCGAAAATCGAAGCCGCAGCGAGCCCAAAGGAACGGTTATCCTCGGCCGCAGAGCAGGATTGAGTTTTGTTAATAAAATTGATGCGGTGCCTGTCATCCAACGTCATAAGTTCAACACAAACTGATCACACCACGAAGATTCTCCAAAGCGCCTTGGGGGTGCTACAACAGCCCCTTACTGGCTGTGTTGGGCCGTGCACGCACCTTCCGTATTTTCATGCACCCCTTGTTTTCGTTCTGGCTGTTCACCAGGAAATGAAAGCTGGGCCATGTTCCATTATTCAAGTTACCCGGAACTCTCCAGTGCGTCTAACTGAATGCTTCGCACGGCATGCTATGGCTGTTTCTAGTTTGACAGTTCGGAGGCGCTCAGCCGGACACACCTGTGCCTCCCATTTGCTCGAAGAGAACAACTGGTGTGAAGACATGCAGGTTGCTGTACCTGAACTTTGTGCAAGGCGGGAAGACGAAAAGGGAGGGCTGCCTTGGCACGTCTGACCGCAACTTGCTGCATGTATGCTACTTGAACAAGGCTGCCAGCATTCCAAGGGTCACCACTGCGATGTCATCAACCGGGCAACAGAAGATCAATTTCAATGGCACAATCCTTTGCGTGTTTTAGACGCAGTTCTTACAGGAGTCTAAGGACTTGGAGTCTTGTCAAGTGCATGCTCTAGGTATGTCTCTAGGCTTGTTAAAATTCTCAGTTTTCGTTCTCTTTGGCTTTTTGCACGTTGATGCATGGTTAGGGCAAAATCTTCCACCTCTATACTTCAATAGCCATACTGGGATGCCCATTGCGACTAAAGGTATGCGATTGCCTCTGCACGAAAGATATCAGTCTCAATATAGCTTGTTACGTTCGCATCAAAGACAAAGTTGTTCCCGTAGCCGTCCAAAGCATCATAAACCGGCCACTTAGGAATACCAGCAACTCCGTGCTGATTTGGATTGCGCTCGACAACGAATGATATCCACATGCTTGACATGAGTTTTGCGAGGTCCTTGTAGCTCTGTGGCATTCCTTCGATCGGATTAGGGCTATAATTGCCACCCTCGATGATGTCGAACACAAAGGCGAGCTCCGCGCCATGAGTAACACTTGTAAAGTCCTCTTGTCCACCGAAAGGCGCTGCATTGAAACGATAGCTGTATGAAGGGATATTATACGTGGACCATGATTGAGCTGTTAATCGTCTCCCTGCGATGAAATAGTAGTCTCCATTGTACGCGGCGGCACGTTTGTACTAAAGCCCTATTGTAGTATTAGGGCGCGAGGCAACACTGTTTGGAATTCCAATTGCTGGAATGTCTGGATACATTTCGAGCAATGTATCTGCAGTCTTGTGATTAGGGCCTTG